CTCAATGCAGAGCAGCTTGAGATTAAGAGCCGTCTGCAGGAAAGTGGTTATACCCACCATATCCACATGCAGGATGCTCATTAGGTTGTGCTGCGAAGTACAACTCAGCCAGATATACAGAACCCAGAACATCTTGGGGTGCAGATCGATGCGATGCCATTGAAAGGGCCAAATCACATGAAAGGGTAGCTTGCCCTTGCTGATCAGAGGTTGCAGGAACACGGCGGCACTGAAGAAGTTGACCAGGAAAAAGCAGTTGATGTACAGGCCCGTCTCGGCCAGGTAACAGAGCCTCTGCCAACCCAGAACCTCCTCATCCATGTGATGTGGTCTTAGTTCTCGATTGTAATAGTCAAAGTCCCAGATAATCTCATCGATGTCGTTGCAACGCAAATGCATATAGAAGATTTTGGTGAAGACCAAACCCATCTGTAATAGGGTTTAAGTATTTAATATAAATTTAAAATAGTTTAAATTAAATTTTAAATGCAAATTTAAAAGGTATTCCTGTCTTAAATATTTTTTGACATATTCTTAGCTGCCCTCTTAAAATTTCTATAGGCTTCCAGATAATTTTTCCAACCCTTACATCTATTTTTTGTTATAAAAAATGAAACTTATCTCACCCCTGATAGCCACACCAGATCGTCGCCCATATCAATCACATTCTTGGACTCCGGCAGAGCCACAACCATGGTCCAGAAGGCCAGCATCACATTGCACATGATGAACCAGTTAATCCCTCGGTACAGCGCCAACTGGGCCAACTTCTTGTTGGGATACTGGCAGAGCAGGCTAAGGGGAAACCCAGATTAGTGATCGATGAGGCGGCAATACCACTCACCCAGCACCTCAAGGAGGCGCGATTATAGTTGAGTGCCAGGCGTGGGATGCGGCCTGGAGTCTCCTGCCGGAGTACAGAACGAAATTCATCCAGAAAGTGGCGCATAATGCCCAGATTTGATTGATAGCCCACGTCTGCCATGACCAAGTGCTTTAACTGTCTAACCAAATGGGTGGGCATTTCCTTTTTATATAGAAAAATAGAGCCTCATATGCAGATTACCCTCGAGGTTGGAGGTCACCTAATTACCATGTTTACAGACAATTGTTTTGCCAAAGGAAACGCCCACAAAGTAGATTAACTTAAATGATTGCAGCAAGTCTAGAAAACATGTGCTAAAAATCGCACTACATCGATTGATTGGGTATAATAACCATTGAATGATATGATATAGATGGGACTCACCTCCCTCTACAACGTTCATTGAACCCGCTGGAGCTTCGCGTGACTCGGTGGCTCCATTAGATCATCAGCATCATTAAGAACAATGAATAATATATCGCATAAATGCTGCCCCAACCTCTGTTTATTCACAGTTTTTGAAGCGTATAGCAAAACATGATCATCGCAAAGTGAGCTCCACTTCAAGCCACAAAAATTCGCCATGGGTTTCGGGAGGTTCAATCAACTCCCATAAACTTCCTGTGGCTTCTCACTTACCCGGCATGAAATAAATCAGAAAAACACATGAGTTATGTCTTAATCAGGATCAGAGACATCGATATTAACAGAACCTGGGAGAGCATAAATCCAGTTTTTTATTTAAATTTTCACCAGCACACTTTCCGTCATGAGGAGGATACTGATACTGGTTCTGCTTCTGCTTCTGCTTCTGGTGTCTGGGTTGGACATCCGCCTCCGTGTTATGTTAATGCCTTGCACCAGGGAGACCGTTTAGCAAGGCCATTGGAATCAATCTGGGATTAGAGACAGAGAGAAAGAGGAGTCAATAGCCCGACGCGCGCCTGGCTCGTAATATTTGTAATACAGTGTTTTTTATTATAACCCACGGACTAACCATATAATGGCACCCATAATGGGCCAACTATTAAAACAAATTGATATCAATTTTGCTACAATATGTGTGCACAAGTCTCGTCATTGAACTCCCATTGCAAGCGGAGGCTAGAGGCATTGCCACCACCTCAGCCTCGGCATTAGCCTCTCATCCTCTCATGCACAGTTGAATAGTTGAATAGTTGGCTTGGTGGTGGCTTCTAGAGATACCAGATAGTGCAGCTGTAACAGTATAGACCAGTTCCGAGTTGGCAAAGCGCCGTTTGATGCTCTAATTTATACAGCATACTGATGAGTTGACCGCTGTGGTTCTGGAATTGTTCTCCTACGGGTTTGGGTTCGCTTTGGATTGGTTTTTCCTCGGCTCTTCGGTCACGAAAAAAATGTGGCAGAGCAGAGCAAAAGCACACCTGACCAGAGACCAGACCCAGAAATGGAAATATACGTAGCGGTTAGCGTTTAATTGAAATGCATTTGGCTTGTTGGCTGTCAATCAGAGACATGAGGATGTTTGATAGGAGCACACGAAGCCGAAGGGTAATGGAGACGCACACACGCAACCCCATGGAGCTGTCATACGCCACTTGGTCATCATCATATTCCACATCCCCACACGCGATGGGGTTCCTCTTTAATGATTCTAGCTTCTGCCAGGACTTTAATTATCCTATTCCAGCGTTGAAAGTAATAACAATGATCGGATGTGCTAAGCTTCATTGCAGCCAATTGACACCTTGTGGTTTTAGGAGGCCATAAAAGAGGCTGTGATTCGGTTGAGTAAGATGTATCCTGCTTAATTATAGCTTTATATTCATCTTAAACTTATTGGGCAATTAATTCGTTTTACTATAGATTACAAGTGTATTAAGAGAATTAGTTAACTAGGACTAGTAGGATACTTCTAGGGTTGAAAATTAGGTTCGCTTTAACTTCATGCTTTGCTCATCTAAACTTTCAAATAAAAACTATTTTAAAAACCATTTAAATTTACAACTTAACCATTTAGCTGTCCATTGCTAACTTCTCCATCATCAAGAGCATTTAAAAAAGATATTAAAAAAAACTTGTAGCTTAACTGCCACTCGCTTAGCATAGGCCTCCTCCGGCTTACAATTTAATTATTCCATCTTCTTGGTAACAGCCTTAACATGGTCGGAATATTAAGCAATATAAGGCAGCCAATTCTCACCAAATTTCTACCGTATTCTCTGGGAGGTATTTGGCTCAAATAATTATCAAAGCCAACTCGCATCCTCTATTAACCGTTATGGAGTCGCCTTCCAATGTGGACCAAGTTCGATGAGCGCATTTTCATGTTTATTGCAGAAGCAATTGGTAATAAGTGCGCGACCGCAGACCAGGACTTGGACTTGGACTTGGATAACAAAAATAATACAAGAACACATTTTTCAATCGTTATTTATGAATACAATTGCAAGTTTGTTTAGCTTCGGAGCCGGAGGCTTCACCTGCACACTTCACTCCGCCAGGAGCGTATCAATAACTAGCTGGAGATTAGGTGGAGTATTGGAGGAGCAAGAGGAGATCTTCGGAGCCTATAAGACACTGAAGAAAATTGGGTTTTTAGTCTGGGGAGTTTTGATAATGGTGTAAAGATTTCGATCTCTTTTCAGTTATTAAATGTCGTACTTCCTGTTATTGTTTCTATCGATGGGATAAGGTAATCCTTTTCCGGTAGGGTAAAGAAAAAGCATTTTAGTATTATTCGCTTATTTGTACACCACATCCCACTGCTAGAACTCTTTTTTCAGTGTGCTCATCCCAGACATGAACTGGTTTTCCTCTTTTCCAACAGCCACCGCGGCAGCAGGCGCAGATCAGACGACTCACCGCAGCCTCCGGCCTACGTGTGCCCAAAGTTTGCATAAGTTGGAACCCGACATGGACATGGACATGGGATGTTGGACGCTTAGCCTCGAACCGGGATCTGGACCTGGAGCTGGCTTCATTTTACAGTTAAAGATTTATGGATCATGCATGGCCAAATGGCAAACAGATACGGGGGTAATTGTGTGTAGGTAACGCATTCGACCACAAATATATACCGTCCAAAAAGATAAGAGCCATAAGGAGGTGCATTTGTGGCAACTAAAGATACCCATCTCCTCCCAGAAACAAATTCCCGCATTTGAGCGTCATAAAATGCAGATGCGAGACGATGGACGGCTAGCCGTCATAAAAGCACAAATAAAACGATCGAAGGCCCATTTTCAAGAACTGTATATAGAGTCGATAATATGGAGTAGCAAGCGGGATATCCATATATCCATTAGATAGGAGATCTACGAAATCAAAACTTTCTAAATGACGGGCGGCAACAAGAAGAAACCAAAACTGTAAATGCAACAAATAGTTGCAGCGGCGACGCCAACTAAAGTATAATTATTGCCCAGACGACGACGACGACGGCGACGACGATGAGATGGGAATGAAGACGAGGCTGGACTGCAGCTCCGTCTCCAACTGGGCACGTACGCAGGAGATGCCAATATTTCTCTCTTTATATATTTCTATATATATATTTTTTTTTGTAGGCCTGGCAGCTGCTTAACTGTTTTTAATTGAAACCAGTTTGTGGTAATCGTCTTTTTGGCTCTATGACTATATATGTTATAACTCGCTTATGTCAAAAACAGATTGCTGAATCTGGCGTGTAATTTGAGCGGAGATTTCACTTGTTCTCCGGATCCTAGAGCCAGTAAATTGTCATAAAATTGTGCCAGAACCAATGACAAATGAAGGCTTTTATCAAATTGGAGCGTAAAAAGCATTGCAGTTTTCTGCTTCATTTCTACGCAGAACCAGTCACCAGCCAAGCAATCTTCCGTAGTCTTCAGCCTCCCTCTCACTCGGTGTGTCTTTGTTAATTAGTCTGCAGTTGGAGATATCTTCGCCTTCACACATCACAACACAACTATGGCCAACATAATTTGTCAAAACAGAGACAAACCCGAACTTATACTTTCGAGATATAAGAGCGTAACTCGGTGGAGAAAAAAGAAAACTCAAACTCGTTTAAGAGCAAGCCTAGACTGGGTCTCTGCTCTCTGCTTAGCTTTTCTTCTGCGGCATTGCGGTTTCTTCAGAGCTGCGACTTCAGTCGCTCCAACGACGGCGACCTTGATAGACGTATCAGCGGTTCCCATAAAGAGTTACAAACACCCGAGAAAACCCCCCAAAAAACCCCAAAGAAAAGCCGCCGCTGACTTCGCTTTCTTTGAGAAGAAACTTGGCTTGGAAAACAATAACAGTTAGCGGTCTCAAATGTTGTTTAGTGTTATTGTTGCTGTGTTGTGGCACGAGATGTTTCAAAAATGTGGCCAGAAATGATAAAAAACGTGCAGAAAATGCCAAAGAAATGTGTGTGAAAGATGCAAAGTGAAGTTAAGAAATAAAGAAAATAAAAGAAAAGAAAAAGAAAAGCGCCCAAGTTTATGTGTGAAGACAGGCAGTCCTTGGCATAAAGCAAATTAACGGCCAAGAGGTGTTAATTTACGAGTGTTTGCAGTGCATTTTCGCCATCTCCCACACCGGGCTCTGCTGTGAGTAAAAATATATTTAAATTTTAAATTTAAATTTAAATTTAAGCTGGGAGAAATGGCCCTTGCTCTGATTTTGCCCTTGGCTTTTGGGCTTATCAGACCATTGCCAATTGTGTTTAGGTCACTGGGCACCCCAAAAACAAAAAATTGAAAATCTTCTTGTACTTTTTTTTTTGGGAGAAAGTAAAAAACAAAAAATATATATACAAGCGGGCATTGCACTGCCATAATGTCGGTCTTAACAACTTTTGGCCGAAACCGTTGCTGGCCCTAAGTCCAGAGCCGGCCGAGCACAAGTACACATTAAAGCACATTAAGGCGGCGGAGCAAATGATGCGCTCCTCTGGCCACACAATGGACACGGCCAGCTTCAAGGGAAGGGAAGCCAACACAAAATACGAGTAATAAAACTAACAGCGGAATAAATTTGAAATTTGTTATTATGCGAGATTGGTGGAGAGGACGGGACAAGAGAGGGATCGAGGCTGGGGGCTGGGATATGCGATGATGCTTCTGATTCTGATTCTGCCGCATGTGGCGTGTTCCAAGTGTTAAAAGTACGCCGAGTGTGACGTCGGGTGCACTCGGAAGTGTATAGCGGACTGGTGGCTCCCGGGTGCCAGACAATGGCCTCCCTAATGCCGGAGCCCAGAGATGCAGCCAACTCCATAACCATACTTGTAGTCATCATCGCCATAGTTGGTGCATGTTCATGTGAATCGCCATGGCCAGGTTAGAATGCGTTGTGGTAATTTCCACACCCTTTATAGTGTAATTTATTATATTTTTTTTGGGGTATGATCAACTAGAGCAAGGTGGGTTCTAAGGGATTTGGGGAGTTTTTTAAATACATTTTTGAAAAAAGAGATATTTATGGGGTTTTAAAATTAATCAAAAAGTGAGCTTAAGTGAAAAGTGTATAGAGTTTTAAGATATTTATAGTACTTTTAGGTACTCAACTTGTTATTCAATAAATTTTAACAACTCATTAACAACTGTTCTAACAGTTTTATACAGTAATAATAATAAAAAATAAACATTTTTTTGGGGCACCACAACCAGAGCAAACTGAGCTTAAACGGTTTTTCTAGCTAAGTTTCTAATGCGATTTATTAACTTTTTTACAAGATTATATTTGTTAGTTGGAAGTCAAGGGAAGTTATTTAAGATATTTTGATTATATTTTTTATATAATTTCTATTTCTATTTTAAAAAGCAATATTAAATAATTTTGTGGAACTCGATAACTAGAGCAAGGTGAGCTTTAAGGGATGACTTTTATGAAGTTGTTTATAAAAAATTATATTTCTTAGTTGGAAGTTCAGGCAAGTTATTTAGGTATTTCACGAATAGGTTTTCAAAAAAGTAAAGTTTTTTGATATTTTGTTGACCTATAAATCGATTATTTTCTGTAAGTCATTGATAAATGTTTTAAACAGCTCTAAAAAGTAACAGTAAAATAAAAGAAATTATAATAAAAGTGTGTATTTTTCATGATCTAATTATTATAAAAAAATGCTAATTACTAGACCTTGAAAAATAATACAAAATTAAGTCTATATACCCAAGAAAAATACAATAAAACTTCTAAAGAGTTTAAAAAATTCCCCATTTAAATTAAAATCTGATAGAAAGATTCTCAAATTCCCCTTATAAATAAATTCAGAATTTTAGTTTTTATATTTTTTAAAATTTTTATAAATATTTTGAATCAAAAAAGTTTATAACAAAGTTATTTCACAACCACTTTCCCTCCCCCAATTACCATGTAAAAATCCATACTTACAACCAATAACAGTGTTCACAAGTGCTTTGAAGTTAACATATTAACGCTCCGCTGATCACATCCAGAATATCCCAAAAGGGGGTATAACCGGCGTCGAGCCATGTTCCCTGCTTACACTTGTTGATGTTTATTATGGTTAAATTTATGCACAGACTTAGAACAATGCGCACACGCTCTCTCGTGTTGGCCAATAATTAATGATCGCGGCTGCAATAGAGATGGTCTGAAGTAGATGGAATATGGCTCTAATTTATGCAGTTGGGTTCAATTACCTGTTAATTGAGTTTAGTCGAGTGCGCAAGAGTCAAGACCCGGGCTTAGTGCCCCATGGAGATTCCAACTGCAAACTGCAAAATATAACTCAGAACTCACAGTTTGCTCTTTTTCCGCATTTTCTTTTTTTTTTCTGATTTTATTTTCCCAGCATCATCAAAATCGCATCAGTTTCAGTCGCAACTTTGCTGCTGATGTTGCAGTTGGAAAACGAAATAAACAACAACAAACCAAAAAAAAAAAGCAGGTCATTACTGCCATTAAATTCGTTTCGAAAATGCAGACTGGAAAAAGAGTGATAAAACCGAAAACCGATGACCGAAAACTAAAACCAAAACTGAGGCAAAGTCGTAAACAAATCGAAAAGAAAGAGAAATAATAGAAATGATATTGTATTTTATTTTTAAATGCCATAACTGTACAGCACCTTGAGTGATAGATGGAGCTCAAGCTGGAGCTTAGGTGATTATGGTGACTGGTCAATCAAAAGACTGGGGAACCGAACTTGGTCTATGGTATATACTATAATATGTTTTTGCCGTTGTTGTCGTGTTCTACTGCTGCAGCATTTTGTAAAGAAATTTTACTTTCAAATTAGGCCGCAACTGTTGCTTTTTATCGCTTTCTTCTCCACTCATTCATTCGCGCGCTGAACATTATGTGAATGCTCTCCCTTCTACACCACCTCTTCGAGTCTTTTGTTCTTCTTTTGAAGAGCCCAAGCTCCAAAATAAAAAAAAAATAAATAAACTAACATAGAGAACCAGATATACGCACACTTGCCAGATCAGTAGAACTCGGCGATATGAACAGTTAGGAGTCCCCAATAACTTTTTTTAGAGTGTGTGCTTGGTGTGCCTTTTTTTTTGTGTGAAATATTTATGTAAATTGGCCTGGCCGAAAGCAGCTGCTAAAGTGCAACTGATTAGCGGTATAAACGGGGTTGGGGTTGTTCTTGCAGCGGCTTTTAATAACGGTAAAAACGCAGCAACAGCAGCAGCAACAGCAGAGGAAGACGCTCTGTTCCCACTGCAAAACGCACTTGATCCAGTGCAGCACAGGCATAACAGCATAATGCCACCTCTACACCTCTATAAGTATACACTTTAGCCGCCGCCGTTGAAGAACAAGTTTTAATTGCAACATTTGTTTAAATGTTGTCCGTTAGCCTCTGGCTACAAACTAGTACATAGCCGGCAAAGTGACTAGCTTTAAGCAAACACACCAACTGGATGTAGATGGTGCTCCATTTCCCGCAAAAACGGACGAAACAATTTCTGCCTCATTAGCTGAGCAAGTGGTGGCCCAAAGAATGTCACCACCGCCAGCTGCGGTGCTACGATTTTGGATTTCTTTGTAATTAATTAGCGCTGTTTTTTTTTTCTATATCTTTGCAGTGCCAGCAGCTGCACCGGAGAATCCCCCAGAGTGCGTTTGGCTCCCAGCTATGTTGCTGTTAAGATGCAGCTCCAATCCTTACCGCTGCTCCAACAGCTTCTCCTCCTCCTTCTGCTACTTGCCACGCCCGCCCATTCGCGGGTGAGGAGCAACCTCTATCAGAGTCAACATCAAGTTCGAGATCAAGATGCTGCCGAGGATCCTTTGGTGGCCGCCAGCCTGCTGCTGGAGGAACTGCAGCAGACCAGCGGTCAGCTTGTCAATCTGACGCGACATCACGATGGCGATACCTTCCACACAAGCGGTGAGTTTTGTACACTGGGAAAGTAAAGGAAATAATAATATAATAATTATAAATTTAATAGGGATTTTGGGGTTTGATTTGGGTTTATTTATCGCCTTTATTAGAGCTTTTATAGCTTTATTAATCGATTTTAAATCGATTTTTTCATTAAATTAGTTTATTAAACCGAGGGTTAATATTAGTATTATTTAGTAAAGGAGCCATTTCCGACCCCATATATATTCTTTATCAGTATCAACAGGCAAATCTATCTAGCCATGTCAGAAAGAAAAAAAATGTTCTCGATTTTTTTTTTTTAATTTTGTAAGGGGTTACATCGTTAAAATTTTCAAAAAAGCTTTCCGGAATAAAATTCAAGGATTTTTAGCTTAGTTATAATCAATTTTCTAATGGCAAGGGTATCCAACTTTGGCTTACTGAAATAAACCTTATTTATGGTTTTATTATTCATAAGGTCTTAATAGAAAAAAAAATAATAAAATGCTTTAGCAGTATTTCTAATTATAATTAACAAATATTATTGTTTAACTGTGAAAAATCTACTCAGTCGGAACTAAATGATTAACTACTTTGAATTTTTAAATGAAATTTAACGAGCCAGAGAGATGCACTTGAAGAAGAAAGTTATAGTTCTTTCTTATATTTTTAGAGTTTATTAGGAATTTCTTTTAACTAGAGTAAACAAATAGCTGTATATTTATTTTTTAACTCCTTCTTAAACACAGTCTTACTTCCTTTCTTAAAGTTCTAAACAAAACAAAATTGGTTAGAGCTCAAAATACTTGCTAATTTCTGCAAAGGCATAGCCAGTAGCAGTGTCATTGTCAGTGCCTTGACCATTTGGCATGTGGCATCTTCGACTGGAGACGGAGCTATAGAGCTAGAGCTCAATCTCTTCTCTCAAACCTCAGCTGGGTGATGCTGCGCTTTTTGCCCGGCTGATCCGGCTAAACCGCTGACAGCAGCATTAATTTTTCCTAGCAAGGCCGGGAGACTCGTCTGATTGGCCGTCAAATCCGCCAAAGCCCCCCAATGCTTGTTGTGAAGTCCCGACTCAATCCATCTTAATGTTTTCTCCTGCTCATCCTCCTTCTTCTACTTTTCCACGCAGGCCTGGGCAACAGTGCCTGCAATGCGGACACCTGCATTGGACTCTCGAGCGGCACAGCCTCGCTGGTGCGTCTCCCCGGCGAAGCCATCGGTCAAGGCAACGGTAACTCACAGCAGATTAGCATGGTAATGTGTGCCTGTCATAAGCTCTCTAACACCCAAATCCCCCCCTCCTTCTACAGATGGACGCGAGCCGGCTTCGACCTCGTTGGATGGCGGTCAGAGCCAGATGGAGCTACTTAGCCGGCGGTTCAAGCTGCAGAAGAAGGGTCGCCAGCCGGCAGATGAGGAGCAGCAAAGCGGCTGCACTTGTCGGTGTCTGCCATATCTAAGGGCATATCGCGAGGACCTGGGCATATGTGTGGACGACATCCACGGTGGGTATAGTATATATAGGTATAGTACACTTAACCATTATCCATTATTGCGGAAGGGAATGGGCGCTGCTCCATTTCGCGGCTGTGGGAGTCGCTCCCACATGAGTGTGTGGGACATATCCAGCCATTGTTTTGTCATATCCAAGGCACAATGGTTGCCCAACTTACAAAAATAAAAATGTAAAAATTAAAAAAGAAAAAAAATAGAGAAAGAAATGCTGTAATAACAGGCAGCAGCAGCGGCAGGGCTGAATGCAGAATGAAAACGAAACGTCGTGACGCAAAGAGGGAAAAAATGCCATTATTATTGAACAAATCGCTTGTTTCCCCGCTGCTAATGAATGAAAGGAAACTTTCGCCGCTATCGTCGCAGTCGTCGTCTGCCAACATAAACAATCTCGGCTAGCTGCCAATCTTGGAATCCAACTCGAAAATCGGACTTCCAGTTGGACTCGCCGGCTCCGAAAAAAGTAAGAGCTGGGGCGGAAAAACAACCTCTGGAAATAGTTTCTCCAACTTCAAGTTGTAATTGATAAGCTTCGATCTTTATCGCCAGCAAATAGTATTTTGAAATATATTTATATTACATTCATTGTTTAGACTTTCCCACAACCTTAGGCTAATCGTTTCCTCTTTTATTATTATTACATTTCTTTTTTTATTGTACTTGCAGAGTGCTCCCTGTCGCCCTTTGTGAGCGGTTCCTCGTCGGAGAAGATACCCTTTGTCTTCCTGCCGCTCAAGGGTCAAATCATCTATCCCAGCAGGGAGATCAGCTTTGCCAGTAAGTGGTTTTTATCTTAGAGAATATTGTTGGGGCTTTTTATGGTAATAATAATTCTGGGAAAGTAAAAGGTAATTTTTACTGGCAAGTATTTAGCATGGGTTTGGGTTAATGATAACAGCAGGGAATATTTCAGTTGACTAATGTAATAACTTATTCCCAGGCATCCAAACACCCGTTTGTGCCGTAACGGGTGCCCAGTACTTGGGCTCCAATGGCTGGTCGGATCTGCGGAATCCCATCGACACCGACTATCCCTTTCGCATGTTTCGGGATGAGGGACGCAGCTTCCTGCTCTGGCTGGGCGAGGCAGATCTACGCCAGAAAATGCAGGGACGCCTGATCGTGGTGCATCTAGTATGTAGGGACATGACGGTGGCCCTAAATGCCACCAAGGTGAATCCAGGAGAAAGAGAGCCTCTAATGCCGCCCAGAAATGTGCACTCGCCTTGTGTGGCCTTTCGGGTGAACGGAAGTCCCGTCAAGTATACGCACAGTGAGCATCTTCTTGAGGGAATTTAGAAATGTAGAGATAGTAATCCCCAACTCCCCTCCTTAGATGTTCCCGAGGTCTTCTTCCAGCCCGCCAACTCCACCACTCTGGCCTCCACCTCCGATGGCATGACCATGCGGGAGTATGTGGTCATTGGAATCTGCAGCCTGCTCTTGGGCCTCATCTATGTGGCCTCTGTGTTCCTGTATCTTTACATGAAGAAAAGGAAGCGTCACAGCTCCCGAAATTCCTTGGATAATCTGGCGAATGACATAAATTATCCCAAGAATGACCAGGTCACCTATGGGGCACCCTTCAGCCGCGTGGGCAGCATTTACTCCGCCAATAGCATGGGCTTAGGTGGCACTGGTAATGATCCCAACCACCGCACAAGCATTGGTAGCCACAAGGAGGACATGGGCATTGTAAAGAACAATCCTTTGCTGCAGCATTTCCCGCAGCTAAGCGAAAGGGAGCACAATTCCGGGTTTGCCAGCGATATATCCAACTCGAATTCGGAGTGCGAAATGGAGGAGAAGATCAAGGTAACCTTAACATTAATATTTTTATTAAAATAAAGCTAGACATTTCTTTTATTTTCCCGGGCAGACTTCCGTTCTGGTTCATCCACAGCTGAGCAAGTCGCCCAAGCCCACGGATAGCTCCTCTTTGGATACAGATGACTTCCTGCAAGACAACGAGTGCCTGCCTGCCGAGAATGTGGCCGTGATTGATGAGCTGATGAGCGAGGAAAAGCTGGAGAATCTCAGAGCCATGGTCAGTGGAAATGTGAGGAAGAAGCTGTACTTTAATCCTGCCTACTTTGAGCCTCATCTGCTGGCGGTAAGTCTTCCAGAGAAAACTTGAAACCAGGACAAGATTTCATTTTTTCAAAACCCTTTCAGGAACCCCCTCAAGCAGCCATTGAGTTTTTGCAAAAAATCCGCGAGGTCATTGCCATTGCCAAGTACAAGATGGCCGCCAAGCGATATCAGCCATCTTTAAACATCATCCCCGAGGAATTGCAGCATGATTCGCCCAGCAGCAGTTCACCCACCATGTTTAATATTCCCCTCCAGCAGAGTCTGGCGGCCACGAAAGGAATGGGAGACAAGCGAAACAGCATTGAACAGTGGCTACAGAGTGTGCCCAACTCGGAGGCATCGGCTGCTTCAGCCCAAAAGACACCCAGTACGCCGGCTAAGAAGGGATCCGGATCTCCCAGCAAAGGATCCCTGCGTAGGGAGATTACTGCACCCAAGGAGAGGCCACCACCGCCGCCCTTGAGCAAAGTCAAGACAGAGGAGGCTTCTTCTCCAGCTTCACCCAAAGCAGTTACTCCCAGTAGGAGTCCTGTGAAGAGCAACCCAGATTCTCCAAAATCCAAGTCTCCTGGTAGCAACTCCTTCGAGAGTTTCTCCGCCTTTTCGGTAGCCGCCAATGTCTATGGCTTCGCGGAAACTGGCGGGGAGATCTACAACAATCCCAAGTTCATGCTGGCCGACTCGCCGGCTGCCTCCTTGCGCAGTGCCTCCAGTCGCTCCAAGTCGCTGAGGAAGCGTAGCGAGGTCCTGGATCAGTTTGCAGCTGCCAACTCCACGCCCACCTCACTCACCTCCTTCGATCGGCAGCACTACAACATGCTGAGGAGTATGAAGCCGGCGGAGGTCATATACGATTCCCTGAAGCGGGAGTTTGCTGCCCACATACCCACCCCAGACTATGATAGCACCATTGAGAAGAAGATCAAGGATATATACAGCAGCACCCAGAGCAGCATACCCTCGGTGCCCACGCCGGACTATAGCTCTCTCAGCCGGAAGTCCTTGAAGCAATTCCAGCCGGATTCTCCTATATACCGAAGGAAGTCTCCTCAGTATTTGATTGTGGACTATGAAACGGATAGCTTGGAGCGACTGGAGCCCAGCAAGCGCAAGAGTTCGCACTCCTCCAGCTCACCCTCGTCCGATGTCAGCTCCCAGCTGAGTCCCAGCCTGAGCACCGCCCTGCCGCTGGAGGAGGAGATGGAGATCAGTCACACGGTGTACGATCGCCTGGATGGATTTCGCAAGGAGGGCGAGATGAAGATGAAGCGTCTGGCGGGCAAACATCACCACCAGCATCCGCATCCCGTCCAGCAACAGCGGCAGCAGAAGGAGGCAGCGGCCAGGATCAAGTACGACACGCCCTTTCGCGGCAGCATGACCATCGAGGTGGAGCACGAACCGCCCTCGGATCTGGAGCGCACGGATAGCGATCAGTTTGAGCCCGACACGCTGGACAGGAAGCCCAAAAAGCAGAGCTTCTGCGACATCTCAGCCTGGGATGGCCACAAGCCCATGGAGACGGACTTTAATCAGATCAACTCTCTGCCTGATTTGAGTCGCCAGCAGATGATGAGTCCAGTGCCCAGTCCGGCGGCCATCAAGCCAAGGACAGCCTCGTTTATACTTCGGTCGAGTAACTCTTTTAGGAATCTAAGAGAGATCTACGAATCGCCCTTGGTAGCCCAACAGGAGAGCTGCAAGTGCGAGAAGAAGCCCACGCCGGAGGAGGAGGGTCGCATACTCACCCTGGAGGCCAAGCACTCGCGACGGCAGCGAGGAATGGGTGTGGAAACCTCGCCCACGCATTCGGTGGTGGATATCACCAAGGTGAACAAGACTACAATCAAGATTTCATCACCCAAGGCTGAGAAAGCCACTGTGGCACCTCCTCCGCCCCGGCCCAAGGCCAGCAATCAGCACTACTGCCCACCGCTGCCCAGTCAGGGTAGCAAGCGTCCACTGCCACCGCCTCCTCCTCCCAGCTCTGCGGAGCAGCAGCATCAGCAGCATCAGCAGCATCATTCCCCCGAGGAAGATGCCTACAGCCTGCACAGCGAGGTCACAGAGGTTACCGGTGTCTCGGAGTTTGACAACAACACCATGTCTAGTGCTATATCGGCCACCACCGAGGAGAGAACTCACACCAAGGTCTCCTCCAGGACAGCAGCAGCCAAGACAGGAGGCAAAGTCCAGGAGGAGGACTATGAGGGGATGTATAGCAAGAAAATCAACAGTCTGAGGAACGACTACAGTCTGACCAAGTATCTCAATCGGCGGAAAAGCCAGCGCGAGGAGGCCTCCAAAGGGGGACAGGATGCTGCTCCCAAAGACGCCCCCGAAACCGTAGAGTTCTCTGCAAACAAGAACCTCAAAGATGTGGATCTCGTCCAGTTTGATGCTTTGAGTGTGAGCTCTCGTTCCAATCGGAGCAGCGGTCATCTCTCCGAGCGCACCAAGGAGATGTATCGCAATGCAGGAGTCCCTGTGGGCATTGCCTATCCGCAGAGGGCGGCTAGTAGCTCAGGCGCCCCCAACTCCGGGGGAAATGTCCAGACCGTTTACCGGTGTGAGATTGAACAGGCCCAGCTCACAAACGGAATGCAGATTGCCATTGGGCTAAAGGATCGGGCCAAGAAGGCCAAGGATCTGAAGAATGCGTGGCGCAAGTTTGTTACAATGGCGGCCAACAAGTTCAGTCCCAGTCAGAGTCCGGCTCCCACCTATGGCAGCAAGAATGCAGCTGGCTTTCTAGAGGACGACGGCATAGCCTCCATCATTGAGGATGCAGCTCAGAGTGCTGGTTTGGGTCAACCTGGAAGCCAAACCTACTACGAGCAGCGTTTTGGGCAACTGGACAGTGGCTACATGAGCACCGATTCCACAGAGCTGTACAAACGCAATGTCTACGATAGATACAACTTCAAGATGCTATCCGGTGGCCGAGGGCAGGTCATCCGAGTGGACACCATCGAGGATAACGACGAAGAGGAAAGCGGTCCAAACGACAGTCGCTTTGAGGATCTGGAGCATATGGTTTCACCAGGACACAGTCGCAGATCCCCGGACACCTTGGGCGTGGTGAACAATGGTGACTTGAGCGACGCGGATTCCGACAAGACCCTCACGCGTTCCCACTCACAAACGAACTCCCAGGAACTGAATGTGCGGGGCAGCACCACTACAATGTCGTCCTACTCCTCAGACGAGCAGGGAGGACGCGGGCACAGCACCTGCTGCGGCTCCTCGGAGACGGATGAGGAGACCAATGCGGAGGACATGTGGGAGTCCGGGGCGGAGAGCATAGAGACCCACTCCGTGCTCTACAAGATGATACGAAAGAGTTGAAATAGAGTTAGTTAGTCTACGCAATAAATAGTTTCTAGGGATGTGCAATAACTATATATCCGCAGCAGACTTTTAGATTTTAAGAATATAGCAAACAATCAGTGCAATAACTGGAGATTCTTGCCAAACCACAAGGTGCAATTTTAGTAGATCTAAAACTATAACTTATATATAGTATATGTAGGATAAAGGAATCCCCTGGGGAACTGCATCCAATACGCAAAGTGCAGGTACCAACAGGACAACGAACCCAAGCCCTAAGATATCCAAGTGCAATCAATATATAGAATATATATCGTGTAGTATCGTAACGGATGCGTATTGTGATAAATGTCAGCAGTCTTGGGCCGGAAATGTGCAATCTTAGTTCATAGTGTCAGTTGTAAATGGTTTATGTTTAAGTTTAGAGTTTATAAATGAGAATTAATAAAAAAACATAAAATTATGTAGAGTAATAAATGGGATTTTTTAATGGCAGTTAAAACAGAGGAACCAGATTTGCAATAAGATTTTTTTACCTAAGAAGTAAATTGTAAATTTTCTTTGACATCTCTCTTTTAAAGAAAGAAACGATAAGAAGAGATTAAAAAAGAAGTTCTCGCTGAGACTTTTGCCTCTCGGAAACGAAGAGAGAAAAATTTATATTTCCTCTCTCAAAAGAGAGCCAATTGACAGCTCACTTATTTTCCTAGACGTTAGTACTTCCACCTAGTCTTACATTGGTGCAGAAATGAACGGTTGCTTCTGATTTGTCAGTTTTTGTAACAATTTCTTAAAAGTACTTCTTTATTTAATTAAACATTTTTATTATGGCTAAAATGTTTCTGTTAAAATTCCTTAAAAATACTTCCTAATTTAGTTAAAATCTATTTTTTGGCTAAAAGGCTTAATCTTTCCTTAAAATATTACTATCAGCTCCAGAATTTCCCTAGAAATAAATTTCTCAGGGAAAAGCCCAGTAGTAACTCCTATTTGTTGCCTAGATTTATGACCTCCCCCGTTGTGCATGTCTTTTTCCTGATTACAGCGACTATCGTTAGATTTTGTTAGATTACCGCGTATTGGTCTATCCAACCGCAATCTACACCTGCTCGATAAGGCGAAGTCTATAAATCCACGCATGGCTTGGCTTTCGCCTTCAGTTTCCTCCGAAAATGTCACGGATTTTGGTCGTTTTTCTCGTGCTGGGCGCTGTTTGCAGCAGCTCCCTGGCGGATCCTCTCTATCGTAACTCCGAGGATGTGCAAATCCCTCAGCTGGATGGACGCATTGTCGGTGGCCAGGATACCAACATCACTCACTATCCTCACCAGATCTCCATGAGACTTAGGGGCAACCACAGATGCGGTGGCAGCATTTATAATGCTCACACCATCATCAGTGCTTCCCATTGTGTGAACACCCTGACCACCGTGGAGAACCTGACCATTGTGGCTGGTTCCTCCAACATCTGGTTCCCCACAGGACCACAGCAGGAGCTGCCCGTGCGCGAAATCATCATGCATCCCAAGTACAGGTCCTTGAACAACGACTACGATGCGGCCATTTTGATTGTGGACGGCGAATTCGTGTTCAATGAGGCAGTTCAGCCCATTAAGCTGGCCAAGGAGCGTCCGGAGCATGATACACCAGTGATAGTGACTGGCTGGGGCACCACCAGCGAGGGTGGCGTCATCTCCGATGTCCTGCAGGAGGTCAGCGTCAATGTGGTGGAGAACACGAAGTGCAAGAGCTCTTATCCTATCCTACTGACCGGCCGAATGCTTTGCGCTGGTGTCACTGGCGGCGGCAAGGATGCTTGCCAGGGTGATTCTGGTGGTCCACTGATCTACAATAATGAACTCCTGGGCATTGTCTCTTGGGGAACTGGCTGTGCTCGCGAAAAGTATCCCGGAGTGTATTGCTCTGTGCCCGATGTTTTTGATTGGATTGTGGAGGCCTCTGCCGCTTACGATTATGTGGGCAAAGTAGATTTCCTGTAAACTTTATAATTTTTATAGACAATATAAGTATGGGAAGAATCAACACCAATGTTACTTATTGTCTTTGAAAATCCATGGGATGTTTGGGATAGTCTTAGACCTCGTAGTTCACTTAATCCCCTGAAAAACTTATTAGACTTTCCTTATTCCCCTTCCACTCTTAGAGGTTTAAAACCCAAAAATTACATAAGGAGATAAGCACTAGCAAGCATGATATAGCCATTGATAAAACATCTATATATTGTTTGTTTGATTACGGTTTTTTATTGTATTCCATTAGGTAGCTCTATCCGGAAAGATAGCGTATCAATTGCCTTTGAAATTCCTTTATTTATTGCGCTCCACCGGCGGCAATTATTTCTTCGATCCAAGCCAAAAAACTGGCCACGTAGGTATATACCGTGGGATAGTTGGGTCGGGCACAACCACGTCCCCAGGACACCAGTCCCACAAGCTGATTATCAATGACCAGAGGCCCACCAGTATCACCTTGGCAGGCATCGCTGCCTCCTTCGGTCACATAACCCGCACAGATCATCCGCTCAGTGACCTCACCGGCACCATAGATCTCGTTGCACTGCTCGGTGCCGACCACCGGCACTTGGGTTTGCTCTAGATTATTGCTGGAGGGACCCCACTCCTCGCGATAGCCCCAACCGGCCACGGTGGCCAGGCGACCCACTGCCGGACGCTCCGGCCGGATGCCGACCTTGCTGATGCCAAAGTGGCTGAGGTTCAGGGGAGTGTCCAAGAAGAGTACTCCGATATCATAGTCAGCGGTGTAGTAGTCAAAGTTCTTGTGATGCGTCCAATTGGCCACGGGGTAGATGATGCCATCGGGTCCGGTGCGGGTATTGGCGCCCACGACAGCCAGCAGCTTGGTCTCCGCCGCCAGGTTGTGCAGGCACTGGGCAGCGGTGAGGAGTACATGCTCCGAGTATATGACACCGGCACACTCGTGCTTGTAGCTATCCTCCACATCGCGACGGTAGCGCAGGGAGACTATATACGGATGACGGGCCACGTCCACTGTGGTGCCATTGATAATCCTGGGCTGTGGTTGCACAGAGCCCTCGGAGGATACTCCAATGGCCAGGACCAGTAGCAGCAGGAACGGCATTATAAGCTGAGGCTGTGGGATGCACATGGTCACTGCTGATTCCGTCGATTTGTCCGGGCGAGAGGTTCGTATCAAACTGATTACAGGTCTCGATTTGGCACCTTTTGCCGTTTGAGGCATTCAGTGATTAGCTTAATGACCGGTCCTCGAGATAGCTAGAAGTATAAACAGGGTACAACCAAGATATGGGGTGCCAGTGGACGGACTATGTTCAGTTAATCTCCAAGTATCCAATGCTTGCTTGCTCTTAGGTTTTATAATTTGTTTAAAAATAAGTCAAGGTTTTTAAGGGAGACTTTAAGAGATTTTTATTTTGTTTTTAAGGTTGATTTTTCAAGGAATATGTTTCCTTTTCATGTGAACTTTTTTTAAAAATTAGTCAAGGTTTTTAAGAGAATTTTTAACAGATTTATTATACGTTTTCTAGGTTAGTTTTTCAAAGAACATGAAGCCTTGTCTAGTGAACTTTAGTTAGATTGATTAGAAAAACCTGAGACTTACCCAAAAGGTATGATTACCCTCACCTTTGGTCCACTCTAATTGTTTTTCTTGACCAAAACTAAGCCTACTTCTGGGGCTTTTCCTAAAAACCCCTACCTTCAGCCGCCTAAATCCATTTCAACTTCAGTTCTAGATTTCTTGGAAGTTAACTAATCTCAAATCCACCTGTCCAAGGTTGATCTAATCTCCAGTATACACCGATTACGCCCTGGGAAAAACTTATAACATCAAACGCTTGGTTTTAGGGAAAGCCCCAAGGCACGTGGTTGCAAAAACCCATTTATTTACAGAAATCGAACAAATTCACAAATAATTAAAATATACCTTAGAGCGCTGGTCGGTTGACATCAATCCAAGACCTGAGCTCGGCCACATTGGCATAGACTCCGGGATAATCAGCCAGAGCGCACCTGTTGCCCCAGGATACCACTCCATACAGCTGATCCCGTACAACCAACGGACCACCAGAGTCACCCTGGCAGGCATCCGCACCGCCCACACCGCGCTTGCCGGCACACAACATTTCCTTGGTAATCTGATAGGTCTCATCCCCAAAGTCCTCGTAATCCTGATTACAAACCTCATTGCTCACTATGGGGACATCGACGGCCAGGAGAACGTCGGAGGCCGTACCGCCGGAGGAGGTGGTTCCCCAGCCGCTGATCTTGCTTATGGCTCCCGGTAGCGGTGGCTCCGAAGCCAACTGAATGGCCTTGATGGTGAAGTTGTTCAGGGGCAGCGGAGGATCCAGGATGAGCAGCGCCACATCGTTGTTGTAGGCCGCTCCAGAGAAGTAACCCTCGTGCATGATGATCTCCTTCACGGAGGTGATGACGCCATCCGATCCGGTGCGGTAATTGCTACCGGCCACCACCTTGTACTGACTGGGCACCGTTCCAATGACGCAGTGCGCCGCCGTTAGCACCTCGTTGCTGGAGATAATGGAACCACCGCAGCGATGCGAGTAAGCATTCTGCGGCGTGGTGATGCCCTTGTATCTCAGCGAGATCTGATACGGACACTGAGCAATATCGGTGACATAGCCACCAACGATGCGTCCATCAGGGATGTCAATCTTAGCATCCTGATCCTCCTGAAGGGGCAAACCACGAACCGTGGTGGTGGCCACCAGGCAGCAGATGAGACAAGCGGAAAGGTAAACCAACCAGGAAGGCGACATATCGAGGACTGAGGGCTATAACTGCTTGGACGGTCACTACAAGGCTTATCTAACGGTCTACACCGACTATAAAGACCATAAATTTTATTCTGGATACGCTCGGTCATTCGCAACAACTAGTGATTAGGATTTATAGTTAATAACACTAACCAGCAGGGTTTGGGGATGGATTTGGAAGGTATTTTTCGGGAGGTAAAGGGATTATTATGTCACCAAGCGAAGATCCTTTGATTTGCCTAAAACATTTCTTGGGTTTTTGTTTCTTCTGGGTTTTTAAGAATTCTAAAATTCTAAAGAATTCTAAAGAATATTGCATAGAAATAAAAAAAAAACAGTCAAGATTCTAGGAGTAGAAAAAAAATATATAAAATTATATTACTTTATTTAAATTATTTCTTTTAGGTTAAAAACAATTATCCTAAGGCACTCTTTGTTACTACAGGATAACCTTAATTACCATGATATTTTATTGTTTAGTCTTTTTGGTAACGTTTAAAGTTTTTCAATCCTTTTAAGTCTGAACTTGACACCAGACACAGTCATAAAAATTTTAATGACGCCTGGAATACAAAGTACAAAATTCGATAACTGCAGTTTATTTGTAATAAAGGCAATGCAGACAGGAAATAGGTTAGACTGTTCTAAAATATAACATTAAAATACATGTTAGTTAAGTATTTATATATAAACTTTATTCAATTTTATAATATCATACATGAAAAACGATAAGTGAAGCCCGCTTTCAGCTATGTAAATGTTCAAACAGCTAAGCTTCTCGATTTTAAATCGATTTTTTTGCTTAAAAATATATTGTTTATTTCTAATTAGTGTTCGTTATCCATTCATTGAAGTAGGCCACGTTCGCATAAACTCCTGGATAGTTGGGACGTGCACAACCCTCGCCCCAGGAAACAATGCCAGCGAGCTTGCCATTAACCACCAGAGGTCCACCGGAGTCTCCTTGACAGGCATCCCTGCCGCCCGCCGAAACACCGGCACAGATCATGGCCTCACTAATGGGTCTCCAGTAGTAGGCTTCCTGGCACTTGGCAGAGTCCACAATTGGAACAGTGACCTGCTGCAGCTGATTGGAGGAGCGACCACCCTCGGTAGTGTAACCCCAACCACTAATAGTGGCCGTGGCACCCACTTTCGGTTCCTCAGTGGACAACTCAATGGCCTCCATGGCGGCATAGGTAGCCAAGGGCAAAGAAGGAGTAACCTTTACCAAAGCTATATCGTTATCGGTGGTGGTGGCGTTGTACAGTTCATGGGGTATCAGTTTCTCCACTCGCACTACTACGCCATCCATGCTGCCAATATTATCCGAACCCGCTACGACCAGAAAATTCTCCGCCAGACGATTGTACACACAATGGGCGGCAGTAACAATGGTATCCTTGTCCAGGATGCAGCCGCCACAGGTTTGGGCATAGGCACTAGAGTTGGAACTGCGTCGGCGCAACTGCACCACATACTTTGTGTAGAAACTGGAAGTGTCTGATCCACCCACAATCCTTCCATTGAGATCTGTTTGGGGATGAGCTTCCACGCCGAGCAGGAGGAGCAGGAGCAGGCCCGCGATAATCGGTAGCAGAACTTTGTTCATTTCGTTGTTCGATCAGTGACTAAATCGTTTGTGTTTGAAAGTCTGAAAATAGCGAGAAGCTTTGGCCATATCTTGAATTGGTCAATAAATTGTTTCAGGTCTAATGCGACCGATAAGATGGGCAATACGAAAGCGGTGATAGGGCTCAGTAAGCTTGAAAGAAGACCTTGTGCTGACTCAGAGGAATAACATTTTTTATGGATGAGGATTTGGATTTAAAAAATATAAAAATAATAATAGATTAAAATAAAATAAAAATTACATACAAATTTTAAAATTTTCTACATGGCTACTTTTCTTTTAAACAATTATATATTTTTACTTTAACAGAACCCATAATTTACCTTGTAGATACATCTTGTTCTTATAGATACATCTTAGAAAGATTTTAAATCCCCTTAAAATGAAAGAATTTCATGGAAAGCTTTAACATAATAGCCCAATCTTCCATAAAATCCCCATAAATATGCAGTAACCTCTATAATTTCACCTAAAAACCGTAAATACAGAATAAATCATTATAAAAATGTTATTTTAAAAAACCCCAAAAGTATGCATACTCAACCTCAAATTTATTGCAATATCTTAGATGCTTCTACAATCCATTCTCGCAAATTTGGGACATCGGAATACACGCCAGGCAAACCATCCGAGGCACAGGCATAGCCCCAGGATACAATGCCCACCAGGGTGTTAGTGCCCACCACCAATGGACCTCCCGAGTCGCCCTGGCAGGCATCCTTCTTCTTTTCATATGCACACACCATGCTCTTGTAGATGATATCGCCATACTTGAAGGCATCCGAGCCGCAGGTACGCCAGTCCACAATGCTTACATATACCTCCTGGAGCACCTTGGGCAGAGTCATGCACCAGAAATAGCATTTGGCACCCCAGCCAGTGACCACGGCAGTGGTTCCCGTTGCCGGTGTCTCCTTGGCCAGTTCCACATAGCGAATGTCAGCGGTTTCCTGAACTTTTTCAGCCAGTTTCAGGATGCCAACATCATTCTCCATGGTCTGGGAGCTGTAGTTCTCGTTGTAGGTCAAGTTCCGGACTCCAACTAGGATACCTCCCTCATTGTACAGGGTGGAACCGAGACGAACAAACACCTTGGTGGCCTTTCTGCCCACCAGGCAATGGGCAGCCGTTACCACGGTTTCATTGTCCAGCAAGCTGCCACCGCAAAAATGGGAGCCACTCTTGGTCTGCAGCGAAACCTGATAGGGATGGGCAGCGATCGTTGTGTCCTCACCCCCCACAATGCGACCTTCATGCTCGAAGGGATCGCCTTGGGTTGCCCCAATGGTTCCAGCCCAGGCCGAAGCCACAGTTAGGGAAACTAGAGTGGCAAAAAGAAATACTCGCATTCTGCAGACAGAAAACTAAGGCATTCAACGAGGTATGACCAGTATTTATAAGCTCCGACGACGTCCAAGTGGACAACTGACAGCTGACACTATCGGGGTCAATCTTTTGAGCCAGGGAATTAGCATACTCTGTGCCTCGAAGGCTCTACTACCTATCAGCTCCATGATCCCGCCAGCCTTATCAATCAAGGCATTCGCTATCGTGTCAGAGAGTCGGAAGTCTGCACTTGAACAGGTGTTAATAGATATAGTCATGGGTATCTACGGATTTCACCATGAGTATTGCATAAGGCACTCCTCTAGTATTTCTATATAATTTCCATGAACTGGAATGCCAAGGCAGTGACCTGGAATTCCCAAAAACTACCCTATTTAATGGTTCATAAAAAAAATACTATAAACCTAAAAGGAATAAGATGCGTAACGCATGACTAGCTGGGAATACCCTTGATTCCAAAAGTAAGGGGTGCCTTTAAACCACAATGGCGAATATCATTCGCAAATATCAATGAAGTTCAGGCACTTTAAATTAATTTTGATAACAAAATTGTTTTCTAAACAACATTATCAGCTGGCAAAGAATACGAGATAAGGGTCTAAATAGTTGTTGTTTCTGTTTTTTTGGCAAATATTATGGATCACTTTCGACCTCTTACTATCGATTCATAAAACGCAGTTCTACAAGTCACGGTTCAGTCTGTGAAACATTCGATTTCCTTTTGGCCAAAAATCAATTCAATCTTATCTGAAGCGCCCTTATGTGTAGTAATTAATCTTAAGGCACCTGTCTCCGAGCCATCAGCACCTCAACTTATCAATGGAGAAGATGGAGTGGAACTCTGGCCACGCGATGCACTCGAACCAGCCGAAGATTAGATACATCGTCGCGTCTCAGCAAATGTTTACCCTCATGCCCATTGCCACTTGAGACCTTTGAAAATCACTCCAAGTCTCATGCGAAATCATGCGAAATCATTTAAAATCACGGAAGGCAGGAAGAGTACCCTTCAGCCCTTGAAAAGATACCAGGCAGTGACGTTGGGCCGATGAGAGGTGCGATAAGGGTTTACGGTTAGATTTATCTAATGTAAACATCCAGAATAGGTAATAAATGAAGCAACAATTTGCACTTCTCTTTGAGTTACGAAGATCCAAGACTTTTATGGGAAGGAAAGACAATATGTTGATAATGACATAAGGGTTTGGTATCGTCATGGAACCAATGAATCTTGATTTAATTAAACTTTCTCTGGAAACAACGAAAAAAAGACCAGACTTTAATATTTAAAAAAAGGAAACTAGAACAGTTCTAGTTTAAACCATGTTGGAAAAATATTTGAAAACTTAAGTAAACTATTTAAGAAGCATCATCATTGATGGAATTTTGGTTTACTAACAGAAAAGAGTTTCTATTAATTCCTACTAGTTCCAATTAGGAAACATCTTTAAGATATTTTCTCTATAAACTCACTTCCCTAAGACCCCCCCTACTCTATCCAATAAATATCCAGATATTATGTTCTGTAATCCAACGTTTTATTCAATAAAATTGACATCCAACCTACGGACTTAAATGTTGTTAGCAGCGCTAACCACCCAAGAGCGGAGGACAGCCACATCGGCGTAGACTCCAGGGTAGTTGGCATAAGCGCAACCGTATCCCCAGGAGACAACACCCACAAGGACGCCACCGGAGACCAGAGGGCCACCGGAGTCACCCTGGCAGGAGTCCTTGCCGCTGGAGTAGGCACAGATCATGGTGGACCTGATCTGGCTGCCATATCCGTAGGTGGAGGAAGCACACTGCGACTGGCTCACGATCTTCAGGTTCACGTACTGCAGCTGGCTGGGAATGGAGCTGGAGCCGGAGGACTGAGTGCCCCAGCCGGAAACGGTAGCGGCGGCTCCATTGGCGGGGTTGTAGGTAGCCAGGGAGATGGCCTTGACGGAGGAGCTGAAGCTCAGACTGGAGCTGAGACGGATCACGGCGATGTCGTTGACCATGGTGTTGGCGTTGTAGCCCTCGTGGTTGCGGAAAGCGGCCACGCTGACCAGGCTGCCGCCAGAGCTCCAGTAGCTGGATCCAGCGCGGACCTTCAGGGACGAGGCGGACACGGACTGCAGGCAGTGAGCGGCGGTCACAATGATCTTGTTGGAGTAGATGGATCCACCGCAAGAGTGGCCACCGTTACGCTGCAGGGAGATCTGCCAGGGGAAGCTGGTGATGGTGGTAGCGGAACCTCCGACGATGCGGCCATCCAGCTGGGGCAGGAGACCCTCGGGGATGGTGCCTCCCAGGGCGCAGGCCACGGCGGACAAAAGGATCACGAACTTGAGCATGGTGAGCTGTGCTGGTAAGTGCTTGCTTACATGCCGCCGCCGGAAGCTTTTATACCAATGGTAGGGGTGTTATCTACCTCCAAGGGTTTACAACTGCGTCGTAATTTGGACAACAAAAAGAGCGACACAAGTGCTGATTCAATTGATTTTATTTCAAGTGCTAAGTGCTTTGATTGCACTGTTTACAGATCGCGGGCGGTATCCTCGATCCAAGAGTGGAAGTGGGCAACATCGGCATACACTCCGGGATAACGGTCATCAGCACAGCCATAGCCCCAGGACACAACACCGACCAGGCGGTCGCCGGAGACCAGCGGGCCGCCGGAGTCACCCTGGCAGGCATCCTTGTGGGCAGCGTAGGCGCAGATCATAGTGTCCTTGATCTTGGAGCCATAACCGAACTCGTCGGAGCGGCAACGATCCACATCGACGATCTTCAGGTCAACGGCCAACAGGTGGTCGGGAATGGTACTGCCACCGGACTCGGTGGTGCCCCAGCCAGAGACAACAGCGGTGGCACCCTCACGGGGATTGGAGTCGGCAATGCGGATCTCGCGGATGGTGGAGCGCAGGCTCAGGTCGGACTCCAGGCGGATGATAGCAATGTCGTTGACCATGGTGCGGGCATTGTAGCCCTCGTGGTTGCGGAATGTGCGGACGGAGTGCACACTGCCGCCGGAGCGCCAGTAGGTGCTGCCGACGCGCACCTTCAGGTCCTTGGCCTCAATAGACTGCAGGCAGTGGGCAGCGGTGATGACGATGTCGTGGGAGTAGATGGAGCCGCCGCAGAAGTGGGAACCACTGCGCTGCAGCGAAACCTGGTAGGGATGGGCCTCGATGGTGGTCTCGTAGCCGCCGACGATGCGTCCGTCCAGCTGGGGAACCATGCCATCGGGAATGGTGCCAGCCAGAGCGCAGGCCACAACGGAGAGGAGTACCGCGAATCGCAACATGTTAATCGATTGTATGCTGATCCACGGATCAGGATCCCTTATATACGCCACTCCCCTGAGAGCGGTAATTCCCCTCCGATAGTCCGTGATAGCTCCAGCATAAGTCTTGCGTGACGCAAGTTCGCTGAGATACGGCCCGCCAGCGATACCAAGAACCAATCAGCTTATCGCTTCACGTCCACTCCACACACCTCTAAAGGCGTTATCTAGCTCTGCCCGGAGGGATCTCGCTTCCCCGGTCGGATGGGGAGATAGTGCGACCCTTATAAAAGCGCCACCACTCGGAGGTGGATTCATTGGATCCTCACCATGCTGAAGTTCGTGATCTTGTTGTCTGCCGTTGCCTGCGCCCTGGGTGGCACTATCCCAGAGGGACTCCTGCCCCAGCTGGATGGCCGCATCGTTGGAGGTACCGCTACCACCATCGCCAGCTTCCCCTGGCAGATCTCCCTGCAGCGTAACGGTGGCCACTCTTGCGGTGGATCCATCTACTCCAACAAGATCATTGTGACCGCCGCTCACTGCCTGCAGTCCGTGTCCGCCTCGTCCCTGAAGGTCCGCGCTGGATCCAGCTACTGGAGCTCTGGCGGCAGCCTGGTCAGCGTGGCCGCTTTCCGCAACCACGAGGGCTACAACGCCAACACCATGGTCAACGACATCGCCGTGATCCGTCTCAGCTCCAGTCTGAGCTACAGCTCCAACATCAGGGCCATCGGTCTGGCTAGCTCCAACCCCGCCAACGGCGCTGCTGCCTCCGTCTCCGGCTGGGGCACCCAGTCTTCCGGCTCCAGCTCCATCCCCAGCCAGCTGCAGTACGTCAACGTGAACATCGTCAGTCAGTCCGTCTGCGCCTCGTCCGCCTACTCGTATGGTAGCCAGATCAGGTCCACCATGATCTGCGCTGCTGCCAGCGGCAAGGACGCCTGCCAGGGTGACTCCGGTGGCCCTCTGGTCTCCGGTGGAAACCTTGTCGGTGTTGTCTCCTGGGGAATCGGTTGCGCCTACTCCAACTACCCCGGAGTTTACGCCTCTGTGGCTGATCTCCGTTCCTGGGTGGTCAGCGCAGCTAGCAACGTTTAAACGAAAAACTAAATAAATCAAACTTTCTGAACATACATACCTCTCCGCTGGCCTTTTTGTTTAGAAAATATAATCATGGATTGTTTTGGAAAATAATAGTAACGTTTTATATCTCACTAAAATGGTGGTTTATATCATAATGATAATATTGGAGGAAAGCTGAACTATGAAAATGTTATAACTAAGATGAATAATTTGAATTTCGAAGTGGTGGGCCACTTAAATTATAATTATAAAAAAAGAAAAAATTAAATTAAATTAATATAAAACATTGAGAAAAGCTAAAAGGAAAAAATATATATTTTCGTACCAAGTATTCATAGGGTAACGTGGTTATAATAACTTAATGCCACCCAAAAATGTATGCAAAAGGTATATAGGGACTTCTCTGGTCCTGTTATAACTACATAATCTTGATCAGAATTACCGCCAAGTCCGTGTAAAAACCTGCAATACAAATATATATATACATGGAGTTCGTTTGAAAGTTAAGAACTCTTAAACAATAGATATCAAATAGGTGCGTTTGTTTTATTGAAAATGAAGGTAACGTCGTAAAGGTAATTAACATAAGAGTTATTAGACAGTAGTTTCCTAGAAAAATGTGTCTTTATTTGGCTTTCAACAATTTCCAATTAATGAAATATTTCAGAAATAATATGATTTTTTTTTATTTTACAGTAATAAAATATGGCCATACCTTAAAGTATTTAAAAATATGTCGAGAAACGGAAAAGTTATAATTTCTAAAAATTTCCCGATATATTATATATAGTCGTCTTATTTTCATGAAGTTCAAATCGAAATTCTAGACTGACAAAAAATAGCCATATCTTAGAGTACATGAAAGCATGAAAGTATGTTGAAACACGGCAAAATTATTATTTGTTTTCTAAACGTTTTCTGATTGTTGATTGGCAGCTATAAGATATAGGCATCCTATCCGGCCCGTTCTGACATATGTATATAGTTTGCGAGAGACGGACATAAGGACAAAGGGACAAGGCTAGATCGACTCCGCTGTTGATGCTGACAACAATATATACACACTTTATAGGGTCGGATATGACACCTTCACAGCGTTGCAAACTTTTGACTAAAATTTTAGTACCCTGCAAAGGTACATATAATGATAGTAAATCAAATGCACGTCGGTCAAGTGCTTTTATTTATAAGCAATGCTAAATAAAGTATCCCGATTACGTCTCACAATATTTTTTATAAATAATCTTCGCGATACCTATCAGCGAAGGAGTATCTGCCCGGTCACTTCACCTGACATTTTTTGGGTTTTCCACACGATAAAAACAATTGAAAACGCTGATTAATTCCCCCAGGAAGATATGGATTCCGTATAAAAGGGGTGCCGGGTTCAGTGGGAAACTCATTGGATTCGCACCATGCTGAAGTTCGTGATCTTGTTGTCTGCCGTTGCCTGCGCCCTGGGAGGCACCATCCCCGAGGGTCTCCTGCCCCAGCTGGATGGCCGCATCGTTGGAGGTACCGCCACCACCATCGCCAGCTTCCCCTGGCAGATCTCCCTGCAGCGCAGTGGTTCCCACTCCTGCGGTGGCTCCATCTACTCCGCCAACATCATTGTGACCGCCGCTCACTGCCTGCAGTCCGTGTCCGCCTCGTCCCTGAAGGTCCGCGCTGGATCCACCTACTGGAGCTCTGGCGGCAGCCTGGTCAGCGTGGCTGCTTTCCGCAACCACGAGGGCTACAACGCCAACACCATGGTCAACGACATCGCCGTGATCCGTCTTAGCTCCAGTCTGAGCCTCAGCTCCAACATCAAGGCCATCGGTCTGGCTAGCTCTGCTCCCGCCAACGGCGCTGCTGCCTCCGTCTCCGGCTGGGGCACCACGTCCTATGGATCCAGCTCCATTCCCTCCACTCTGCAGTATGTCAACGTGAACATAGTCAGCCAGTCTGCTTGCGCCTCATCCACTTACGGATACGGCAGCGAGATCAAGTCCACCATGATCTGCGCTGCTTCCAGCGGCAAGGATGCCTGCCAGGGTGACTCTGGTGGCCCTCTGGTCTCCGGTGGCGTCCTTGTTGGTGTCGTTTCCTGGGGATACGGTTGTGCTTATGCCAACTACCCTGGAGTCTACGCCGATGTGGCTGTCCTCCGGTCCTGGGTGGTCAGCGCCGCTAGCAACATTTAAGCGAAACCTTGCAAAGTAAAACAAACTTGCTAAATATTATACACTGCTGGCGTCTTTATTTTGGGTTATCATCAATCACGGGCGGCCGAGTTCCACAGCCGGTTCTTTGTGTTGGCATTGGCCTTGTCGCTCCTGGTCACGGGACGAAGATGTGCCGCGTCTACCACGTCCCTAAAAGTTAGCAAGTCACTTGTAATGTCTGATGGCTAGTGGCCTTGGTAATGCTTACTTGAACTCCTCATAGCTCTGGGTGTTGTACACAGCCCTCAGCTTGGCATCATTGCGGAGCTGGTAGAGTTCGCCATCGCGAATGCACTGGAGGCAGTTCTCCCGCAGCCGAATAAGCTCCTCCGGAGTTATCTTCCACTCCTCCATGATGCACAATAATCGATTGTTTTCTGTTGATTTCGCTTTGAGTTCCGTTGCCTGGGTAACTACTTGGTTGTTCTATCGCCGGGTGGAGTGTAGAACAGGCCAAAGCTACTTGATAGAGTCTATTGCCGGCGATAAGCACCCATTAGCCGGCGATTAACTTTTACTGCCCTTCGAGGCGACCCGCCATGTATGGCTTTCATGCTCAGGTGCTGGCAGTTTGCACTTGGCTTTCGGAATGACTGTTTACGGAGTACTGTTCGTCCTTCTATTCCTCGGAGCGGTGGTGGCGGCGACACCTGTTGAGACCAATGGCCGGATTATGGGTGGACAGGATCAGGTTATTCGAAACGCGCCCTGGCAGGTGTCCATCCAAATCTGTGCGCGTCACGAGTGCGGTGGCGTCATCTACAGCAAGGAGATTGTCATCACAGCCGGTCACTGTCTGCACGAGAAATCCGTAACCCTGATTAAGGTGCGTGTTGGGGCGGAGCACCACAACTACGGCGGAACCTTGGTGCCCGTGGCGGCCTACAAGGTTCATGAGCAGTTTGAGACTCGCTTCCTGCACTACGACATTGCTGTGCTGCGTTTGTCCACGCCCCTCACCTTTGGCCTCTCCATCAGAGCAATAAACCTGGCCAGGGAGAGTCCTGCCAGTGGCACGACTGCCACGGTAACGGGATGGGGCTATACGGAAGTAGGAGCCCTTGCTGACAACCTCCAAACGGTCAAGCTGTCAATCATCGATCGTGGAGAGTGCGCCTCGGATGAATATGGCTACGGCTGGGATTTTGTGGGAGAGGAAACAATTTGCACTGCAAACACCGTGGATGGAGGAGGAGATGCCTGTACCGGAGACTCAGGCGGTCCTTTGGTGGCCAATCACCTGCTGGTGGGCATTGTATCCTGGGGCTACAGGTGCGGCGAGGTCAACTACCCCGGCGTCTATGCCGATGTGGCCGTGCTGCGGCCCTGGATAGTTAAGGCCGCCAATGCCATATAGCGAAATTTGAGAAAATAAAACAAAAGCACATTTAATACAAAGGAAAAAGTATTTAAATTTTAAGGAAATCGCCCCCCAGGTGGAATCGAACCACTTCGACGCTAATCGACTACGGATTTGAAGTCCGCACCCCGGACCACCGAAGCTCAGTGGGGCAACATAGAGCAAACAGGTTCTCCTATTTAAATGCCAGCTCTGAGGAATAAGAGCTTGGGAATTATAAGAGCGTTCGACGTAGAGATCTTGGTTTTTTATCAGAAGATAACGTGAGATTCCTTCTGTGAAGAGGAACAACAAACTTCTTTCTATCAAGTCAAATTCTTATCTCAATAATAAGATTTCTTCTTTTGATGCTGCAAAGAAAAATCACATGAGAATTATACTTAACTTAGTCTTAATTCAAGTTCACAAAAACATAACATTCCTACAAAAAGGTTTAGTTTTTATTACAAAATATTAACTTGAAAAGCATCAAAATTCAGTTATGGAATGCAATTGCAAAATGTAATATATAAAGTATATATATAAATCAAATACCATTGAGAACATGGAGGAGAATATTTCAGCAAAAGATCAAGGATTTGGGTTTGAAGTATTCACAAGCCGCATCACTTGCGTGGCTGCTGGATGTGGTTAAGGGGCTTCTGCTGCACAGCAGCCGGCGGCTTGTGCGAGTGGGCCACCTGAGCGGAGGCGGGCGTAAAGTCCGTGTTGCCCTTAACGGGAGCACCGCTCACCGAGCCGGAGTTTACGGCCACGGGTTGCTGTTGGGGATTTAATGAAGATAGAAGTGAATATCTAAAAGGATTTATAAATGTCTCATGTCACTCACTGTGAGTCCAGTGCAATCCTCGGCATCCTTGGGCGCACGCTCAGCTGTGGGAGCCTTGTGCTGCACAATCCTCATGCCGCCCGCCTTCACTGTAAATCAGGCGAAAGAAAGCCAAATTAGAAGTCGAACTGCATCTGACGTCAGCACAAATTTCGAAATCTTTTTTTGGACGCAATAGATGTGCGCCTATGCGTGTGTGTGTGCGAGCCCGGGTTGTTTGTTTACTTATCAGCTTTGGACGAAACAGGTTAAAATACTGATAAGGCCGTAGATATTGTGGCCATTGATACGAATTGCTGCATTATTAATTGCCAGCAAGGCAAATAAGTACCTCCCAGCCTTACAATTGGATTTATTTGGGCAAAAACAAAAACATGCCCCCGAGCACGAACTCACACGCATACCAATGCAATAAGTGCACTTACGTGCAGGTGGGTGGCCAGCCACAAGATTCGGTTGCTCATCTGCCATTTTCACTAGGTTCTTTTATAAACTACAAGGGGAAAACCACAATTAAATAATTAAATTACACACTGCTGACTTTCTGACACTTACCGCTTGCTTTTGTTGTAAATAAATGCCGCTGTTTTGCTTTTGCGTTCTAATTGTGACACGTACGCTATCGATATCGATATGCATCGATAGCCGATGGCAGTGCTGCCGGACTGCGTCAAATCTTATTTAAAATGAAGTTTAAATTATTTAAGAATTGGATATACATAGTGTTTTAATGACCCTTATTTATTTAGTATTAAATAATAATTGCATTTAACAGATCTGTATTAGAAAACACGATCCTTAATTTGGACTACCGCTTCATAGGTGTCCCACAACTTCTTTGTTTAGGCGGCACTGGATCAATATTGAGAACGATATCATTGTAATAGTAGATTCCTTTCGGTATGGAACATGGCTAAAACATGCCGGGAAAATTCGTGTTCACTCCATACTTTAAGGTATCGTTGGCATAGTGCCAGTAGTTCCTCACAGCATCGCAAGAATGTAGATCAGAGGTGCCGAAGGGCAAAGCAAACGTAAACAACTTTACTATTATTACAAGGTAGATAAAATTGGTATTTAAATTATTTAGTTAAATAATATCACGAATATATTGTGTAATCCGTGAGTTATTATAAAGTTCCACACTTTTCAAGCCCCATTTAACTCTACATGTAATATAAATCCGTTAATTGCTTATATATCATCTATATTTATCACTATTCGTACATCTTAACTTGGTAAATAATAAAATCTAACTAAATAATAATCACTACAACTATCAATCAGCCTGCGAGATGTTCTGTGCGGCGCTAATCAGGGTATCATGGATGTCCTTAGCCGACTGGACATGCACCCGTACGGTATTCAGATAGGTTGGGTACGGAATGGGTCCAGCATTCTCCGGCATGAAGCTCTCCATGCGCATGGGTGTCACAGGGCCGGGCAGGTAATGGTTGGACGAGTTCTGCTGCTGCAGGCACTGCATTGCCGTCTTCAAATGGATTTCGATCTGGTCGCAGCAGGCGTAAAAGTCCTCCAGGTGCTTGTCAAAGCGCGGGACATGGTGGGCTCCGGTGTCCCGCTTGAGGTTATCCGCCAGATTGTTCTGCTGCAGCGTGAAGGCACTGGATCGGATGGTGAGGAACATGGACTCCCGCAGCGGTCCGAGCAGGGTTTTCACTCTGGAAATGTTGTCCAGTTTCTCGGCCTGCTGCATCGGCTGCGGTTGTTGTTGCTGCTGGTGCTGCACGGGCACCGGTGCTCCGGAGGGCGAGGACTGCATCTGCACCTGCATCATCTGTGGGCCCGCCATGGGCATCATGTTCATGTTGGGATTCATTATTCGCTTGCAATTTGACAATTAATAATTTACACAGCAAAGTTGGTTGATTTTTTCTTTTAACAAAAGTCGTTATCGGCTGCAATCGATATCGATAATGAGCGAAAGCAACACGGCCTATCGGAACCAGTGCTGGCAATTTTGCTAAGAAAAAGGCTGTTTGCGACGGACTGTATATATTGGCAAAACATTTAAATTAAGCAATTTTTCTTTATATTTTGGAATTAAATATTATTATAAAAAGGTTATAGTTTTTAAATTGACTTAAAATTAAAAATAATCCGTTTCCCGCCTACATTCTCTCAATTATAAAAATCAGCTAAAACTGACAGGAAAATAGCTGATTTGGCAGCCCTGATTCAGAACAGCTGTGGCGCCTAAAACACATTTTTCTATTAGAATTAACCAGGCGCAGGGCGCGTTGCTAAAACCGTAAGAAACTGAATAAACATCATGACCAGGTGAGTAGTGTAGTGCCCCCTCGCCGGCAAACTGTCTGCCCAGGAGCTGCTGCGGCGTATCATAACCTTAAACTAAAACTGGCGCTTGGTTGCACTTGCACCCTTGTACCCCCAACCCGCAGGAACAGCATCGAACTGGGCGATGTGACGCCGCATAACATCAAGCAGCTGAAAAAGCTCAATACAGTTGTCTTTCCGGTCTCCTACAACGACAAGTTCTACGTGGATGTCCTGGAGGCCGGCGAGCTAGCCAAATTGGCCTATTACAATGACATTGTCGTCGGCGCCGTCTGCTGTCGCGTTGATACCACCGAGAACCAGCGTCGGCTATATATCATGACCCTGGGTTGCCTGTCGCCGTACCGTCGCCTGGGCATCGGCACCGTTATGTTCGAGCACATCCTGAACTTTGCCGAGAAGGATGGAAACTTTGATAGCATTTTTCTGTAAGAAATCATTGGGAAAAATATGCTTTATTTTATTAGAAAATATAATTATATATATAATTAATTGCTTTTTATAGGCACGTCCAGATCAACAATGATGGAGCCATCGAGTTCTACAAGAAATTTGGCTTCGAGATTGTAGACACCAAGGAGCAGTACTATAAGCGCATCGAGCCAGCGGACGCCCATGTCCTGCAGAAGGCGCTGCGACGCACTGCCGCCGCAACCAATGCCAACAACTCCGCCACCAGCAACAATACCGCCAACTCCAATGCCCGCAGTAAAGCACGCCAGTTCACGTTTGTGTGAGAGGACGACAAGCTTCGAATTCAAATGGTGTGACCAGTGAGAGACGGCCAAAACGATGTATTCAATTAGTCCGATCATATCTATGTGTAATCAATATTAATGAACCACCCCTGCGAGGGAATAAATAGCTCTGTACGGCGCTCTGGCCAGTCCAAATTCCAAAAAGTTGATTTCAAGCACACATAGGATGCAGCACGACGACGGCTTTGTCTACTGCTACGGGAATCTGTACGGCCTGCTGCTGTACTGGGGCTTAATCACGTTTCGGGTGCAGAGTCCTGGCCAAGGTGGAGCCGCCTTCACCAGGTGGACAGTAGTCTATGCCCTGCTGACCCGCCTTCTGACGGTATCCTGTTTCCTGGGCAGCGTTTTTGTTAAGTTGAGGGATCCAGAGATGGCGGCAGCCATGTTTGGTCACCTTACGCCGTTGGTCAAGGCGATCTTCACTTGGGAGTGCCTCAGCTGCTCCATCACCTACGTGGAATATTGTCTGTCGATGGATGCACAGAGGCGGAGGCACTTGCGTCTCGTCGCCGGCCTGCAAGAGTTCGATCGGATCGTTTCGCAGCAGTTTCCTCGGGTTAAGTGGAACTACCAACGCACCCGATGGAAGTATTGGTATGGCACCGTGATCGTGGGCTTCTGTTTCTTCTCCTTCACAATTTCCCTGATCTTTGACACGGCGCGTTGCACCTGCGGCATCCCATCCACCTTGCTGATGGCCTTCACCTACACCCTGCTGACGAGTTCGGTGGGACTGGTGGGATTCGTTCACATTGGCATCATGGACTTTTTGCGCCTGCGCATGCGACTGATGCAGAAGCTCCTGCAGCAATTGTATCAAGAGGGTGACGGTGCTGGTCAGCGGGAGCGGCACGAGCGGATTGCCCATCTGTTCGTCATGTCCAAGCGCTGCTGTGAACTTCTCGCGGAGCTGAATGGTGTCTTTGGATTTGCCGCCGCCGCTGGTATCTTCTACGACTTTACGATTATGACCTGCTTCGTGTATGTGATCTGCCAGAAACTGCTCAGCCGGGAGTCGTGGGACCTGGAATACACATTCATGCTGCTCCACGTAGCCATACATTCCTATAAGGTAATCATCACCAGCGCCTATGGTTATTTGCTGCAGCGAGAGGTGGGTTTGATGGATATGCAGGACTGTGCCAGCTGCAATTAAATGGTTTCTACTAAATCCTTAACAGAAGCGCAATTGCCTGCACATGCTGGGCAACTATGCCAGCCACTTTCCCGGCCAGAATGTGGCCCGGCAGCAGACGGAAGACTTTCAGCACTGGCACATGCACAATCGTCAGGCGGCTCTGGTGGGCAGCAGTATTCACCTCAATATATCTACTATTTACCTGGTGAGAGGGAAACAGAGAGATCGGTATATGGTGACAACTTTTATTCCTCCCTTTCTGGCAGGTATACAATGGCATGGCGAACTATGTGATTATCCTGGTGCAGTTGCTATTCCAGCAGCTGCAGATCAAGGAGCGTCAGCATAGCTTGGGCAGGGATGTGGACATTGTGGGTCATATCGGTCCCATTACTCACATGGATTAAAATATAAAGCATAAAGCATTTTCTTTTAGGGCTTTGATTAACAATTTGCTGAATTTATTGTCAAAGTAAATGCTTATAAAACGTAGTATTGTGGTAATTTTGTAACCCATAATAGTTGTATCAAAATGCTTACTTTATTGCTTTTTAATACAAATTATATATTATATTATTAATATATATATATTAAGATATAAATATATCTTATTCATCACCAAAAAAAGTGCCAGTTGCAGCGCCCATAGGAAAGTCTATCCTGATCTGGATAAGTCTTTAGCGTCATGTAAGCCTCGTCCAGAACTTTAGTGTATCTAGCAAGCTGCTGTGGTTCAAAATTAGATAGAAGATCTAACTCATCATAGAAGTAGTAGGATAGAGAGTTATCCTTGAGGGCCTGGCACAGCTCATACAACAGCTGCAAGGAGAGAAGAAATAAAATACATACATATACTATTAATAGTATTACAAATAAACATCAACTTACATCGATAAATAAGTCCTCTAACGAAAATTCGTCGCTATCTTCATTATCATTTAACCACCACAATGCCAAGGACACCAGGTGGTAGAAGTGAATCTTGGGCAGACCTTTAGATTCACATAGCGCTTTCAGCAGTATTACGGCATCTTGCATCACCCTGCCACCCCCGCTGAGCATACTAAGTTCCTCTCTAATGTTGCTTACTATGAAGGTGCATTTTCTTGAGCGCTTCGGTCCTGGAACTGACTTAGGGACCACCTGAAGGTCGACTCCCTCAAATCGAACCTTAATTGCCGGCACAAAATCAATGAAGATCTCACGATCCGCTGATGTTGCAGTTATGGTGTGGCAATTCTGGCGATATTCGTAATATAGGCGGTATAAGTCATTTGGTTTTGTGCCCCATACCACGCGATCTTGGATATCTCTAAGGATGCTATCCATCAAATTGCGAATTTCCTCGTTCTTCAGATACCAGCGATGGTCCAACAGCGTGTCCTCCACGAAACTGTGGGATTCTAGTTGGTCGAAGCATAAATGCACCATTCCTGGACGATGTTGATCCGGCCGGACAAGGATTTGGTGGTAGTTGGGGAACTCCAACTCGATCATCACGTCGTACTCATCGTTGTCGAACATGCGGATACCATGGGCGGCGCTTCCTATAGTTTATAGAGTCAAATATAAATTTCTGTATGCGATATTAACATTACGGATACACAACTCACCAAAGGTTAAGAATTCCGGGTGGCATATAGAGTTCAGCAGACTATTACTCTTTACGATGGCTTTTACTGAGTCTAGGACTTTATAATAATCGTCATGATCTCCAGGAGCGTACAGATCGTCAGCTATCTCTTCCAAGTATTCTTCAAAAACGGAACTCATATCGTTGGTTTTCTGTCTGAAATTTTTAAATATTAAATATATTAATATAATTAGAAAGACGCGTTTTGCATCGATAAAATGATAAACAGAAGATTTTATGGGCCAGAAATATATAAATACCATTCTTTTGTAAATTATATAGATTTATATTTTATTTATTATAAAAAAGATATAAATCAACACCGTAGGAAAATTATAAACTTTTATGTAAGCAAAATTTTGTTGTTTTTTAAATTATTTTTTTAAACTTTTTATATGTAATTCTAAACTGGTTTTAGCCTTATATCAGCAAACAATTGTAGCTTTATCTCCAATCTCTCCGATAGAACATTTATTTAACTATTAAATATAACAAAATGGTCTAACCATAATTAAAGAAGTAGTTCTCATATTTAAAGACTTGTACATTTAAAGAGAGAGATTTCGAGAGTTAATCAATGAGGGCAAAGTTTATTGTTGCAATATGCAAAATAATGGTTGGGTCAATGCAGAAACTATTCCTGAATGGGGCAGCGTGTGAGGATGATTTTTGGGGTCAGGTGCATATGTAAGTAAATACGTATTTGGTGCAGATTGCATCAAAACTCCGTTAGGCGGCCAACATCATATAAAAACCGCCTACATTATATACATCTCACACTCTGCCCGTGTATATTATATATGAACATACATATATGGATGTTTATATATATAGGCATTTATGTGTATGTGCACACGCAAAGCGCTCGCTCGCCTACTCCGCAGTCCGGACATCGTTTATCGATTTGCGAAAGGCAGCAGCAGCAGCACCAGCAGCAGCAGCAGCGGCGGCGGCAGCAGCAACATCCACACCAAGCAACACAGCAACCGAGCTCCACCAGCGGCGGTAGGCCGCTCTCCTCCACTTCGCTCCGCTCCAGCTCGCTGGCATAGAGCAACCCCCTGCCCCCACCACGACCCCCATCCAACCGCCTCCCTTTTCCTCTCGTTTTGCGGCAGCCACACACACACACACACTCAGCTCTACGTACACACAGATACATACATATAGACAGGCCTTCGCCGCCGAACGCCAAAACGCCCAGCGACCCCCACCATCCCTCTATGCCCCTTCAAGCCCGCCCTCTATTCAACGAAATGCTGATGACGATGATGGCGAATGGCAATGATGATGATGATGTTTGGAACTGGCAAACCGGGAGCTATGCGAGTGTATGTGTGTGTGCGAGAAAGAGGAAGACAGAGAAGCGGGGGCAGCCGGCCGCCAGGACTTGGGCAGGCGGTGAGTGGGCGGGAGAGGCCAGGCGGCAGAGAAGGAGAGAGGGAAGAGAGAAAAGCGAAAAAATACTTATAATAAAAGCAACAAAAAACCCGCACAAGCTGAAGAGATACAAACATACAAGCACACGCAGCCAAAGCACAAGCACATATATAAACAGGCGCCGCCGCCGTCGTCGTTGCTGTCGTCGTCGCCTTGCTATAAGTATAGCCGTGTGTTTATGTGTTAGTTTGGGGCCGTCGCCATACCTCGCTCCAACCTACCCTACCCCAACCCCCCCCCCCCAACACACTGACTGGCTCTGCTGCTGCTGCTGCTTCTTCTTCTCGCAGCGGCGCGGTAAACCCGTGTCAATGGGGGCGTGGCGGGCGGCGTGAGGAGGTAGGTAGCCCGACTGGTCGTAGGTTCGCAGGCAACAAAAACAACTTGGTGGAAAGGCAAAAGAGTCGCAAGCTCCAAGGAGTGCAAAACAGAGCTTAGGAAGGAGGGGGACAAGGTAGCAGCGGGGTAGAACGAGACGGATCGATGTAGCCACTTCTTGGCCGGGGCTGGCATCTCCTTATATCTTCCCCCCCTCTCTGGACTATACTTTCCAATCTCCCTCACAAGCAGTTGCCTAGCGGTACAATGTTTCACTCTCTCTTTCCCCCAAGTGATAAGGATTAGCTGACGATCTTGGAGCCTCTCTTTCGTCTTTCAACTCTCACTCTCTTCTGGTCATCCATCCTTTCGATATTTCGTTGATATATTGTATCTTCGATTTTCGTTCTGCCTTCGGCCATTTCCCTATGACCTTGAACTTCGCTGCTTCAGCACGTGATAATGCAGACGGGTGCAACAGTTTCCTCAGTGCAAATTGCATTTAAGCGCTGATTTCGCAGCATCGCAATTCTGTCGCATGCACAAATACATGTACATATCTATATGTATGTAGTATGTACATATAGAAAAGTACAAGCATACAAGGCACTATGGTGCAACTAGCAACAAAAGCAACATACGGCCACAGCTCGAGTGTTGTTTCTTTTTTTGTTGCTTTTTGCCTGGTGGGCGGTTAACGCTGGAGCCCCTCTGTTTCTCTCCGTTTCTCCCCCTTCCGTTGCTGTGCGCTTCGTGATGATGAGGTTTTGCCTTCTTCTTGTTCTTCTTTACACGTCCTCCAACGGCGTGTGCGTTTGTGTGAGAGTGTGCGCGCGCGGCAGGAGGGTGGTGCTGCTGTTCATGTCGGTGTCGGTGGGCCTGGGTGGAGTGGGGAGCGGCATGTCGGGAAAGAAGGGGGCCACAGAGGCAGCAGGGTGGAGGCACGGTCTGCTGCCGCCGTCGCTGCTGCTGGCGTGTCTGTGTGTGCATGCAGCTCTGTTCGTTGTCGTCGTCGCGTCGTTTCATTCAAGTGTCCAACGTTTGCCGGAGCGGTCATACAACGGTACTTCGACGGTTCGCAATTCTCTCTCACGCCCCCTCGTTCGCTTGTTCTCCGGTGCTGCTCTGCTCTCTCTCGGTCGCTCGAGCCTGAAGGGAATACGGGGGAGGAGGAGAGTCGGAGAGGTCGCCAGTGCATACGCACCGTGAGAAAACCGTTAGTTAGCATGAAGGATGTGAAAGTGGCGCGCGCAATAAGCGAATCCTCGACAACGTCCGATAACACCTCCGACTTCATCGAGATCGTCAAGAAGTACGATGTGGTGTACAACAATCACAATCCCGATTACAAGAACGTGGAAGTCAAGCTAAAGGTGTGGACGCAAATCGCCGACGAGATTGGTCTCTCAGTGGGTAGGTAATACCACACTAGTACAAAAAAGAATAACCCAAAGGAGGCGGCGGCTGAAATTGAATTACGTAGAACAAGCACACACTGCTGTACCGCAAACGTGTGTGTGTGTACCTGTCAGCGGACAAACTCAAACCGCCGCCCGGCCTGATATTTTTCGAACGCTGGTATATATATAATATGTACATATGTATGTATGTACGAATGGGCTAGCGCGGTGATGTGAGGGGGGGAGCGCGAGTGCGGTCGGCAAATTGCAGCGAGAAGCAGCCACTGGCACGCAGAAAAAACAAACAAGAAAGCAAGGTAAATTCGGCACGCCGAAGTTTGTATACCCTTGCAGTAAGTAAAACAATAAAAACAAGAAATGAAGCTAACTTCGGCAAGCCGAAGTTTGTATACCCTTGCAGATTGGTTTCGATGTTTATATTATAGATTTAAATGCTGAATACACTCACAAAGCAAAGTTTCATTACATTTTACCTATACTTATTATGTTTACAGTTTGCAAGTTACAGTTTTACATTCCCAGCCTTACATTTTCCCTACATCTACCGATCGCTCCTATGGCAGCTATATGATATAGTTGTCCGATTTTTATGAAATTTATACCATAATTCTAGAATAATAAAAAAAGCTTATATCTCAGAGTAGATAAACATACGTTGAAAAACAACGAAGCTATAATTTTTTTTCCTATTTATTTCTCGATCGTTCCTATGGCAGCTATATCATATAGTCGTCCGATTTTCATAAAATTCTTACCAAAATTCTAAAATAATATAAAAAAGCCATATCTATAAAATGGTGCAAAAATGTTGAAAAACAGCAAAGTTATAATTTTTTTTCTACAAATATATCGAACATTTGTATGGCAGCTATATGATATAGTCGTCCGATCCGGCCCGTTCTGACATATATAGCAGTGAGAGCATATAGAAGACTATATGCAAAGTTTCATTCAGATAGCTTTAAAACTGAGGGACTAGTTTGCGTAGAAACAGACAGACGGACAGACGGACAGACAGACAGACGGACAGACGGACAGACGGACAGACGGACATGGCTAGATCGACTCGGCTGTTGATGCTGAACAAGAATATATATACTTTATAGGGTCGGAAACGTCTCCTTCACTGCGTTGCAAACTTCTGACTGAAATTATAATACCCTGCAAGGGTATAAATATAAGGATTAAAACTGAAATTCTGAAATAATTTAAAATGGCCATATCTCAAAATAAATGGAAATATATTAAAAACAGCCAATTTATAATTTTTTTCTAAACATTTGTCGAACATTTGTATGGCAGCTATATGATATAGTCGTCCGATCCGTCCCTGAAAGGGTATAGGAAACAGAAACTGAGCGAAAACTGCGCGCTCTCTGATGCTGAGAAAGCAAGAGAGAGCTAAATCGAGAGAGCAGTCAGGCCCCACTGAGTGGGGGTGTGGGAGGCAGGGTGGCAGAGCTTTTCAAAACAAAAACATTGCACGGTGTTGCCAGGTGCGAAACATAACTAAAACATGCAACCACCTGTGATATACATTTTAAAAGATTTCTTGAGGTATTAGCTTAATATCTTAATATTAACAATTCTTCTGGTCTGCCATATTTCTAAAAAATATTTTTCCTAGAAACTTTCTTACATGGGAACATTTTGAAACACCCTGCACTCTGCTCTCTCTCTTTCTTTAACATAAACATCACGGATTTGTTTATCTTTTTTTCTAATTAGCCGGCCTAATTTTGTAGGCAGCACTTTAAGTCTGGCTTCGTGGAAGTTATGGCAAAAGATAATGCGCATTTTCTTATTTGTAGCACACGTTTGTGTGTAGTATGTGTGTGTTAAATAGTAAAAGAGACGCACTTAAAGTTCAATCTAACTTGGGGAATCACAAAAATTTGACTTACCAGCGAGCTTTTTCTTTTGTTGATTTTATCAATATTGCTTTATTTAATTGTGGTGTACTTGTTTCTGTCTTGTAAACTCGCAGTTTTCTTTTAATTTGAACATATACCGTTTGAATTCTTTTCTTTCGGAAAAATGCACTTGCAATTTCTTTGAAAGACGACTGAAATCTGACAATGCTGAATTATCGATAAACTGAACGTTTTTGAGATCCCAAAGATCGTTGAAAGCATTTTCAAGGAATCCTGCAAATGGTCACACTTCTTAATGGTTTAAAAAAATTTTGAATTTGGATATTTAAGTTAAATTCTGAAAACTATACTAGTTCTTTCTAATTTAATGTATACTCTTTGCAGAGGCCTCTAAACGAAAATGGAAGAATCTAAGGGACAGCTACACAAAGTATCTGCGCTCGTTCCGCGTCGGAACCAAGACATCCAAGAAGTATCAGTACTGGGCCCATGCCGACCACATGGAGTTCCTTAAGCCCTTCCAGGGACCGGGCAGGTATTTAACCATTCCTTTATTTTAGCAATATACCATCGAAAACTAATCTGTTATCCTGCTGCAGGAACTCCGCCAATGGCAATGGCAAGTCCAACGACGAGGACGACACAGAGTGTGATTTCGGTTACCAAGTGCTGGCCAAGGCGGCCAGCAACGGAGGCGAGGAAGAACTGAAGATTACCATTGCCACAGCTTCGGCGGGCTGCTCTTCGATTGGAACGCACACGGTCAATACGTATACCACGGCTTTGAGCAGCACTTTGGCGCCAGCTCCAACGACCAGTTTAGGTGTGGCCACGCCCCCCAACATGATCTCGCCGGGCAGCAATTTGGGCGGAGGGTCAGGATCCGGAGGAGTGGGTCTACTGAATCAGAATACCAATAGCAATGGCAGCGCCAACGGGAGTCTCAACTGTGCTGCAGTTGCTCCGCTCAGTTCCCTCACACCGCCGGCCACCAGTGGTTGCAATTCCGCCGTCGTCCTGCCCCTGCCCATCTCACCTGCATCCTCTGCAGCCGCCGCCGCTGCTGCTGCCGTCAGTAAGGCCAACGCGAATGCCCTGGCCTCGTTGGCCACCCACCTGCCCATGGGCATGGGCGTGGGAGGATTGGCCCAGCAGATGTTCCCACTGGCCACGCTCAAGGCGGCCGCAGTGGCTGCTGGACTGCCGCTGCCTCCCACTGTCACTCCGCCTGGCTGCAGCACCTCCAGCGGACCCAGCAGCAATGTCGGCTGTCTGATCATCGAGCCGCATCTCTTCGCCGCGGCGGATAACTTCAAGAAGGAGCTAACCGCAGCGGCTGCGGCCGGAGCTCCATTGGGATTATTCCAGAACCTGGCTAACCAGGTGCAGAATGCCAATCGCTTGAATGGCGGCAGCTGTACAGGAGTTACCCTGCCCTTGGGCAACCCCACGCCACCTCCGCCGCCTGCAGCGCCACCGGCCTCAAAGGTACGGAGAGTTCAACCCTCACCGCAGACGACGGCCATAAATCTCAGTTGCTCTGCCGTGGGAACACCCGGTCAATTCCAGCAGCCACAGGTGCAGATGCAGCAACAGATCCAACAGCAGCAACAACCGTCATCTCCCGCCAAAACGCGCAAGATCAGCGATCCGCGTTTCCCCAGCGACTGGGATGTATCCGCCGTGCTGCAGGCCAACCGGGAACTGGACGCCAACACCCTATTCTTCCTGAGCCTGGCACGGCAGGTGCGGGCCATGCCCATGAAGTTCCAGTCTCTGGCCAAGATGCGCTGCATGCGGATCGTGAGCGATCTGGAGCTCGAGCTGGAGAACTTTGACTGCAACGGAGGGGCACCGCCGCCGGACGATTCGGGCGGGGGAGCTGGTAATATGAAGTATTGCAGCATTGATACTCCCCCACCGCCGCCGCAGGATGGTTCCGTGGTGATCCTGCCACCGCCAGTCGGACCCGAGGGCTCCACGGAGCATTTCGTGTATGTGATGTCGCCGTCGCGGGTTGAGAGCATGATCGACATCTCCTCCGACGAGGAGGCGACCATGAACGGGGTGCCCTCCTCGACAGTGGGCTCCTCTGGACAGGTTTAATCGTACTTCGCGCTCGTACAAGCTATCTCTAATTTAATTAAACTTAAATTAATCTCAAAATAGACTCGTTTTTGGAACTTTTTATTTTGGTGGCGACGGGCGATCGATCCTTTCGATGCTTATGGGTACAAAATGTGGAAAAATCTCTTCGTGAGGGGGACCACCCGGGGCCAATTTGATGCTAGGTGATTTAATGCGAATGAATTTCATTCAGAAAGTCGATGACGAGGTGGCATCCTCCAAACAGAATGGAAATCCCTCTTAGGCCTGCACCTTGCTCTTGGTAGTGAAGGCAAAGTAGGCAACGCCGCCGACGAGGAAGGCGGCCAGAAGCTCAGCCTTCACCCAGGGACCCTTGTAGGCGCTCTTCGTGGGCACAGCAATGTCCAGCAGGGACTTGACCGACGACACCTTATCGCCATCGCGCTGGGCCTTGCGCACATTGGCATAACCTTCCTCGTCGAAGAGACGCACCTGGACATTGCCGCTGCTGCCCTGCTTGATGTCCTCCACCCAGCTCACCTAAGACCGGGAAAAAAAAACAAGAAAACAGGGTTAGGAGCTGTCCCTTATTCCCGAGTGTACTTCCATCTCACCTGGTACTTGTTGTCGCCCACTTGGGCCACAGGGACCACCTTGCCGCAGGGGAACTCGGCAAACAAGCTGGCGGGGGCCGCTCCGCTGCATTGCAGCGTAATCTCGCCAACATGGGCCAGCTGGGTGAGAATCGTGGCATCCTGGGTGCTGAACGAGCTCACGGTAGCCTTGCAGCTTCCATACACGCCGGACGCGCACACGGCGGCAACCAAGCAGATGGCAAACAGTTGACGGGACATCTTGGTGGATTTTGTTTTGGTTTTAATTGAGGAATGGGGAGAAGTTTATGAAATTAGCTCCAGCAGACTTTCTTTTAAGTTTAAACAATCGCCACGACAGCACGAAACGTCATCTGACAGCCGAAAATTGCCGAGCTGTCAAACAATCGATAGTAGATTTTATCGGTACTGTATAGCAATGCCATCTCTAGAAAAGGTGTATACAATTGTTTTTTACATGTATCTTTGAGATATTTTTGTATCTAAATGCCGTATTCCATATTTAAGTTTATGTTTCTTATTAAACCTTTTTTTTAAACAAATTATTTATTTATTTATTCATTTAAATATGTCAAATTTAACAATATTTGTAAAAATGTAAAAATGTCAGTAGAAATTAAATCGTATCTGTAAAATATGTAAAATTTTTGGTAATGACAGCAGATTAGGATATATTGTTTCTGTTATCGATTTGGCGGTTAATTCAAATTACGTTACGTTAGCTCGTTATAATATAATATAATATTCTAATTAAATTAGTTGTTTATAAATCAGAAGTTCGAGTAATACATTAAAATAGATCAACTAACAACCAATCGAAGCCAATCTTTAAAATGATTTATTTGTTCAAATTTAAATAAAAAGGCATAATTCCATTTAGATTGGTCCAGCTCCGTTCCAGTCACAGTCACAGTTACCGAAATTTCATTTCCCACGCTTTTTGCAATTAAAATAAGTTTTTCTCTGACATGGTGCCCGGTTCCGTACCGCTCCGTATTTGGTTACGGGCACCGACTCTCTACTATATCTAATATGCATTTACCCGGCGCCACTTATTTACGGCATTTGCATTGTAATTGAATTGATTTCGAATTTTTCGAATTGCACAACTCGGGGAGGGACGACTCCTGTCCGATCCTGTGCAAAGCGCGTCGTCAAAGTCAAGCCATAAATATTGACTGGAAATGATTAATGCCCATCCAGCGATTGGCCTTTCTTGCCGTTTTGTTTTAAGTACATTTTATTGGCAATCCACAAAGGCATATATACATTCGTATAAATACTTTGAGTAACATTCATACATATGTTTGGGCTGTGACCTTGGCTGGGTCTTGATTTGGTTTTGGTTTTTGGATTTTATGCCATTTTCTGTGTTTGTGTTTGCACCGCCCCCCCCCAAGTCCACCATCCTGCTCCTCTGTGTACTGTTATGTTCGTTACTTTTCTTTGATTGCCACCGCGCACGGAACTTTTCCACCGCCGCCGAACTTTGCATGTCTTTGATGAATTTGAAATTGTCACAAATGTGAAAGTTTTTCACATCCATCTGGGAGCTAGAGATAGACACACAGACACACACGTAGTGACAACTGAATTTGCATCTAACGAAAATTTGCTGACATTGAGCGACTTGTACGCATTTCTCCTCTCTCCGGGGGGGCTTTTCTCCTACTTTTTGGCAATCGCCAATTCATTCATTCACGGTCGGATTTGCATATTGCCAAAACAAAAAAAGGGAGAAAAACCAACAAAAAAGCACACACAACAAATGCTGTAATCCTTTCGATTATGAGGCGTAAAGTGGGTGGGCTTTAGTGGTTCGTAAATGAAAACAAAAGTTCGTGCGGGTTCATTGAGTCGCAGTCGAAAACTTGCCAGACCCCAGCGAAATTGCACGTGTCTCCGGAAGGGGCTGGGCTGAATACAGGGGGAGTGGCTAGAGGGCTAAATGCACTCAACAAAAATATTAAATTTCTAAATTCTTAAAAAAATAAGTTGGTAGATCTTAGTGCCTATGGAATTCTATATCAAGCTGGTGAAAACTGGCTTTGAATGTCAGTCTTTTTCCAATTCCAAAAGCATTCATTCTAGGTTGAACCTTGTCCAGTGCTACTCCTATCCGGATACCCACAACATGGACGGCAAGCTTACCAACATGAAGCCGCTGACCAAGAAGCAGGATGAGAAGGAACAAAACTTCAACATCAAGGCAGAGGGGACTCCCAACACAGAGGAGGGCACCCAAGAGAAGACGGCACCTGATGACAAGGTACCTCGCAAGCCATTGGGCAAGCGTGCCAGCAAGCCCAGTCCCAAATCTAACGAGCAGGACCAGAAGAAGAAAAAAAAGCAAGAGGACAGCAAGACCAAGGACATGGCCAAGGGGTTCGAGAAGCCCGTGGCAGCGGCCAGGAAGCTGCGGCAGATCAAGCCTCCATCTAAACCGCTAACCAAAAAGGACCAACCCAATAATGCAGCTCCTTCCAACCCAAAAGGTAAGTCATCCAAAAAGAATCAGCAGAAGGAACTCAAGAAAGCTCTCTTAAAAGGTCCTAAAAAGGAGACACCGCCGGGAACCCCAACGGCTAATGTGGGCGCTGCTCCTGTGACCCCTGAGGGAAGACAACCACCTAGATTGCCATTTCCAACGCCAGCCAGACCCAAGCCCGTATCCAGACTTATTAGAGATGAGCCCTTGACGGAGAATAGGCCCACAACGAAGCCGAACCAGCTGGAGGAGTAGTCCAAGTCAATGATTCAAGAAGTGAACTACTTAAGGATTTCTGATAATCAATATAATATAATATAGTTTTATAATTATATTAATTATAATCAAGCATTTATTATACATTTTTTCAAGTGTCCTTATGGCTGGTGAGTGGGTGGTGTTGGCTGGTTGTCTGACGTGTGGGTGTGAGCAGGAAATGGAACAAACAACGGAGCGGTATAGCCGTAGAGCCACCGAGAGAGCCAGCATAACAGGCGAAAGACTCCTTGCGACTCCTTGCCAACGTTGCGATTTTGTTGATTGTTTGTTGGCAACATAAACGAAGCTCCTCTTCATTCACAAAAAAACGCAGTCGGTGCAGGGCATTCGAGCCAAGTGGACGACGCGGACGTGGTAGGCACCTCATCGCGATCTCGGAACTGGATGCGAGCTTTCGCTTTCGTGACTTCAGCCGGTTTCAACGCGATTTGCTTTCGGCTTTCGGTGGTCTCCATTTCGGTTTGCCGCTCTGTGTGTGCTTTCTTTTTGTTGACAAAGTTATTGCCGCCACGGGCTTAATGACTTCGTAATTGATTTGCATTCGATGTGCCACATTGATTGGCAATTGAAACGTAAGCCACCACCGCCTGGGGAGTTCTTGAAGCCATCGATACTCACCTGGACTCCCACTCCAGCAGCAGCAACCACTCATCGTCACCGTTGCTAATCAAGGTTATCAAGGCTAAGCTGGCTGTCACCATGTCGCTGTCTGTGGCCAGCCGTCGTCGCCACCAGACGACGAACGCTCCATCGTCCAGTAGCTCCTCCTCCTCCTTCTTATCAACTCCTGGCGGCCGCTACCAACTGCCTTTGCCGGTGCGAAAGCAGCACTCCTTCATTGAGCCCACCGCCAGGTTCTCGGCCCAGCAGCGAGGCTATCTCTCGCGAGGCCTCTCCGTGGGCAGATCCATTGAGAATATCCGCCAGAAACTGTATCCCGGCAGCAGGCAGACCTCTCTGGCCGTTGAGGAGTCCACGCCAAGGATTGCTCCACGCATCACCGCCTCACAGGTTCAGGGATTGAGGCTCAGGGATAAGAGCCTGGTGGCCTGGTCATCCACTTCATCGCTGTTGAAGGATCAGGAGCCGGAGAGGAATACGCCGGCTGAGCAGGCGGAGGGCAAGATGTGAGTAGATACAATTATACTTGAGTTAAAATTAAAATTGATAAAGGAATAAAGGGAATAATTTTATGATTTAAGAAATTTTCTCAGACAAAAACATTTGAGCATTTTTTGTGTATGTTACCTAATTAAAAAAAGAGAGTATATTGGTTTTTAAATTTTTTTTTTAAATATTTTAAAATTAGTAAATTATATTTTAAATAGGGTATCATAATATATATTTAAGAATCATTTTTGGGAATCGTATGCCTTTAAGACTACCAGTAATATTTTTTTTTATTCTTTAAGTTTTGTTGGACAAATCAAAATTTAAAAACATCATAACTAAGTAAAAAAGGCATTCATTTTAATTTGGAAAGCATTTCTATGCTTGTTTTTATTAGGCTAAAAACTCTGCATACTGAAGTTAAAATTTTAAAGAATTAAAAATTTTGTAAATTTTTGTCAATTTTGACGATGTAACCCCTTATCAAATTTTAAAAAAACTAAGGAATATTAAAAAATTTTTTTCTCTTTACAAAACGGTTAGATTGACTGGGCTTTTGCTGCTGATCAAGAATATATATGATTTATAGGTCGGAAATGAATAATTCACTGCTTTTTAAGCTTCTGACTAAAATTATAATGCAAAGCAAGTATATACAAAATAAGTCTAACATTTATTTAGAACAATTTAAAGCTTTTACTATAAAGTATAAATCAAACCTCTTATACTGTTTAATCAGCGAATCTTTATAAGCTATTAGAATTCCCTTGAAACCCTAAAGGGAAATTGAAGTAGTTTCTCTCAAGGACCGCGACTCCAAGTTACCACAAATTGCTGGAATTGAAATAGCTAAAATATAGCAAATAAATTGTCGCACCTATGGAAACCCAGAGCTCCTTTTGTTTGACCTTGGTGCCTGGCGCACTGTGCGTATACGTAATAAATCCAGCTGAATCCAGTTGTAATGTCTGCCCTGATATCATCTATATAAATATATGCCGAAAGTGACACTTTCGATATCGTAGAGGGGGCGTTGTCGCGTCAAGTCCTGGCTGGGTGTGCAATTTGCATGCTTCACGCCGAAATCAAACGTCAAAGTTTTATGTTTCCAGTGCATAACACACGCTAGACATGCTCACGAGAGGGAGGAGCAGGAGTAGGAGCCAGAGTAGCTGTGGAGGAGCTGCTCCACCCACCTGGCGGCACACTTAAGTCGATCATTGCCCGCTGACAAGATAGCTGAGCGAAAAACTTGGGGGTGCTGCACCTGGATAGCTCTGGGCAAATACTAACCAAGGTGCAATGAACCCTTTGGCAATCATAGACTCACTTTCGTTCTGTCCGCGTTTTCCGCGTTTTTCCCGCTTTTCGGGGCGCCAATTGTAAACGTAATTGACATGGTTTCCTTTTTCATTGCGCGCCAAAGTTAATTTCTATTTCTGGTGCCTTGCATGCATAGCTATTCTCGCGATTCTCGATTTGAGGAATCGGGAACAGCATAAATTGCCTGTGCCCAGCCCGCAAATAATGCCAAATAATTTGATTTAAATTTAGAAGGCGAGGCGACGCTACTAGGTCACTCGAAACTTTCCCTTTTCAATTCGATTTCCATTTCCATATCCATATCCATTTCCCACTTACCGTTCTTACTTTCCCTTTGCAGCAGCGCCAAGGCGGACAAGAATCGCATAAATCTAAACATAGTCCTGTCCCAGACGATAAGGGCCACCAACGAGCGTGAGCAGGAGCCGGATTTCGAGCAAGATCAGGACCAGGAGCCGGAGCATCACTCACAACAGGCTGAGATCCCTGCAGAGATCCCTCTGAGCATCTCGCCTGCCTTGACCGTCCAGCGGCGTCCGCCCCTGGTGCGTGCTATGTCCGCTCCGGTCCGTGGTCTGGACGAGAGCAGCAAGGGCGTCATAGCCGCCAGCAAGCGGAGTCAGCAGAAGCTGCGTCGACGCAAGATCTTTACCAGGACTCCATCCACTTCGGTGGTGACTGGTGGCGTTGGCATAGATGTGCTTGGCGGCGGCGACTCATCCTCCTCGGGAGGAGGAGCAACTGGTTCCAGCAGCTCTTCAAAAAAGGCTCTGAATCGTGCACGCAGCGTGGTGGCTCCAGATGTCATTACTCTGGTCTCCCTGTTGAGTTCCGAGGGCAGTGATTCCGAGCGGGAAGACAACTGCTCCACGGTGGTCACCTCGACGCCAGCTGGCGGAGGGGAGAAACAGCAGCCAGGAACCGGAGCGCAGCGAAGGGCTCCCCTCTTGAGGAAGACGGGCAAATCGGGTAAGTCTTAAGGGATTAGGTTCTCCCAAGTAGGACGACTCGGGGTAGCAGCATCCAGAATCCTAGTTCCTAGTTTAAGTTGCTTTACAAAAACCCAACTAAAGCTTTCTGGCAGTCTCGTTTCAAGACAGCTATCCGCCCACCTTTCAACTGGCCTCCAAGGAGTACTCGCACATGATCCGACGCGGATCGATAGCTCCTTTGGCTGCCCGCATCCGAGCCAACCGGCCACCCACAGCGCCGCCCGTTTCCATTTTCCTAACCGACGTCGTCGTTGGTGTTACTCCGGGCAAGATGGATCAGCAGAAGAAGGAGGGCTCACAGGACGAGATCCCTTTAACGCCACCGGATGAGGCCAAGAAGGAGAACAACAATAATGCGGCCAACTGTGAGGAGCAGCCACCCCAGCCGGATCACAATTATCCAAACTATGTGCGTAGCCTAAAGGAACGCGAGTGCTGGAAGCTGCATCAGAAGATGGGAGCCAAGGGTGTTAATGTAAGCTATGAGACCGTGCTCAGGGGCATGTTGACGCCCACAGAATTCCGGCACTACCAGAAGCAGCGAGAACAGGAGGAGGCTCGTGTCTTGGAGGAGGCAGAGGCTGCCGAGGCAGCCGCCGCAGCAGCCATCCTGGAGAGCGGCGAGAAGGATAACCGCAAGGCTCCAGTCACGGCCATAGAACGATTCTCGGAGGCTCTGCTTCAGAGCAAGTAGAGGGGGAGCAGTATCCAAGAGGATCAGGAGCAGATCTCCCAAAAAAAAACCGACCATTAAATTGCATTTGCCTCTAGGGGACGTAGCAGTAGTCGAGCACTCGTTAAACCGCAGTCGCACCCCGCTGATAAAAGACACCACTGACCGGCGTCCACTCGGTAGTTATAGATGGTACCCGTAATCCGGAGTCCACCAGTCCGGGACTCCACTCCTCAAGCTTAAGTGGACGCTGAGCCTGGCCAATAAACGCAAAAGCAATACCCCCTCCTGTAGACCCTTAACAATAAAGAATACTAGAAGACACCTAAAATCCAGGGAGTTTTTGTTTTAAACAGGTTACCAAGTAATATTTATTATTTAAAATGGGTAATTATTTATTTTATAATAAAAAGCAACAATTTATTACATATTTTTGTTAAAAGATAGAAAACGAAAGGCAATTAATATTGATTTATTAAAGTAAAAGTATTTGTAGCAGTTTTTATTTTTTGTATTGTTTTTGAAACAAAAAATATCATAAAAAAATTAGAAATAGAATTGTAAACTCAAATTAAAATAGCTAAAAATATTTTATATGATTTTTTTCAGTTGAAAATTAACTTTAGAAGGGTTTAAACTATTTATGATCAAGGTTCAGGAAAATCATGTTCTAGGTTTTTGGTCTACTTTCATTTTTTTTGTTTAACAAAATAGATTGAATAATAAATATTTCAATATATTTAGAAGTTATTAATTATATTCAGAAACAATTTTCTAAATTAGCTTTGGGAAGATCAAGACATGATAAGTAAAAAAATGAAAAAGTAATGCCTTGAAATTAAATTTGATATTGATTGTTGCGTTTTCTTTTCGTATACTTTTTCTTTAATTTAAAAAGTTTCTCAAGTGTTTTTGTAAATTGAGCAATCGTTAAACAAAGACAACTACATTAAGTTCAAAAATCAATTAAAAGGTGGAGGGGATCCCCTTCTATCGCCTCTACTTGGCCCTCTCCTGGCGTATGGAACTGGCCAGATAGCAGGCCAGCACTATGCCCAATATCTGGATAAAGGCTATGCCTATGCCCACGCCTATCAAAATAACCGCATTCTTGTCAATTCGAGCCTTCAGCTTGCCCACACAGCCATCCTGGAAGAACTTGTCCCTGCCCAGAGCCGGTGAGTCGGTGCAGTGGCCCACAGTGGTGTCGATATACTGCGGCTGACAACAGCTGGCCGGCAGGGTTTTATTCGCACTCAGTGTCCTCCAATCCGCAGGAGAGTCCACGCCGCAGCACATTAGCTTCTGTTGGATGTTGTCCCAGGCCATTGTGTCCTCGCTGTTGGAACGCTTGATGGACTCCTGGAGGGAGTTCTTAACCATCATCTCGAGGTCCTTCTTGAAAACGCTGGCTGCAATGCCCACTGCTAGTTCCACAATAAAGATGACGGCCAGGAGGACGGCGAACTGGTAAGGATAGGGAATAAGGATAGGGAATAAATTAATTAAATTGTTTTAATTTACAAAAGAGGTTCTTAAAAAATTTTAATAATTATTACAAAGATCCTTTGACTCAATTAAAATATATTTTAATTAATATCCTTATAACTCACCGTCAGCAGTAGCGTTGGCGACTCCTTGATGGCACCAAAGCAACCCAAGGAAGCGATCAGGAATATAATAAGACCCGTCACTATAAGGACTATAGGAGGAGCCAAGACACGTCCTTCCACAAAATGATTGAATTCATTGACATCGGCCAGGACAACAGCGCCGGCTATAAGAATACCCAGGCCGGAGATCTACAAGGAAAAATTGATCCGTCCGATTAATCGAATCGACCTTTTTATATATCCGTAAAGCAATTTGCCTAATGGCTTCCAATCAAGTCCTAATTCGAAATGCGTTGCTTATATTTACATTCCCAATTCTAATTGTGCGATAAAAATCACCCACGACTACTCATTCAATGGTATTTCCATGTTTTCACGTCCAAGTCCACATCGTCATTGACAGTTGGCAGTCCGTGTGTTTGCTCGGTTGTTGGTCAATGCGAAGGACACTCACGGTCTTTGTCCGTGTCCGTGTCCAAGACCATGTCCATGTCCTTTGGAGCACGCATACATCACTTTCATGTCGTTATAAGCGAATCGCTGGCAGTTACTGGCGAATGAAAATGCCATTTTCCAGCGATAATCATCTAAATGAGACTCAAACAAGACTCGCGGCATAAGCGTAATTGCAGGGCTTTAAATCACGGTAATTATGGCGAATTAAATTATAATTTCAGGGGATGATCTGTTTGGATTAGTTGGGGGAATTTTTATATTTAATTCATTGTTAAGGGGGTAATAAATAAATAATTCAGAAATTGTTTTAAATGATTAAAAACAAGTTTTATAATCATGTAGATTTTAGTTGAGGTTTTGGTTTAAATGTTTATATTATAATAGCATCGTTAAATATTGCCTTTTAATAGTAGTTAATTTAGGTATTCCCAAGGCTTCAAGTCTTGCTATAAATTAAGAAAGAATTTTCCCTACAAAGCCTACATAAAACAGCTAAAGGTAGGCTCAGTTAATCGGGTTAAACGGAATTCTGCACCTGCTTGGCCGTTCTGCAATTCAAAAGACTGGAAACTTCCTTTTTCAAAATAAAATCAATGTTCAGATCTAAATAAAATAATCTTTACAGTGAAAATATTATGATATTTTTATATAAACCAAATAATATAGTTAATACTTTATAATTTTAAAAATATCCTATAGGTTATATAAGGAGTTTAACTCTTTGATGTTTCAGTAAAGTTTATACTTGGAAGACTTTTTTATTATATTAAGAAATCACTTTAATATTATTATATGAATTATTTTTATTTCATTATATTAATATTTATATTTTTTCACTTAAAATTCAATCACTTACCGCAAATAAAACATTAAAGGCAAATAATACATATTTTATTAAACTCGGCCCGCAATTACGCATTTTGATTTTTCACTCTCCTTGACCCCAATTAAAGTTTTAAATTTAATTTGAGTTTATTCTAAAATTAGAACTTTTTTCTCAGGTAGATGGAGAGGAGCTCTCCAGATCGCGAGTGACCGAACGGACTGAAGTTTAACCACAAACTGACCGTAGCTGCGGTCCGGCCGGGCTTTAGAAGGCCTTCCTGTTGGGGCTTCTGTTGTGGCCATTGTCGCATTCCCGGTTGGCGCTGGCAACGCACCCCGGGATTATAGGCACAACAAGAACAATAAAAAAAAAAAATGGAAAATAAAAGTAAAAGTGAGTGAAAGTCTTGGAGGAGGAACGTTACAAATTCAGGCCAGTCCGGGAACCGGAAAGGGAATGGGCGCAGACCCATTTCGTTGATTCCACACTCTCGATACCAAAGAACTTTTTGACCAGAAGGAAAGGAGGTCGTCCCTGGGGCTTACCTCACTAACTTACACCTTTGGGCTGCCACCCACGACTTTTACCTGGTGGGTCATTGCACTTATTACCATAAAAAAGAAAACTCGGAAAAAGGGCCGCCCACGCCCTGGTATGGGTTAGGGGAAATCCCTTAAAAGTTAACGCGACCGGGCCCAAGGTGAAATTAATTGCGTGCTTTCGTGCGAAGAAAGTTGTAAACGCTCTCACTCTTTCTCTTGGAGAATCCAAAATTTGTCGGCGTTACTATTTGTGCGAAATAATTAAAGACGCCTGGAACTATGCCACACTGTGTGGACGATGTTAATGTCGCGTGTCGACTTGCCAGAGTCCCCTGTCCCCTACTGGGCTTGGACCCTATCTGGTCACAGAAATCTCCAGCTTGAAGACTGTTGCTTGACCATTAGGTGAGGGGGACTAGCTGGAAAATGCATTTCTTTGAATGATTGGAGGGCAAACATTTGGCTTAAGGCTTCCGCAATTTAAAGCAAATTGTGGCTTCATGGTGGGTCATAGCCCAGGAAAAGTTATATGGCCTAATTACTTAAATAAAAGAGTGGAAAAGGTTAAGTGTGGAGGCCTTGCGTCATTGGTTTTTCTTTTGTTGTTGAGGCATTTCCGCGGAAGTAGTTCTATATAATCTAATTATAGTTTTCTTGATAACTAAATTTGTTTAACCAAAACTGATAACCTATTTATTTATATTTGTTTTGGTTTATTTCGGATTATTTATATTAAATATTTGTTTAATATAGCCTTAGGTTATTCATTGGATATTCAAAGGTAAAGTTAGGAAGGTTATATAAATGCTTTTGACATCTTATTTGTTTTGTTTGAATATTTTTAAAACGTCAATCAAGTTAAATATATATATATATATATTTTTTTTTATATAAGAATTTGGAATTTATGGTATTAATAAGGTGCGGTAATCCGTGAGGTTGATCTTGCTGCCTTTAGTAAGCCCAATTTCTTACGAATTTTCAACAAGTATCTTCTGAAATTGATTTGATATATTTAAAATACACTTAGTTTAAATAACACTTAAGAAATATTTGCAAATTCTCAATAAATGAAGTAATGCTCCATCAAACTCTCCACTTCAAGCACAAAGCCTTGTCTAATCTGCTGATAAACTCACAAGTAAACCTTATCTCAAACATTTTTACCTGGACAATCTTAACCAATCTCCTTACTATCTCTGCACGTAGCAATAAATAATACAGAAAGTACAAGTAACAAACTTTATTATCAATTGTTTTTCAAACATAATAAATGTGTAGCTAAGTTATTTTCCTCAGAGTTTGTTATTTTTCAGGTGGATAATGTTGTTAGAATCGTTGTTTTTGTTGTTGCTGGAGTATTATAATTAATTGTGTTCGCTTTTGGGTGACTAATTACAGGTGCGTTGAGTGTATGTGTGGGTAGTGTGTGTTATTTTAAATGTAAGGTGTAAGTGCGGATGCAGATCCTTATGCCACATGCCACACATGCTCAGTCCAATCCAGATGCAACATGGTTAGTTGTGGTTGCGGGCCAAGAAGATGGCCACGATGACGGTCAGGATGGAGAGGGAGCTGCGCAGGGCGCCGGCGCCACCATCGCGGCAAGGCCATTCCTCCAGATCCTCCGAGCTGCAATTAGAGGTGGAACCAGACGAACAGGTGTGTTGAACTCTCTCTTCTCTCTCATTTCTCACAGATACAGCGGATACGAATACGGATAGGGGTATGGATATGGGTGCGGATATGGGTATGCAAGTGGATACGGTGGATAGCGCTGGAGTGGATAGACAACATGATCTTGTGGCTCCTCATGGGGCACATAAAACAGTGGTGCTTGATGGTGGCTTGCGGGTGCGGGTGCAGATTCTGTCGGGTAACTGGAAGAACACAATCCAAACACTGAGATGATTGAACTCGGGACACCACCTCCTCCTCCAAGCTAGCCATTAAAGCTAATGATATTAGTGGGGGAGTGGTGGTGGTGGTGGGTTGGTACAAAAACCCCTTTGTCACTTTGTCGGTCAACCAACCCCGGTGGTAAATGAGCTAGTTTGTTTAGGCCACAAAAAGGGAATACAAAAACAGCGAGTACATGCTAATGTTTAGCTTAGATTTCGGTTAATTTTTGTCGGTTTTAATACACACACAAACGCAGAGAAGGAAAAGGCCACGGAAAATCGGGTAAGTGAGTCAGTTAATTGAGGAAAATGTGTGTGGGTGTTTAGGTGTGTGTGTTAGCCAAATAAGAGTGTGTAAGCGTGTGTGAGTTTTGTGAGTGATTGTGATTGTGTTGGGGGAAAACAATTCATTAGTTCTTTTTTTTTAATACACATAAACTACACATAAAATATTCGAGCAGCATTCGATTTTTGTCTGTCTCGGTGGAAGCGATATTTACTTGACACCAATAACACCGCAGGCTGTAAGGATATAAATTAAAAAGAATTAATTAATAATTAAGGAAAACCCAAAAGATTTCCAATTAAAAACCCACCAATGCGGCCGCCAGCGTTGCCAGTCTTCTTGGAATCCGTGTGGTTACCCTGACCCAGATCATCCTCCAGTTCGTGGAGCACACAGCCACGGCCAATGATGGTTCGCTTGCCAGTTAGAGAGATCACTGTATCCGTATAGGTAATGTCAATAGTGCCCGAGGAGTTGACCTCCAGATTGCCAAGATCACCAACGTGACGCACTTCGTGATGGGGACCGCCATGATCAACCTGAAAAGGTTACACAAAGATTAATTAGGCAATCAATAGATCACTATCTATTAAGGTAAGTAGCTAACCAACCTTATCGGGATTATAGTGGCCACCCATGCTGGCACATCCATTGCTCAGATCTCCCTTCTCATGGATGTGGAAGCCATGCTTGCCCTCTTTGACGCCCTCTAGTTGGATGCGCACATGGACATTCTGGCCGCAATCGTTCTGGGTGAAGGTCACATTGCCCTTGACCTGGCTATTATCCGCCTGGACTGGCCCGGTTAGGTAGGCTATGGCCTGGATGGCATTGTTGCGCTGTTCAGAAAATGATTTAATTTAGTTTTCTATTATTTATTTAGCAGGTTTTCTATTAAAAAACATACCGCCTGAGCTGCAGAGCAGATTGTGGCACACAGTGCCAAGGCAACTACTAGATAACGCAGCATTTTGAAAACTGAAAGTAACACAAGATTATAATTGGCACGTGTTAAATAATATAATATATAAATGAAAAACATGACACTAAAAGGTGTAAGCTATAAATAAATATTTTTATTACATTCATTATGAGAACTTTTTGATTGCACAAACACAACTAGAACTAGATCAAAACTAGAGATGATCTTTGTTTATTACAGTGATATTTAAAAACAAAATCAATCAGTCTAATGAATAATAAATATAAATAATAATAATACAACTAAAAAATAAATATATATTCCTTTGAATAAGCCTTCTTTTACCCCGAAAACCTGCATTCTCAACCAACTCAAATCTCGAAAGATCTATTCTCTATCTCACCTCTCTCTAGCCTTAAACATCCTAAACACATCTTTAAAAAAAATATCACTTAAACAATAACTAAATAATAATATATATAAAAAGCACACGATATATAAAAGTATCGCTGGAAGACCTCACATTAATCCAACCCGCTCATCCCTGGTTTTGGACGTCATCAGGTGCACATTCACTTGATTCCATTAAATCGGACAGTTGTGTGCGGAATTGAAGCGCCTAACCTCAATTTATGAAACGATTTGTGGGTCATATACGAGGTATTACCTCTGTGTATATATACATATATGTGTGGATATATCAACGATACTCAGACACAGACTCAGCTAAATGCAAACAGCCTTTTTTCACAGGGTTAAGTGCGAGTGCGGTTGGGGGGGAAAGGTCAATCCGGCAATCTACAATCAAAATTCAACAATCTCTTTTTCGTACGCACTTCGATTCCAATGAATGGAGAAGCGTATTATTGTATGGATGTCAGAGTTTATCTATATTTGTTTATTAGTCTTATCGGTGTCTGTCTTATGCTGGCCAATCTTGCCGAGTCATGTCCCGAGGCAATCTTCAAAAATTGCGGTCAGTACCTGCCTCTAAGAACAAGTATCCTTATCTCTACTAAGGCGGCAGCACTTGAACTCGGTTTCCAAATTTATGATTCTCACGCTGGCGGTGTGACTGAATTTGACTTGTTTGAAAAGTATCAAATTACTTAGAAGCCAAGGAAAAATATTATAAAATACACTCACATAAATATTTTACAGAAAATAAGTTATAATCTGAGAATAAATCGTTTTAATTCAGAGAACTTTCACCTTTTTTGAGGTTTCTTAAGTTAAAGTTCAATAATTATTCAAACAAAAAAATACAAATATCACCAATTTAATTAAATTTTAATTTTAATTTATATACCATTTTTAGAAAATTTATTTATTATAATAATTAATAATTTTTGAACACAAAAAATAAAAAAATAGGAACTAGAATTATTTATTTATATTATTTAGTTAAAAAAACTGTTTTCTGCGTTTTTTAGACGTGTAAAAACCTTAGCTCTTGATACCATTTTATTTATTCTGGTTCAAACTGTCACGAAATGGTTGACAAATTGCAGCTAATCGTCATCGTTTGTCCATCAAATATGTGTTATTAAGGGTCTCGTCTCTTTGCTCGTTGATTGAATATGATTGATTTGAAAATAATGGCTTATAGAAATTACCTAGAGATTTTCTCACAGGTGCCATTAAATTATACTAGTATTAATTTCCATTGCCTGAGAGCATGTGTAACATGATTAAAAAACACTTTTTGTTGATGGCTCCAAGCTCATCATGAATTTGCAAACAATAAAAACTAAAGATTATTTTTCTGCTCTTCCCAGCTATGACTTGGCATCTAATTTAAACGCTCAAGTTATGCAGTTTGTAGATAAGAACGATACATAAATTTCCATACAGATAGAGGAATTTGTAAACAAAACAAAATTCAGGTAAAAATTGAAGTTTGCTGACAAAATTGTGGCAAATGTGGAACTTATTGGAGTTTGGATTCCTTGTTGTGTGTGTGTATTTCGTCTCAAGTGCATTTTAACCCACACTGAGATGGATTTATAACTGGTTACTTTAACCCATTCAAGGGCAATCGTACAACGAACGCTGCCAAAATAAAAAAGTGAGAGAATCACAAATAACTGAAATTGCGTTTTTACGCTAACTGGTTTTGGTTTCTTATTTTTTTTCTTGGTAATACGAATTCTCAGGTAATAAATATTAAAAGCTGGCTCAACAAAGACTGTTTGTTCTGCATTAAAAAACGAAACCAGCAGCAGCGACCCATTTTAATTGCGCAATAATCCCGACTTTATCTTCACCTTCACCCATTTTTCCCAATCCTTGGCACTTGTTCTTTGTATTTTTTAGCGCACTCACCTTGTTAGCAACTATTTAATAATTGAGTAGTTATATTTTTCAGACGATCTGTACCGTTGGAGAACTGCGACGGAACTGTTTGGAGCCCCCGGCATTGCCATCGCAAATCGACTTGCTTTCGGTGGGGAGCTCAATGGGGGATAATGTTTTTTGGGAGAGCGAGTTGAGAATGGAGAGAATGTGCACCTGACAGAGAGAGAGGTGGCAGGCAGAAATTGCAGTAACTGGTCAGCACGATCGCGCGTGGGAGTGGGAAAGAGGAAGGTAGATCTGCTCTCATCAAGCTTATCTCCAAGCTTACGCTCACGCATGCTGTGCCGCTCTCTCCCCCAAAGTTCTCTGGAAACTTTATCGACTAAATATTGAGAGATTATTTGGGTTTTATAAAAATTCTATATAATATTTATAAAATGTTTCTAATTATATTAACAATTTGTTGAATAAGCAGGGTTATTTAATCGAAAGTTAAATGGAAATTCCTCAAAAGCTATTGGGACACGGTAACGTGCTTTTTATTTAAATTGTTTATCACCGTCACGGCGGAAAATGTGTGCCAGGGAGGCTCGTGCCTACAGTATAGGTTGAAAATATTGGCAAGGCTGAGAAATTTAAATGGTTTGCTTTTATATAATGTAATGAGTATTTAATATGGGTAATAGCATTAAAGTGCTGGATTTTTAAATAATAATTTCATTAATATTTAATAAATAAATAAATAATATTGTAATAAAGGTTTATTTCCGTTTTGTTTCCATTAAATTTGATATGATTAGAATTTAAATTTAAAGTTTTCAAATAGTTAGCTGTATGCAATTCATTATTATGTAAATAAAATATAATTTCCCAAGCAAATATCACCTATTTTTCAGCCTCGATTTAACAATCAAAAATAAATTACACATTCGAAATAAATGAAATACATATATTCGTGTATTCACAGTGATAAAAATTGTGCTAATATAGTCATCATACAATTATTACAATAACTATTACAATAATCTCTTGATTATTGATATTTTTTGTCAAAACTAAAAGACAATAGCCAAGCCCTACTTATAAATAACAGAATGTAAGTACAGTAAACTTTAAACTACTTTATATAGAGTACATTCCCCTCTAAAGAGGGAGTTTTCTAAAAGTATTTATAGTTTAATTAATAATAATTTTGCACATGTCCGCCTGTTTTTTGGTTCGACCTTTAGAGGGTCGAGTTAAGCTAGTTTCCTTAAAGCTAAGTTGGTTTGAGTCTCTCTAGATCAGCTTGTGCCTGCCCAGGGAAGCTGTGTGCATGGGGCTGCAGTTCTCGATGAGCATAGTGTGGCCCTCATCCGTCGGGGATACTCCACTCTTGCTATTATTATTATTGTTGTGATGAACCCGCTTCATGGGTCGCTTCCTCTCGAGATCCGTACAAGGATGCAGCTCCACAGTCTGCAAACTCTGAGCTCTTTGGAGGGACAGGCGTAGGGGTTTCTTGGGCGGAGTGGGTCGAGTGGTGCGTGCCTCTGTGGGTGGCTTTGATTCGTTTTCGCTATCAAAGTCCAAGGACTTGACACTCCTCATGTCGCTGGGCAGGCGGGCTCTCAGGGTATGAGCCTCGCTTTGACGTGGTGTCTCCCGGCGAGTGTTCAGTCTGGAAAAGGATATTAGAAAGGAATAAGTAAGGTTGATCATAGGCTTAGTGAGGATTCCAGGACCTACCCATTATATTGGTTGAGATGTTCCACACTGCGTGCATGCGCGCTCATCAGATGCTCGCGATGCAACTGCTGCTGCTGCTGGAGAGGATCCCTAGGACGATCCCTATGCTGACGATCCCTGTGCCGCTCCTTCTCCCTGCGATGGTGCTGCATGTAGGCCGAGTCGCTGTTTATGGAGATCTTCGAGGCGGACAGGGACTTGGAGGGCATGGAGTACATATGAGGCAGTCGTTCCCTCAGATCGATGTGGGTGTTCTCCTTGATCAGCGTCTTGGTCACATGACCTGGCGGTGGCGTCTGCCCCACGTCATCGCCCATCAGCTCAATGGGTTTGCCACCCACCAAGGTGGTAATGTAGTTACCCCGCTGAAAGATCAGCGGCTTCTCTGGCGGCGTCGATGGTGGTGACGAGATGCTGATGCTGGTCACATGCTGGGACTGATTCGATGAGGCTTGCTGATGATGCATCTGTTCCGAATGCTGCTGCTTTGGAGAGTGGTGTTCCTTGACCGTCTGCAGCTCGCGCACCTGCTCCTCCAAATAGGAGATGCGATGCTGCAGCCTTGTGTTGTTCTCCTTCTCCTGGTCGAGTTGCTTCTGCGGTATGGGCACCGATTTCTTGCGCAGCACAACCATCTGGCACTTGCCCGAGCTACCCACTTGCTTCTGGAGCTCCTCCTTGGATTTACCAGTGACCAGGCGTCCGTTGATTTCCAGAATGCGATCACCCTTGTATAGGCCATCGCCTTCGAGGGCCCATTCCACATAGAAACCGGGTTGATCCGTTCTCTGCTGGGCTGCCCATCTGCCCGAGGTGGCATGAACAGCATGCAGGCTGAGGGAAACTCCCGAGCTGATGATGTTGTATAGCGTTTGGGCCTCCGGCTTGGACTTTTCCAGGCGTGCCTGCAAGGCACGAGCCTCCTCCACAATGGATAGCATTTGCAGCTCCTCCCTGCCCAGGGCATATTCCAGTTCAGCCTGGCGGATGCGGATGTCTATGTTGCTGGTGATAGATTGGAATATGAGGAACTGCTTTCTAGGATAAAGTACTTAGTACTTACTCTGTTATATCCAGCTTCTCCAGGGCACTCTTCAGATTCTTGATCTTGATGCGCTTGTTCTCCGCCTCGGCCTTCAGTCGATTCAGTTTCTGCTCTGCTGCCGGCTTTTCGGATTCATCCAAAGGTGGTCCCGTGGGCCTGGGCAACTTCCCTAAACACAGCTGAATGCGCAGATTCTGGATGACTGCCTCTCGATCCTGTAGAGCCGAACGCAGCTCCTTTGATTCGCTGCGCGTGGAACGCGAGGAGAGAGTGCCGCCCAGAGAGCCACCTTTGCGCCTTCTTCCCGTGGTGGAGCAGGTACTAGGTGTGCTGGTGGTCTCCTGGTTCGTTGTCTCCGCCGTCGAGTGCAGACTGTACTTGGCGGCATTGCCACAACCCTTCGGATTGAGAATGGTCTAAAAGAAAAGAGAAACCAAACAAGAAAGTTTATTTTGAGTTTATCTGAGTTTATATAAGACATTTGTGTTTAAATTAAAGTCGGGGGTTGTAAGTTGATAAGAAATATGCGTTTTGTTTATTTTAAAGATTACAAATCTCTTGGAAGCATTATCGGATTATATATATAAAGTCTTCAGGGGGAGGGAAGAGTATTTTTTTGGGTCTATACTGAGCTCTACTCCTTGGGTATATCGTACACCCCACACTCCCTATTGGCGGGCACCGAGGCATCTGTAAGTTGGGTTTTATAATTACTATGTTTATGTTATGGGTTAATGGTTAGCTATAGACCCCACCTATCTTCTTGGGATAGGGCAAATTCAGGTTGTCCATAATCTTGATAAACTCCTCTAGATCCTTGGTCAACCTGGGATTATAGCGCTTCTCCTCCCAGACACTGCTCTCCAATTGACCTCTGGAAAGGGAGGATATAGCAAATGTTGCTCTCAAAAGATTTTTAAAATCAAGTTTGCTCCTCACTTGTAATCATGAGCCGGATAAATGCGATAATTCTCCGGCAGCGTAAAGATCTTCTGGTGCACATTCTCGTAGAGATTACGGGGCGAACCCTCCTGGAAATCGGTGCGTCCACAACCGCGTATCAGTATAGTATCCCCCGTGAAGATGCAGGCCTGATCCTTGATCACATAGCTCATACAGCCATTCGTGTGTCCGGGGGTGGCCAGAGTGTCTATTACATGGGTACCAAACTTAATGCGATCCCCCTCCTTGAGATGACGATCCGCCTTGGCTCCACTGGCGGCGGCAATCACCGATTGACACCCCGTGAGTTGTCGCAACCAGCCGCTGCCCGTTATGTGATCGGCATGCATATGGGTGTTGACTTGTTTTGGTGGGGGAAATAGTTGGATGCCATGATGAAATTATCTAATCTTTTTTAGACTAACACACTCACTGGCATATTTGAGTTCAAAGCCCAGATCCTTGACCAGCTGGGCATCCCGCTTGGCCTGCTCCAGCACTGGATCTATGATCACAGCCTCGCCGTTCTTCAGATCTGCCAAGAGGTAGCTATAGGTGCTACTTTCGCCATCGAAAAGCTGTGTGTGGGATGTCAATCTCACAAATTTCATCATCATAATAATCCCTGTACTATACATACTTGGCGGAAGAAGAAGTCTGGCGAGAAGGGTTGACGCTCTGGTAGACTCATGACACCGAGGGAGCTCAACGATCGTATATGATTGCTGGAGAAGATCGTGGGGCTTCTTCGGGTTGAGAGCCGCTTGAGGGCTGACAGCATACTGGGACCCATGGCGATACGCATTTAGTGTTCGTGTTTCTATTCGTCGCACTTCGGGTGTAATTGACCTGCTCGGGGGGCTTTTCTATTTTGCGTTTCGCTTGATAAAAATTTCGAGTGTGCGGAGCTTACTTGTATTTAGTTAATCAATAGTCACTAATTTATTTAATCACTGATAATTGAGCACTTTTTTGTTGTGTTGGCAGTCTTTCCTATTATCACATTCCAATTACATCTAATCAGAGGTAGTTTATATCACTCGGGAGAGTCTATGAAAATGTTATAGTTACAATCACTGGAATAACAAACACAGAGTTTCAGGTCGCACACAAAAAACAGCTAACATCAGCTGATGTGTTGAGTTTAGCCGTGTTGAATTTGGGTCTTATTTTATAGAAAGCTCTCTCTTTGAGCTTTTTTGGGGGGGAAACCTGTTGGGGAACCTGTTGCTAAAGCTTTCGGCGAACTAACATCGCGATGGGACTACGTGATTGGCAGAAATATAGGTTTCAATGTCAATAAATGTAGCTTGATCATTTTTAAGCCCCACAGCCAAGGGTTTAATAGTTTAGAATAATATATAACTTTTTGGAAAATTCAACATTTTCTTATATTTTTGATATTTTCTATATTTATGTTCTAGTTTATTATATTTTAATGGAATCCGAAACAAATTCAAATGAAATGCATGCTAAATGCATTTTTTAAGGTCTTTAAACTTTGATTTGTTAAGTCGAAACTATTTACACATCGGGATTACAGTTTTATTATAATTTAATAATATAATAATAATAATAGATAGTTCTTATAAAACTTTCGTTTAACTTTTATTATTGTTTCAGTACATTTTTTTGGTGTATTTATATCTTTAAAGAATTGAACAAGTTTTTCTTATCCAATACCCATATCTGTTTGGGGGCCTATATGTTCTCATTAGTTGTCTGTCACCCTGCATCCTGTCTTGGTTTGGTAAAGACCTCGTTTTGTTGGGAAAGTAGAAAAGCTCAGGAGACGGTACATTTTCATTGGATAAATTTAAGTTTTTAAGTTGAAGACTCATTCTAGCGATTTTTACAAAGCCAACGGAGCCAGGTTACTACTATATATAAAAAAAATTAAACAGAACAACTTCATTTAAGCATCAATTGCATGCCAAATGAAATTTGTAAGGTCTTTATCCCATTGCTTTTTAAAATCTAAATTCTAAATTCTATTAATGCGAGGATAAGCATATTACAACAAATTACAAGTTGTTTTAAAGATATTTTCCCAACCCTTATTGGCTTGAATTTTATTATAAAGGATAAACACACTTTCTAAAAATGTTCGTTAAACTTTATTATTTAATGTATATATTACATTTTTTGTAAGCATTAATTTTTTAGCTAATTGAACATCTAAATCGGGGCGCCCTCAAGATTACTTCTTCATCAATTGGTGCACTGGGTGCTTTTAGTATCTCTATTAGGGCATCCAGGCTCGGTTGGTTTAAGGCCTCGTTATTTTGGGGACTTAGATAAAGCTCAGGAGAAGCTCTAAGGATACTTTGGTTGGGTAAATCCAAGTTGTTAAGCTGTAGACTCATTTTAGCGATTTTAACTGAACTAACGGAGCCCATGAAAGGTTACTCTATATATACCAATAAAACTGGAACAACTTTATTAAAGTATGGTAAATGAATTTATTAAGGTTTTTATTCTATGGTTGGTTTAAATTAAAAGTCGAAACACTACTTATGTAAGCGAAAACCAATTGCTTATTTGTAATTTTCCAGCTTTTGTCAATAAAAAATTCAAATATTGCTCTTAGGCACATTTCCTTCAAAAGTAAAAAGCTACTACAGTGACTTATCGTATAGCTCTACAATTTCTTATATTTTGTGGATAATTTGTAGTATATTTTAAGATAATTTACCCCTTACTGGCTTAAATTTTATTATAAAAACTTTTCCCTAAAATCTTCGTTGAAGTTTATTATTTAATGTACAATGTATTACATTTTGTATAAGCATTCATTTTTTAGATAATTGAACATCGATATACATTATCTTTTCTCGACCGCGCTTTTTCATCTGGTTTACTGGGTGCTTTTAATATCTCGGGTATGGCATCCTGTTTCGGTTTGTTTAAGACCTCGTTGTTTCGAAGCTCTGGAAGAGCTCTAGGGATACTTTGGTTGGGTAAATCCAAGTTGTTAAGTTGTAGACTCATTTTAGCGATTTTAACTGAACTAACGGAGCCCATGAAAGGTTGCTCTATATATACTAATAAAACCGGAACAACTTTATTAAAGTATGGTAAATTAATTTACTAAGGGGTTTATTCTATGGTTGGTTTAAATTAAGAGTCGAAACTCAATTACTTATTTGTATTTTTATAAGAATTCAGCTTTCGTCAATAAAAGCCATTACAGGGACCTATCGTATAGCTCTACATTTCATTATATTTTGCTTTATTATTTAATGTATATATTACATTATGTATAAGCATTTATTTTTTAGCTAATTGAACATCTAAATCGGGGCGCCCTCCAGGTTACTTCTTCCTCAATTGGTTCACTGGGTGCTTTAAGTATCTCTAGTAGGGCATCCTGTCTCGGTTGGTTTAAGGCCTCGTTATTTTGGGGACTTTGATAAAGCTCAGGAGAAGCTCTAAGGATACTTTGGTTGGGTAAATCCAAGTTGTTAAGTTGTAGACTCATTTTAGCGATTTTAACTGAACTAACGGAGCCCATGAAAGGTTGCTCTATATATACTAATAAAACCGGAACAACTTTATTAAAGTATGGTAAATTAATTTACTAAGGTCTTTATTCTATGGTTGGTTTAAATTAAGAGTCGAAACTCAATTACTTATTTGTATTTTTATAAGAATTCAGCTTTCGTCAATAAAAGCCATTACAGGGACCTATCGTATAGCTCTACATTTCATTATATTTTGCTTTATTATTTAATGTATATATTACATTATGTATAAGCATTTATTTTTTAGCTAATTGAACATCTAAATCGGGGCGCCCTCCAGGTTACTTCTTCCTCAATTGGTTCACTGGGTGCTTTAAGTATCTCTAGTAGGGCATCCTGTCTCGGTTGGTTTAAGGCCTCGTTATTTTGGGGACTTTGATAAAGCTCAGGAGAAGCTCTAAGAATACTTTGGTTGGGTAAATCCAAGTTGTTAAGTTGTAGACTCATTTTAGCGATTTTAACTGAACTAACGAAGCCCATGAAAGGTTGCTCTATATATACTAATAAAACTGGAACAACTTTATTTAAGTATTGTAAATGAATTTACTAAGGTCTTTATCCCATGGTTGGTGTAAATTAAAAGTCGAAACTCTACTTATGTAAGCGAAAACAATTGCTTATTTGTAATTTTTATTAAGAATTCAGCTTTTGTCAATAAAACATTCAAAAATTGCTTTTAGGCACATTTCCTTCAAGAGTAAAAAGCCATTACAGGGTCCTATCGTATAGCTCTACATTTCCTTATATTTTACTGGATAATTTGTAGTATATCTTAAGATAATTTCCCCCTTACTGGCTTACATTTTATTAGAAACCCTTTCCTAAAAATGTTCGTTGAACTTTATTATATAATGTACAATGTATTACATTTTGTATAAGCATTTATTTATTAGCTAATTGAACAATCCCATCGCCCTGGCTTCCTCCTCCAGGTTACTTCTTCCTCAATTGGTTTACTGGGTGTTTTTAGTATCTCTAGTAGGGCATCCAGACTCGGTTTGTTTAAGGCCTCATTGTTTTGGGGACTTAGATAAAGCTCAGGGGAAGCTCCAAGGATACTTTGGTTGGGTAAATCCAAGTTGTTAAGTTCTAGACTCATTTTAGCGATTTTAACTGAACTAACGGAGCCCATGAAAAGTTACTCTATATATGCTAATAAAACTGAAACAACTTTATTTAAGTATGGCAAATTAATTTACTAAGGTCTATATCCTATGGTTAGTTTAAATGTAAAGTCGAAGCTCAAGTTAATAAAACATTTCCTTCACGAGTAAAAAGCCATTACAGGGTCCTATCGTTTAGCTCTACATTTCCTTATATTTTACTGGATAATTTGTAGTATATTTTAAGATAATTTCCCCCTTACTGGCTTACATTTTATTAGAAACCCTTTCCTAAAAATGTTCGTTGAACTTTATTATTTAATGTACAACGTATTACATTTTGTATAAGCATTTATTTTTTAGCTAATTGAACATCGATTTCTAATATATGCCGCCCGCGCCCCAGCTACTTCTTCTTCAACTGGTTTACTGGGTGCTTTTAATATCTCTGGTATGGCATCCTGTTTCGGTTTGTTTAAGACCTCGTTGTTTCGAAGCTCTGGTAGAGCTCTAGGGATACTTTGGTTGGGTAAATCCAAGTTGTTAAGTTGTAGACTCATTTTAGCGATTTTAACTGAACTAACGGAGTCCATGAAAGGTTGCTCTATATATACTAATAAAACCGGAACAACTTTATTAAAGTATGGTAAATTAATTTACTAAGGTCTTTATTCTATGGTTGGTTTAAATTAAGAGTCGAAACTCAATTACTTATTTGTATTTTTATAAGAATTCAGCTTTCGTCAATAAAAGCCATTACAGGGACCTATCGTATAGCTCTACATTTCATTATATTTTGCTTTATTATTTAATGTATATATTACATTATGTATAAGCATTTATTTTTTAGCTAATTGAACATCTGAATCGGGGCGCCCTCAAGGTTACTTCTTCATCTATTGGTGTACTGGGTGCTTGTAGTATCTCTAGTAGGGCATCCAGACTCGGTTTGTTTAAGACTTCATCGTTTTGGGGACTTAGATAAAGCTCAGGAGAAGCTCTAGGAATACTTTGGTTGGGTAAATCCAAGTTGTTAAGTTGTAGACTCATTTTAGCGACTTTAACTGAACTAACGGAGCCCATGAAAGGTTGCTCTATATATACTAATAAAACTGAAACAACTTTATTTAAGTATGGCAAATGAATTTACTAAGGTCTTTATTCTATGGTTGGTTTACATTAAAAGTCGAAACTCTACTTATGTAAGCGAAAACCAATTGCTTATTTGTAATTTTTTTAAAGAATTGAGCTTTTATCAATAAAACATTCAAATATTGCTTTCAGGCACATTTCCTTCACGAGTAAAAATCCTTTAAAGGGACCTATCGTATAGCTTTACATTTCCTTATATTTTGCTGGATAATTTTTTAAGATAATTTACCCCTTACTGGCCTAAATTTAATTATAAACACACTTCCTTAAAATGTTTGTTGAACTTTATTATTTAATGCATATATTACATTGTGTATAAGCATTTATTTTTTAGCTAATTGAACATATGGTTATGTCCTTTCGTGGTGGCCATTTTAATGCCCTCAAGGTTACTTCTTCATCAATTGGTGTACTGGGTGCTTTTAGTATCTCTAGTAGGGCATCCAGACTCGGTTTGTTTAAGACCTTATCGTTTTGGGGACTTAGATAAAGCTCAGGAGAAGCTCTAGGGATACTTTGGCTGGGTAAATCCAAGTTGTTAAGTTGTAGACTCATTTTAGCGATTTTAACTGAACTAACGGAGCCCATGAAAGGTTGCTCTATATATACTAATAAAACTGAAACAACTTTATTTAAGTATGGCAAATGAATTTACTAAGGTCTTTATCCTATGGTTGGTTTAAATTAAAAGTAGAAAGTCAAGTTAATATAACATTTCCTTCACGAGTAAAAAGCCATTACAGGGACCTATCGTATAGCTCTACATTTCCTTATATTTTGCTGGATAATTTTTAAGTATTTTTTAAGATATTTTTCCGTCCCTCTGGGGCTTGAATTTTATTATAAAATACTCTTCCTATAAATTTCCTTTCAACAAAACAAGGACGGAATAACTTCATTAAGCATGGTAAATATATTTTTAAAAGTTGTTACTCTATTATTTGTTAGAGTTCTAAGTTGAAAACAAATATTTTAAAGCAAGTTAGGGATTTTCTGCTCTCCTATTTCTTGAATTTTTAAAGAATTAGGCAAACATTATATTAAACAATTTTAAATATTTTCTTTTCTACACTTTTTCACAATTCTTTCGAGCAGAAAATATCCGTTACAGAGTCTTTTTTCAGCTGCATTTACTTATGCACATTTCCAGACTGCAACAACCACCTTCTGGACAATTACTTGAGCTTCCTGGCACCCCTTCGAGCCTTCGTTTATCAAACAACCCCTACCTTAAGGAGTCCGTTGAGAAATTGGTACAAAATTAATATTTAGAGGGACAATGTACCGGACATTGTCCACTCCGAAGGGCAAACGTGAGAACTTCTTTACAGGCCGGATTTCGGTTTAAATTTCTTGACTTTTCTCTCAGATCGTAAATAAATTTGCATATTTTAACAATCTCCGTTTCTCATTCATTAACAGCTCGCAAGGAAAAAATCTCGCCGAGTAATTGATGTAATTTTGTGGAAGGAATTAATTGAGCATAGAATATATATCTGCTGAGGCAGAGATAAGGGTGGCTTTCATGGAAAAAGAAACCTTTTTACACTGGAAAAAGAAGTGGAAAATGAAAACGAATGGTATATCGATTTCGTTTCGTTTTGCTTGTTCTGTAATATAATTTCACCATTGGTTATGGCCAATTTAGCAGGTAATAGTGCCTATTACACATTATTGTCTAAACACCTGTGTGTCGGCTAATGATTCGCATCGATATTGACGTTTTCAGGCTGATTTCTGTAGCATCCGAAAATCTCGAAGGTGTAACGTACACAAAAAAAAGTGACGAATACTCACTTTTGCTTTCAATCATTTCGCCGGCAAGTGAAAGTTCCCATTGTGGACTGACTTCTTTCTACTAATTTTGGCCAAGCGAGACTCAGGTGAGGAGGTTTAAGGTGAGGAGTGCTTAAGTGTCTAAATTTAGTTATGATTATTGCGGTTAAAAAGGCAAAAATTAACCTGAGAGGTCACGTGAGACTTTCTTTGCAATTTCAAAACAAATACAAACCGAATTCTCTCTAGGAAATAAATGTTATGTTTCTGTCATTGAATTGTAATTTCACTTTTCTCACACTTATTTAGTTATTCCCCCCACACACAAGTTCCCAGCTCGGTGGCTATGCAATATTTCACACATAATATCTGGTAAAAAAGGTATATATTTATATTTAGATACTCGAACTCTCAATAGTTTCGAATGCAACAATGACTCTGCATTGTGGGCTGAGCGTGAAAGTGTTAAAAAAAAACTTGAAAAATGCATTCAAATGGATTTGCAATTAATTGTTGTAAATTTCTTGTGTGTTTTCTGAGTTTTTTCCTGTCTTTATTTTATGTTTTCAACGCTTTAAATATTATTTTTTATGAATTTATTTGGTTTACAAATTGAGGGAGGGAGGGTATAGTGCATTTTTTGTGAGATTTGGTGGCTTATGGGGGATTTCTTATGATGGGTTTTTATGGTTTTTCAAAGATGAAAGGAAGTCATCAGCTGTAGCTTTCAAAAATGAACATTTTCGAGGTTGTACAATGCTTTTTTACGGTATTTTTTTAGCTCTTAGAGGATTAGTCTTGATAAGTTTTTAGGGATAAAAACAGTCATCAGTAGCTTTATCAAATAACGAATTTTGAGGCTCTTTTTGACGGGGTTTTAAGGCTTGCACATAGAAGACCTTAATTAAAATGAAGCAAGTAAAACTTGGTGCTTTTCAACACCACCTACTTTCCCTACTATAGGTAATAAATGTATCTAAAACCGTTTAAATCGATTTATGACTTCATATCTTCACGTTTTCTTTATTATAAATATATTTTTAAGCTCAAATTTCAATTTATTATTTTATTTTATTTTTAAACCCTCATTAATAATCCTAAACATCAAATCGTGATCTTTTAGGGTAATTTATTTTCGGCTTTAGCTGATTTCTTGTTTATTTTGTATGGCATTTGCTTGCTTGTAGCTCAGAGATTTATGTTTGGGCCATTGGCGAATTTCGTTTTGGCCAACTTTCTAGCGTGAGGCGATGCCAAGTATTTGCTGCAGCCTACGGCTTACACTCGCAGCTAATGCTAAGGCCCCGCAGACCCTCTCTGTGCGTGTCAATATCTAATTAGCGCAGATACGTAGCACTCGCGGACTTACATAATCGAATCAGACAATAGGGCGGAGCGGGGATGTTGCATTAATTATGTGTTGGGGGCCTTACACAATGCCCATATCTACTTATTACAGTTGCATACATGTATGTATGGGGGTCTTTCGAGGGGCGGTGGAGGCGTGGTACTCACCATGGAGGCGGATTTCTGTTTGGCAAAGGCGCGATGATGCGCGGAAATTGGTTCGCTAACCACACTTCCGGTGTCCATAATGGGGAAAAGCTATACAGTTTTAAATCGGATGCAGTTTTAGGTCTGAAAAATAAAGAAAAAAATGTATTAAGATATTAATAGCTTCAAGTAAAAAGGAAATAGGAAAAACTTAATGAGGAGAGGTTAAAAAAATGATTTTTAAGGACAAATATAAAAAATATTAAAGGTAAATTATTATAAAATATTTCCCTATACCTAATTTATTTATAAATTAAGGGAAAGGGGTATTTTGTATATAAATTAAAGGTAGAATATTAATAATAGAATATCATTTATTTGTAAATCAAATGAACTGAATAAAAACTTCCAAAAGAATTTTGAAAAATTATATTCAAAATAAAATGTTGTCTTAAGATTAAAAATAAAATATTGTATAATATCGTTATATGCCTTATTTATTTTTTAAAATAATATAAGCTAATAAACTCTAGATATAAACCTTTAATTAAACTCTAGCTCCCAAGAAAATCTATGATCTTGAAGGTAACTAGCTCTGTAGTTACAATTATAGCCACCAGAAAATCTATATAATCTCGGTGTTAACCTCTTTAACTTGTCAGTGATAAATCTTCAGCTGAACTTTGAACTTATAGCGGACAGCTATAGTCCTAGACACCAAGTCAAAGTCACTTTAATTTCGCGTTCCGCTTGGCAAAGCAAAAACAATTGGTGGCTGCAATTTTCGGTTCGTCGACTTTAACAACTTTGGCACGTTACATTTGCCAGTTTAATTAGCCCTTCGAGCTCAGAACCAAACAGAGTTCAGCCTCAGACACTTCTTCATTCATGTTTCAAATAGAGAAAAAATAAGGAAAAGGAAATATACATATATCATATGCAAATGAGACGCACTTTCGGTGGTTGCGGGGAATAAGAAAACGCATTCGATATGCAGATTTGCACAGCCGCAAGATACTCACACACACACACAACCACTCGGGGAGACTCTTTTCGAGGAGATTGTATCTGCATCTGGCGGATGAGGTTGCATAGATCACATTACTTAATGTGCCGGCAACATTTCCCTCTTTTCTGGCTCTTTTCACTTGTTTGTTTGCTTGCTTGTCTTTTTTTTTTTGTTAGATTTTTTTTTTCGCCTTTGTCGGCCTGCGAAGACAAAGCATTTTCATTCATAGTGCAATTGTCATAGATACTTGTGACATACAAAATGTATCTCACAGATAGTGCCGCTTACCGTTAGCTTGGCTTTTATTAAGTGCTAAAAAAAATGGGCAAGTTCTGCGGAAAAGCACTTCCCATTGAGCTAGAAGATTTCCCAGGCGGAACTCTTGAGCAAAAAGTTAACTTTCGTTTAAAGAAAAAACTAGCGGAAATAGTTCTAATCGAAGTTAACAGTTATGGATACTGGTTATTAGATAGAGATTGAGAGTTATTAAAAGGAATATTACCCATCTTAATTATTTTTAATATTTTCTTTAAATAAAATAATTTATTTCTGACGTTCAAAATACTTTTTCTCTATGAAAATGTATCTTTTTTACAATCTTTTCATACAATTTCGTTTTTTGTTACTCTTTTGGCTTCAAGATAAACCCCGAAAGTCATTAGTCTTGCAGGCTAATTATCATGCGAGCTGCGTTCTACAAAGTTTAGCCAAGAACAAGCATCAACATCACCATCTTTTGGGGTTTTCAGTTGCGTGTTGAGACAGGAACCAGAAATATGTATAATATAAACCCTAAGGGGGTTACGAGATGAGGGGCCAGGCAGCTCTTTTGGGTTACCTAGCCCAATGTGGGCCTATCATTAATCTAATTTCGCTTTAATGCCTAATTGTGTGGAAGCCAGAGAACCGAGAGAAAAGTGAGAGAGTTGGAGACCTGCTTCGACGAGTACTCACACATTAGCGACTGGATTTGAATCTAAGTAGTATCTCACCTGAAAGCTTGTACTTTGTTAGAACGCTTTGCTAATGAGCTGAAATTAAGGGGAAACTGGAGAGCGGAATCTGTGGAGGAATCTTAGTCAGTATCTTGTCAGTATCTGGCAAGTATCCAGCAACTATCTGCCATTCGCCAAATTGCACCAGTGTCAGTTACAATTCACAATTGGCTGTGGGAAAAGTCTGTCAAGCATGAAGATCGTTCAACTATACCCTCTTCTACATATAGTACTCCTAGTACTTAACAACGTCTCCGCATGTATGAGCTGGAGATCCTCAACTTATATGCATGTAATTATTTATTCTTTAATTTGCGTGCCCAACTCGAGAGGGTTCCCTATATATATACACATATATATTTAATAGGAACGAGAGCAAGTGCAGCAAGGTACTTCCCAGGCCCCGGAGACTCGAAAATGTGGGCGCTGGAAGCCACTGAAGCGCAACCAGACCAAGAACAAGTGCTTCTACTCCATAATCAAGTTATTAGAGAGGGTAACATTACGACGGGGGGGAACATAGTTCTATATAATTAAACAAATTAAAAAATGTGTTGTTCCTTAAATCCATTAGGTAAATATATAAATTTGAGAGAGCTTCTTAAAGACTTTTTATTGTTATTTTTTGTATATTTCCAAGAGCAAATAAAATCTTTAAAATATTTAAACGCAAAACCTAGTCAATTTTTAATCTCTTACCAAGGCTTAGTCACCCTCGAATTATCTTCCAGTAAATTAAACACAAATTTGTTGTTTAAGAACCCACACACTAGCTCACGCTTCCACCTCTAATTGCCTCAGTACAGTAGAGCTCCTCTGTAATCATTTCCATTTGGACTTCATTCATGTTGTGAGTGCTTCCGGCCGCGGAGTTTTAAGCCAAGTTAAGTTAGTTGTTAAAAGTTGGCAGTGAGTGAAACCGGCAACATGACAGAAGAATAAAAACCGCCAAGTTTATGAAGCAATTTTCGGACTCAAGGTGGCCGGTGGCCGCAACAATGTTTTCCCCTGCCAAGAACAAGCTGCAAAATTGTGGATGTACTGTTACATCTAAATTCAAGTTGCAAATTGCATTGCATCGATGGCCAGGCAAGTGGAACGCCAATGTCCGATGCCCAAGTGAAACTTGTTCGGTATCCAAATTCCGGTCTAAAGATCTCACGCAGAAACTGACCCAAAAAAATATATATAAAAGCTGGCGAAATGGTGACAAGTTTATTCTGCTTTTTATAATTTCTCTTGAGTTTCCCAGATGAAAAGGTCCCAGGGGATCGAAATCGAACGAACGGTAACTGTGCAAGATTCTAGCAATAAATTCCAATCAGCAGAGATCTCAATCGGATCTGGCCATTGGCCATATATCAAATGCAGTGTCCGTTTGGATATAGACACAGTACTGTGTGTATATGGTGTGTGTTGCGTATGTTAAAAACTCATCTTCCCACACATCAAATGTGGAATTTTATGTAAATTTAAGGCACAGAAATCAAAAAACTAATTTTAAAGCTCAAAAACTAAGCACTGATAAAAATATAGGTATTTTTAAGATTTATAGAGGGATTAAAAAATATATAAAAGGAAATTTAATTGTTTCTAATTGAAAGTTATATCCTTAATAAAAAAAACCTTAAAAATGCCAAATTAAAATTAGTCTACAAACCTTATTCTTAAAATTTGTACTCCTAAAATATCGATTCTTTGATTCTTTTATGGTTTGTTAACCCATCAATTTCCAAAAAAAAACAATCAATTTTTGTTTCTGTGTATGTATTTTTTGTAGGGGGCGTATCTGCCACGCCCCTCCCTCTCTCGCTGTTGTTTCTTGTTTATTATTGCTTTCCAAGCGCACCTACAAAAAAATTGCTGCGAGATGAGCTCAGTGTTCGCAGTGTGCGCCCACAAATCGTTGAACAATGCAAAATTATTTTGCTCAATTACTTAAATGGAGATGACACCTGGTTCTAATACAAACTGGCTTCTATATAATAAAGATAATAATAATAATAACTTGTTGTTAAATGCAAATGAGAAATTAGCTTTTGCACTGTTAGCTAACAGAGCTGCTCTCTCTGTTAATGCCTCTACAGCTGTTAGAAGCATTCTAAGCGTGCTAAAACCTATAGCATTTTTGCCAGCTGTTTAACAGAGCCTCTTTAGCTCAGTGGCAGAGCACTGGTCTTGTAAACCAGGGGTCGTGAGTTCAATCCTCACAGGAGGCAGTACGCCTAAAATGGATTTTTTTTAACTTTTAATTGTTTTTATTTATTTTCTTTTTTAATTTATTATTTGCCCTGCAATTTTCATTTTCAGCAAGGTTGTATTAAATATAATAATAAGCTTTAATTCGCTTGCTGTTTCTGTAAAATTTTTGTGGTATTATTAATAACCTTAATGAAAAACATTTGCCCTGCGGGCAGGCAGACGCCAAATTGGATTTATTTTTATTTACTTTTATTGTTGTTGCTACTGCATTTGCTTTAATGTGGTTTTCCTATATAAACCTTAACCCCTGTCTGGCTCGTAGTTCGTTGTAGTTTCCCAACACCTGCGCCCTGAGTTATTTACGAGCTGAAATATACACAAATTAGCCTGGAGCTTGACAATTGGCTTGGCTTGTCGCTGGGTATTATTATTATGTGTGTGCACAAGTGCCACAAAAAGAGAAATAAAAAAAACGCAGCCCCGACATTGATAATTTTTAATCGCTCCGGAGGCTGCTGCTGCTGCATGGCCAACAAAATGGTCCACAGAGCGGGTCTAAAGCAACCTGACAACTTGGCCAAGAATATGGACTTAATGGACTTGACATAAATATGGAAATTTCTTTGTTTGTTTTTTCGGGGTTTATTTCTCTTGGCCAAGATCTGAACTTTGAGTGGTTACAAAAGAAAGGTCGTTGGTTGAATTTGCTTTTGTTGAATTAGATGTTCTAATAGTTTGAATAATCGCTGGTGTTATATAATGGGATGGGGATATTGAATAAAAAAAAATCTCTAAACACCTTTAAACCAATTCTTTTCATGCTATTTTCTTTAAAACGTTTTTGAAAATATCTTATCTATTTTTTAGATTATTTCTATGGATTTCTTGAGAAATAAACCAATTTATAGATATAATTTCCTAATTACCGAACTACTTCAGTGACCTTTGAGCACCTCTAGCACCTATAATCCCATTGTTTTCTCTGTATTTTATGGTTTCTGTTTATTTTGCAGCTGTTGTTGCCAAGCCAGTCGTTGCCGATAATTGGCCATCATTTTCAGGGGGCAATTATTGCCTGGCGTATTTAATATAATTCACTGTTAGAATGCCAGCTGTCTCCGGCTCTCGAGATGCAGATTGGGGTCGCGAAAGTCTCGGTCACTTTTATGCAAATCAATTCTTAGAAAGTCGGCCTGCGATAAGAAAGTGCAAATTGCCTTGGACCAGAGTTAGATCGGAAATACAATCGAAATGAAAGCGAAATCGATGCTGAATAGTGTTGGTTTTGACTTGGTTTATACATATATATACATATCTGAGCGATGGGAGCTCTCGTTTTAATTGTTACAGGGGGTGCCTTTTGAAAGAAATGAATGAAAGTGAAAACGCCGGCAAAACCGACAAACAGTTAGACTGAAAACAAAGTCAACAACATGTATGCAAAGTTATCAACTCACCAAAATCTTGGCTTTCTATTCCCACTTAATGGTTAACTTGGCTTGGATGCGTTGATGCATCTCCAACAAGAAATCACGACTATGAAACCCACATAAAACCAAAAAAAAAGAGTCATAGCTAAATATACATAACTAACAAATACCCAAAAAAACAAACTTTGATTAGGTTGTTAGCATTGAAAAAAGCCACAAAGGAAAGGCAGACAAAAGTCTAAGAAGAATCCAAATCAAAGACAAAACCCAAAGAATATGTAAATCACACTCGAGAGACATCCTGTCGTTAAAGGGTTTGGCATTTCAATGAAGAAATGGGAAGCCGATCAATTGTTATTCAAATGCAACTCGATAACAACGATTCCCCAAAAGGAAATATCTAATTAAAATTAATGACAAAAGGCAGACACATCTTGCATATATATATAAAGGGGTCTCTCTCTCTCTCTGTAGAATAGATTGTAATCTGCGTTTCGGATTCTGATTCAACCGCAGAAATCTCATATGTAATTATATGGTCAGAGATCGAGTCAGAATTTTTGATTTGATTTGATTGATTGTGGCTACTGAGAGAGGAATTCCACTTTGAACCTGGTTATGCCATAACTAAGCAAAAAAAACCCACTGATTATTATGGCCTTATCTTTGACTCATCCAACAACAAATGGCGTTTTAATCGACGTCGAGTCATTTATTTATGATGCCTCTTGCTGCCTTTGTTATGATAACAAAAAATGTGAAAGAGTTTGAAAGTTTAAACATAAATATTCAGATATCAGAACCGTTCACTCGGCGTCTCCAGGGGGATTATGCAAGATACCAAGATGAGGAGGAGTGGCCTTCTAAGAGATAAAATTGCCCCATCATCTTTATAATGGCTCTGTTGACACCGATTTCTACACACAAACACACATTCTGAGCTAACCTTTCGCTTTTCCATCATTCCAAAAAACTATTGTCAAGACTCTACTTACCAACTTTAAGTACGGATTCCAGTTTAAAACTCTAAACAATGGCAATGTGCACAGCAAATCGATGGCAACATTTCATTTCATTGCATTTGATTGGTTATTGGTTTGTTGTCTTTGTTTTCGTTTCCAGCCAAGGGGGGAGGAAAGTCAAAGCCAAAGCCGAAGTCGAAGCCTCAATTTGGTGTTTATTGTATTGTGCGAATTATTTACACTCGAAGCATAAATCAATGATGTCAATTGATGGTAAGTCGATCGATTGTTTGGAACCGCAACGTCGGGGACCCCGTTACTAAAACTCCAGCGGCACAGATTTATTGCAATATTTATTTATTTAATTTTTCTTTAATTCATTTTCATTAATTATTTCCGTTTAGTTGGGTTCACTTCCTCTGTGCATTTCCCTTTGTTTATGGAGGCAACAGGAAATTTACTCTATTGCCACTTGGGATAGGTAAACAAAAACACAAGCAATCAACACTCGAAATGCAGGCAGGTTCCAAGTGCAAGAAGTTAGAAGAACGAATCACGAAACTTCAGGGGTTTATAATTATTTGAATAAAGATATAGCGGTATATGGACAGGGCACACCCGATCGCGTCGACGGTTGGATGATTTCTGAACATCGTGACTTGAACGGCAGCCAAGCATTACCACTAAGCCGCTCTCGCTCGCTGAGGCTCTCTCGGATCGGTGATGACGCATAAAATAGCTAAAAAGCTAGATTTATTGATTAAGAGTATATATTTTTATAGAAAATTAGTGATATATTTAAATAGTAAAATTCGTTTGCATAGCTTTTAGATTGATTAAAATAAACGAGGTTTTAGGTAAAATAAAAAGAAAACAAATGCTTATAATAAAAAAAATAATTTCATCAGCAAAAGGAAGATCATAAATAATATTTAAAATATTTAGAAAATTTTTAAAATTTATGCAGTTAAGAGAAAAGTTTGATATATTAAAGGTTTAAACCTGTTTATGATGTAGTACAAGTTTCTCTGTTCTCAAATATTTTTGTATTAATTCCCTATTTATATATATATACTCATCCCTGATATAAACTAGCTATAAACTAGCCAGTTTCCTCATTCCGCTTGAGGGTGGGTAAGTATCCGAGAGAGAACAAAGAGAGCCACATAGACCCTCCAATGAGCTCTCCCTGGCAAAGTGCACTGGGTTCCGGATTTATTGGGTTATACTTGCCCGCTGCAAACGTAATGCCTAAATGCTTAATAGAGTTCCAGTGCATTGAACTCATCCACTCCCTTGTCTTGCCAGTGGGTGTCACCAGCTTCTCCTCCTACTCCACCTCCCCTGCCTATTTTGACAGCTGGCACTGCATCACATCCGAGATTTTACGACTGCTGCCTCATCTTGAACTGCTCATTTGCCTGCCGCTCCAGTTGCATCATCATCTCGATCGACATATGGCCCTGGATTATCTCCCTCATATCTGTAGAGTTTCGGTCTGATGAGCCCGCTCGTGCGCAAAGTCAATTAAAATGATCACAACAATGCAGGGCCCAAAAAAAAAAAAAAGAAACCCCTTTTAACCTAGATACATATATATCGGATCTGCGTAGGGGTTGCTGCTGGCGTTGATTGTATATTGCCCTTCATTAAGTGCAACCCAAAGCAGATTCGGCACCAAAAAAGGATTCAAGAGCTAGGGCATAAATCAAAATTAAACAAAAATTAAAACAGGAAAAAAATAAAAAAGGATAAAAGCAGGCGCGCGTGCGCCTCAAGTGCGTCGCGGCACCCTAATTGCAAAACTTTTTATGGCCTGATATCGTTTCGATTAGCTAATGTGAGGCTGGGCTGTGGCTATATATACACCATATGGGTTATAAATCATAAAAGTTGCCGAGTGAAATGTGCTTGTACCGTTAGAGAGACCGAGCGTCTATTACCAAATCCACCGAAAGCAGCGGCGCTTAGCTCATTTCCATACACAGGTTTGTGGCTTCAGTCTTTCGTTTCGTTTCGTTTTGCCAGCGAACCAAGACAAAAGTTTGAGAATATTGAGGAGATATGGCCAGAGCCTGTCGACAAACAATACAAAAAAAATTAAGAAAAACAAAAAAAGACTTCCTCTCTCTGAAAGAAAAACAAAGGGAAAACCACTTGACGCTGTCAGTTACGGGAGGCCACTTTTTTATGGATTTTTCCCTCTCCAAAAAAGAAGACCGCAACTTGCTTTGCTTTCGAGTTTTTCCCTGATTTTTCCAAGAATCTGGTTCTTTTGGGTTCGGCAGGGCCAAAGGCCATAGCAAACATTATAAATTCGAGCATTCTGTGGGCACTTGAACATGAGGGAGAGTCACTCTTTGGTAATTTATGCCAAGTGCTTGAGATTCCCGATGGCCAAACAAGTAGCCGCTTGTTGCCTCAATTAAAACTGAATTTATGCCATCATAAAGAAAACACTGTGCATCGGGACCTGCTACCTGGATGCGATCCTAAACTAGATTCTATTCCCGATTCTTATTCCCCCATTTCCTGAGGTGTGTGTGCGTGTCCACAGAGCGTTTTCCGGATCGCAAGGCAAACATTAATTGTCTCGCCTTTGGTAGACTTATGGAAGCGGAACTTCTTTGCGTTTTAAGAGCAAGTTTTAGCGCTTCCATGTCCTGCGACAGGTGACAGGTGCACTCGATTTAGGGGTATATCTAGTTAATGGAGGAAAAAAGAGGAATTTGTATACTTGGGAAAGTGTAAAAAGGGGATAAGAGATATTTTCAGAGCAGTTTTGTATAAAAATAGAGTTCCTGTGGGGTCTTTCTCCCTTTGTGTTTTATTAAAGAAAAAAAGGTCCAGAGAAGAATCCTTTAAGGGAAGTATTGTACGAATATATGTATAATTAACAGGGTATACTTTAAATATAATGTATACTTAAATATTTATTACTAACTTGACCTTTAAATAAATTAATAAAAAAGTTTCCGAACTGAAGACCTCGAGTCCGAAGAGCTTTACACATTTTTATTTAACAAATAGAAAGAGATTTTGCTCTACTGATTCCTAAAATAAATATTTCTTACTTATATTTTTATATTAAAAGTAAAAATAAAGTAGATTCTTAAGTAAATATTTAGCTATTTAACAATAAGAGTTTCTATAACAACAATTAACAATAATAAAAACCTTTTTAGGAAAGAGAGTTCTATAATAACAAAGCCTAATTGCTCTATTTATTCCCCAAATAAGCATTGCTTTGTTACATTTTCCTATCAAAAATCAAAATCTCAGAATTAGTAAGCCAAATTAATATTTACTTTTAAATATACACAAAGAGCAAGCAACCCAATGAACTTTTAACATAAATATTAACCTAATTTCAAGCTACAAAAAAGTACAGCACATATTCTGTAGAAATCTCAGTTATATAACCTCGATCCCAGCTTGCCTCCTGTGAGGATTGAACTCACGACCCCTGGTTTACAAGACCAGTGCTCTGCCACTGAGCTAAAGAGGCTCACGTTTTGAGGGCGACCCAGTAGCGAATTTCAACTGCTGATTGCCACCAAGAGCCGGGCTTGCATTCTACCTACACACACATATATATAGTAGTTGGTGTCTTTGTATCTTGAAAGAGAACACGAACAAAGATAGATAGCTGGAGAAGAACATATGTTGACACAGTTGGGTGTGCTCTCGATCTGTCGCCGAGCTGATAAATGCTTTCAAACGCAATTAAGAGAAATGGCAGACAGAGCATATACACAAGGTCAGGTCGACCGGATATTAATTTCACAAAAATTACACACATTCAGGCGGCGAGGGGATAATCAACATTAAGATCGGACGCGGATCGTGCGCTTCAGTGGCCCATGACAATTAGGGTCGGGAGAAGTAGAAGAGGTGGCTCAAAGAAATTTCGGCGCTTCACCTGTTGGAAAGGGCTTCCCCTGAAAGCCAAGACCTCATCGTGGTATTTTCACATCATCATTGTGATTACCACGCATCTGCAAGATACTCATATATGTACATATATCTGCCAGATACTCGTATGTATCTGCCAAAGCCGAGTGCAGTTCGATTTCAGTTTCGAGGCAGCAGTGCGTGCAAAATGGATCAACGATCTTTGCGCTTCGCCAGCCGTAAAATCAACAAGGCGCACGCTTCGGGTCAGGGAATTTTCTTTTCCCCCTCCCCCTCCCCACCTTGGAAAATGATCAATCGATTAGGATCCATATGGTCAAAGAGGTTGCCTGCTCGCAGCGGGTTTAAAAGAAACTAGGGAAAAGTCCCTGCCCAGCAACTGTCGCGTGCTGGGCTGTAAAATGTTCAGGAATAACAGCTGCTCTTAATGTGTTGAAAAGATCTGAGAAATGGCTTTAAATTACCCAAAAAAAAAAGGTGCTCAAATTGCCATTAAATCGTATTAAAATGAGCGGAGAGAGACCGCAAAAAAAGGATTTCCTATACTAAGCTGACTAATTCTCCCTATGTCTCTGTATTTTTTACCAATCAATCCCACAAAAGTGTCAGGCTCAAACAAAGGCCCGGGGAATTGGGTAAAAAATTGCCTGATTTAGTGTAAAATTGCAGTTGCAATATAAAAAAATGAATGAGAATGAGTGGAGAGAAATATGAGGCTAATACGCGCTGACAGGCAAAGGACATTACATCAATGGTTCGTCATTAGCATCCCGAAAAGAGAGAGAGAGATCGGAGGATGAGCCTAGGGGTAGGATCGAGGCCATTCGTCACAGTCTGTCACTTCGCATCCATCTCATCCTCAACCCCTCATCAATCTCAGGTTGTAACTGTATTTACGGATGTAACAGCTTATGATCCCGACCCAAATCGAGATACTGCCACGTGCCTTTTCTCCCTTTTCCCACTTTTCCCTTTTTTTTCGCTCCCTTTTCCCTTTTGCCAGCTGCCGCCAACGCCGCTCTTCTCTATATAGGGAACTCTATATTTTATTTTTTTCAACCCTCTCTTCTTTTTTTTGAAAATTTACTTCATTTAGCTTTTGTTTTCCACTTGAGCTGAAGCACTTTCCATTGTTGCCTTTGTAATAAATAAACAACAACATGTTCGTGTTTTGTGCTTTCTTTTCGGCTATTTTTATTATTTTTAAGTTTTTTAATTAATTTGAACTGATTTCGGTCTGAAGAGTTTTCCACGCAATGCGTTTGCTCTAATGGAACTCAAATTGAATTAAGGCCTTTGTAAAGTTCCATTGAAAAAATATAGTAAACCAAGGGGGACCTCATGTGAAGAAGAGGTTTATGGGTTGATTAGGGGAAATGTTAAAGGAAATTGCCAAGGAAATCGACAAGGAAATACTTTAATGAAAAGAAAAACCAAAGGGAAAAGAGTAGAAAGAAAAGTTCAAGTGGAGAATTTAATTGAAATTTGATTCCTGCTTTTTATAAAAATAATGACAGATCAAAGGGTATTTAGTATTCAAGAAAGAAAATCTAAAAATTGAAAAGTAGGGTAAAGATATGTCAATCACTTTTAGATTGTATTATTTTATAGTAAGCTCTATCTTAACTTGATCTAAAAACCCATCTGTTGACACTTCCTTTCCCAAACAAATTCAAGGTGATTCCATCTCCAAGCTAATCCCCAACTCAACACTCAATTTATTGACACAAATTTGTTGACTTTGGTTTATCTTTTGTGTGATTTACATTCGCTTAACAACGTTTTACTTCCCATTAACTTAAAAAAATCAGCTAAGAAAAACTTTAACTCAACTGAAAACAACTTGATTTCTATCAATCGCAGGCCTTAATTTATTTAAATGTTTAGCCGATCGTTCACAATTAATTAAGTGGCACACTTTAATTTGCATAAAAACCAACTTGACTCATAAATAAAAATAAAACTGAGCAAAGGCTCAAAGCTGGCAATCAAGTACAAGATTCATAAAATACATTTTCAAGATTTTATACAGACGACAATGGCCAAAATGCAAAAGACTTTGTTTGTGTTATAAATTATTTATGACGTTTTTCCCCAAATGTCAACCGAAAGCCAAAGCCAAATGCTTCGCCCACAAAATGACATTTTGGCGGCAATTTTTTTGTTGCTCGAATTGCATGACAGTTTTTAATTATTTTTACCTGCTGTTGTTGTATATTATTTGCTATTGTTGTTGTTGTTGTTGCGACAGGAAGGCGCTCAGCCTGGCCTAAACACAATTTAGTTGCTGCAATTAATTTCGGTTTTATTTGATTGTTGTCTGTGAACAACCAACGGTCTGTGAGTTTTCAGTGCAAATCAAGTTGACATGAATACCTGCGACAAAAAAAATGCAAAAAAAAAAACTTGGCTAATAACAAAAGACTTGACAATGATACACACACACACTAGAGTGATGAAAAACGGAAGTATTTGGTGTATAGAAAAATAAAAAACGCAAAAAGGAGTGCTTAGTTAAAGTTAGTTTATGGAATACCCTTGGAAAAATTAATAAGGGTAAATTTTTAAGAAAATTTGGGTGTCTTAAATAGTAAATATTGAAATTACATAAATAATAAATTATTTTAAGGTAATATAAGGACGATAAATAATTATGCAAGACATTTCTAATATCAGAATTTTTACTTTAATAATTTAAATAAAGTTATAAATGCCTATAAATAAATCAATAAATATTACCAAGCGTTTTATTACATTTAAAACAATTTTAAAATACAAAAAATTCATTATTTTTCTTAAAATTTTTAGATTTTTCACCCTTTTTTATACCCTTGCACGGTAATTTCAGTCAGAAGTTTGCAACGCAGTGAAGGAGACGTTTCCGACCCTATAAAGTATATATATTCTTGATCAGCATCAACAGGGGAATCTTTCTAGATATGTCAGGAAGAAATCGATTTTTTGGGCATTTTTGCAAAATTTTATAAGGGGTTACATCATTAAAATTTTTGATTTTGAAAAAAAATTGAATTTTCAAAATTTTTAAATGATTTTTTAACTGTAAAAAATCTTGCACAGAACAGTTTTCCGATTTAAAATTAATGCTCTTTTGGCCGAGTTATAATATTTTTAATTTAAAAAAAAATCAAGAAGTTTTTTAATATAAAAAATCCGATTTTATAATACAAAATAATATTTTTCTAAGTCAAGGAATCATTTCCGACCCCATAAACCATATATATTCTTGATCAGCATCAACAGGGGGAATCTTTCTAGATATGTCCGGAAGAAATCGATTTTTTGGCCATTTTTGCGAAATTTGATAAGGGGTTACATCATTAAAATTAGCAAAAATGGCAAAAAAATTTTGATTTCTTAAAATTTTAAATTTGGTATGCAGCATTTTTAAATTAATAAAAACTAACACAAAACTGCTTTCCGAATCGAAATTAATGCATTTTTGGCTTAGTTATGATATATTTTAATTGTTACCTGCAAGGGTATACAAACTTTGGCTGGCCAAAGTTAGCTTTCTTTCTTGTTATAGTCATATACTACCTCCCAATATCTTCAATATTTACCCTTTAAAAATCGAAAACAAAAAACAACATTTAACAACAATTATAAATCAATTTTTCGAGTCAATAACTGAACTATCATCAGACGATTTGACAAATATTGATCTTGTAAAGGGAGAAAGGCAAACAGACATAAATAATTGAGCCAAAAAAAAGAGTTTGAGTGACACACACACCCTTCTTTTGAAGGGTATCAAAGGCAAACAAAAACGCAAATGCAACGGAAATAAAAATATAGTATGTGTGTTTGTAGAGAACTATAGAGAATAGAGGGAAAAAAAGTGGTGGACAGGGGTAGGAGGAAATCACAAAATAAACTATAATTAACCGGCGGGCATTATCAAGGGGAAAATGCAACGTTTATTCCGCATGAATTTGCATTTGCATTTGGGATTTGCATTTGCCAGTGACCATCGTAGGGTCAAAAATCTGGACGAAAGCGATTCGAAATGCATTTTCGATCAAATCCCCGACTGCATTTAAACAATGCCTCGATGATTAGGGGTTGTTGCCCGAAGTTACATCCGAAGGATTGTGCATCCTCACCGGCAGAGTGATAAATATTTTGCGCTCGGGATGACAGCCCATAAACAGTGCGATTACGAGTATTGACAATGTTCAATCAAGGACCACCACACACGGGGGCATCCTTTTGAGTGGCACGGCTGACTCTACTGTACTACAGTGGAGTGTACAAGTGACAGCTGCCTCGATGTAAGCCCTGATGATTACATTGTTTTTGTACACCCCTTGCCGTGATTGATGACAGGACAGGACATACCCGAGCAACCTAGCTGTCATGTCCAGTTGTCAGTTCTCAAAACGCTTTCCAACACTGCCAACCAACAACCCCAAAAAGGATACAGCCAAGAACAAAAAAAAAAAGAGTTTACAAATACCGAAAGTCAAAAGCGGGGCGCGGATTCAACAGCTTAGGGAAATTTACATACTTGTACAACATAATATGCACCCCTAAGTCCAGGTATTGGGTTTCGCATAATGCATTTTCACGGCGGGACACCCCAAAAGGAGAGATGGAAGCGATTCAAATTTTTTACTCAAACATAAACCCAAAGTGGGCGTTGTAATGTTGACACTGTAATTTACGCATTTCACCTTTTCTTTCTTGCCCCGAAACGGATTTGCATATAACTTAAATGGCGAAAGGGCTGAAAGAACAATGGTTTCGGGGTAATTCGATATGGGAAACGGATTTTCAAGCTGCACTACGGTACAGTTGTGTTTTGGATATATAGAACAAGCCTAGTTATAGTTCCCTAGTGCAAGTCCCCCCACAATTTACCCAGAACAAATTGCCACATGAAGGCGAACTTCGACTTGTCTTCATTAGCTGGGAGCAGCTGCCGATGTGCCGGAGATAGCACTAGGCCTTAATTTCCTTTGTCATGGAGCCAATTTCTTAAAGTGCCCCGCGGTAATTATAATTGAAGAATTTCCTATCTTCCAACTCTTCGAACCACCCGCGGCACAGCAACAATAACAGCGACGCAACAGAGAAAGAGCGAACGAGCGAAAGGCCGCTGCCTTCGAGTTTCGCTTTTGCCGGCCGCCTTGCCAAGCCTCTTTAGCTCAGTGGCAGAGCACTGGTCTTGTAAACCAGGGGTCGTGAGTTCAATCCTCACAGGAGGCAGACGAAAGAGATCTTAAATGGTTTATTTTTTTTATTTAATTTTTTATATGTTTTTTTTTTTTAATCTTTATTTATTTTTTACAACTTTGTAACCTTTAAAAAGTATTTTTTCATAAATTTATAGTTGGAGTTTTAGTTATGGTATGAATATATTTTAAACTTTTAAACAATTTAAGCAGAGAAACCGAAAATTATCTATCTATTATCTTGCAGTTAGCAATAAGATCAAGAAATAGATCTGAAAAACTTTGACATTTTTTAATTGATTGCCAAATTACATTTAATTTGTAATTAGTTAAAAAATCGTTTCCCTATTTGGTAAATATAGCCTGAAACTATATACATATTTAAACAAACACTTGCTAGTTGGCGGCTAGTTTTGTTAGTAAACAAACCCCGATCGCTTGCTCTTTCTCTTGGTGCTTTCTTCTCTCTATATATCTTTTGATTTCTTCTCTTCCTGCTTGGCTGCTATACTCTTTTTTTCTAAAAATAAAACCCCGAAAAAGCTGCCACACGCTGTCGCATTTTCCCCCAATCAGTTCTTCTGCAGTTTTCTGGCTGAGTGTACCGCAAAGGAAAAACATAGAAAAATTCTATTCAATTCTTCTATAAACTTGCATAATTTTTGAGTTAAAATAAGTGAGAAAATATGAAAACTCCACTCAGCCAGAAGCCGGGATTCTTTGCCGAATACTATCTGAAGCTCAAGGAGGAGGCTGGAGCTGCCTGTGAGACGGACATAGCCAAGTTAGCCGCCTGCGGGAGCGATGAGGAGCGCGTGGCCTATGTGGACCAGCTGGCCTGGGTGCAAAAGGGGGATGCCAACCTGGTAGTGAACCAGGAATTCACCGGCAAGAACGCATCTCTGGCGGCGGAGATCAAGGAAAGGGCCACCGCTGCCTTCAAGGGAAAGAAGTGGCTAGAGGCTATGATGTTATATACCAGGAGCTATGTGACATTGCCCAAAGAAAATGGTGGGTTATTATTTTTAATTTGGGAATTTCGAAAATGTATTTAAATTTGTTTCATTTTATTTATTATTTTTTCAGTGGCAGAAATACGCATTGTTTTGGCCAATCGCTCGGCAACCTTGTATCACATGCAGAAATATCAGTAAGTAACCAAGGAATGAGGTTTACTCAGGAGTTTCTTAAGGGATTTCTTGGGGTAGAGTGTATATATTTTATCCTTAATCTTTGGCCTCCTTCTTATTATATTTTTCAGAGAATGTCTAGTTGACATCAAAAGAGCCTTAGATCTGGGCTATCCCAAGGACTTGATCTACAAATTATACGAACGTCAGGCGCGTTGCTACATGGCTCTCAAGGATTATCCTCATACTATTGAGGCGTTCAAGTGAGTTTAGATCTTCTTTAATATCTATAAAATATATATAAATTATATTCCTTATTTTCCCTGTATAGAAAATGCATCACCGCCATGGATGACTCTACTCTCACCTCCGACAAGCGTTCCAAGCTTAGTCTGGATGCCATGACCATGATCAAGATGCTGCAACACGATCCACGTACAGCCAAGCAGGAGGCCAAGCAGCAAAAGCGTAAGGTGGCCTTGGATGTGGCTCAGCCTATGCCTTTGGAGAATGAGTTTGTGAGTCCATTGGTGAGGATTGATCAGAATCGTCAGGAGGGTCGTTTTGCCCGAGCCTCAGCGGATGTCAAGGCCGGCGAGGAGCTGCTGGTGGAGCGACCTTTTGTCTCCGTTCTCCTGGAGAAGTTTGCCAAGACTCATTGCGAGAATTGCTTTGTGAGGTAATATTTTGAATGTTTTTTTTTTTTGATCCTTTAGTTACTTATTATGTTTCCAGGACTGTGGTTCCCGTGGCCTGTCCTCATTGTGCCGATGTCATCTATTGCTCCGAGCAATGCCGCCATGAGGCCTCTAAGAAGTATCATAAATACGAGTGTGGTATAGTGCCCATTATCTGGCGATCGGGTGCCTCTATAAATAATCATATTGCCTTGAGGATATTTGCCAGCAAACCCTTGGATTATTTCTTGAAATTAAAGCCCACCATAGATGAGGAATTAAAGCCAGAGGAGCTGATAAGGTGGGACTTTCTTTTAATCTTCTAAAAACTTATTATAAATCCATCTTTCACAGCCTCCCCAAGGACGACTTCCGCCGAGTGGCTCAGTTGGAGAGGCATCAGGGTGAAAGGCAGCCCTCTAACTTCTTCCAGCATGTCCTCATGGCCCGTTTCCTGACTCGTTGTCTTCAAGCCAGCGGCTACTTTGGCTCTGAACCCAAACCGGATGAAGTTAAAGCCATTTGCTCTTTGGTCCTGCGCAGTCTGCAGTTCATTCAGTTTAACACCCACGAGGTGGCTGAACTCCACAAGTTTAGCTCCACTAAACGCGAGAAGTCCATCTTCATTGGCGGAGCCATCTATCCCACCTTGGCCCTGTTCAATCACTCTTGTGATCCTGGAGTGGTTAGGTATTTCCGTGGAACCACCATCCACATCAACAGCGTTCGGCCGATTGAAGCTGGCCTGCCCATCAATGAGAATTATGGTCCAATATACACTCAAGATGAGCGCTCGGATCGGCAGGCACGTCTCAAAGAGCTTTACTGGTTCGAGTGCACCTGCGATGCCTGCATCGACAATTGGCCCCGGTTCGAGGATCTTCCCAGGGATGTGATCCGTTTCCGGTGCGATGCTCCGAACAATTGTGCTGCGGTGATCGAGGTGCCGCCCAGCTGCAACGATTTCATGGTGAAGTGTGTGACCTGCGGTGAGATAACTAACATCCTTAAGGGACTCAAGGTCATGCAGGACACCGAGATGATGACGCGTACTGCCAAGAGGCTCTACGAAACGGGAGAGTACTCCAAGGCCCTGGCCAAGTTTATTGACCTCATCAGGATTATGTACGATGTGCTGGCCCCACCTTTCCCTGACTTCTGCGAGAGCCAGCAGCATCTCAAGGACTGTTTCCTCAATTTGGGCAATGTCTATACTTTGGATTAGAAAGGACTTTGAAGAAGAGATAAGGATAAAATTAACAGGAAGCAATTAATTGAAAATAGATGAGTTTTATATGTGTTTTAATCATTTTCATTTAATATTTTATTCTCAGAATTTAAATAAACTTTTTACTTCTGAAATACTTTTCAAAAATATATTACACATTTTATCTTTACAGTTTATTACTTTATTTTAATGGTATTTGCTTCCAATCTATATGTACATGTGTTTTCCCTACGCTTTCCCTTAGTCAAACCACCAACAACGTCCCCGATGGAGTCTACTGCAGCCAGCAAAGTTGCTATTGGGGTAGTAGCAGCAGCGATAACAAGTAAACGCCGATGTCCAGCCAAAGCCTGTAAAAAAAACAGCTAATGAGTTGGGGTTCCCCCATTGATGACCTTGTTTCCTACTTACCCCAACAGTTCGTCACGTACTCGTGCTGCTCCTTCAGATAGCAGCGCTCTGCGGGTTCATCCCAACTCCAAGGATTGTTGTTGGGGTAAAAAGGACGCCTCGAGGTGGTGGAGGGTGGTAAGTAGGTGGGATATATGGGTTCACTTTGGGTGGTCGTTGTTGGAGCAGTCGTGCTGGGTTCTGTTGTTGAAGTTGTTGGTATAATAGTAGTTTCCTCATTTGCAATTGTTGTAGGAACTTCCGATGCTGTTGTTGTTGGTGGATTTGTAGTGGTAGGTTCTGTTGTTGAACTTGTCGTTGTGGGTTCCGTTGTTGAAATTATTGACACTTCTGCTGGAGTTGTTGCAATTGTTGCAGGTTCCTCTGTGGGTGTTTCCGTTGGCATAGTTGTGGCTTCTTCAGTTGCAATAATAGTAGTTTCCTCATTTGCAATTGTTGTAGGATCTTCCGTTGATATTGTCGTAGGTGGCACCTGTGTGGTGGGTGGCATAAAATACTCTGGAAACTCGGGCCTTACATCCTGACCCATAACTCCAGCCACCAGAAAGCACAGAAACACAAAGGGAACTCTCGCGGGGGACTGCATTTTTTGCGTGCTGTGTTGACGTGAGCTGATTGCATCGAACACTGAAACCGATCGCCAGTCGGTAGCAACTTGAGCTTGAGCCTCGGCTATGGCTGAAGTCATTAGCACATACTCATTTACTCAACAAAAAAAAATACAGAAGGCACACACGCGACTGGGCTGAGGGCTGATAACAGAAGCCGCGATAAGCAAATTCATAGGTAAAGGAAATTACTGAGACCTAAGATGCTGGTTCTGTCTTTCCAGCCAATAAAACTTTTACCTTTTTTAGGGGTATATAAGGTATATAAGCTTATCAAAAGGTGAAATTGGACAATTACCTGCGGGTGGCTGAGCACGCGTGCGCAACTTACCTTGTAATACTTTATTGTTCGCATTTTCATGGTGACTCCATTATTTCATTCCATGCACCGGCATTCAGTTAATGAAGTGAGTAATGCCTTGAAAAGGCTCTGAAAAGGCAATGACGTAGAATATTTGCAGAAAAATATAGAGTGTTTGCAAAGCAGATCAGAGAGTAAATGTATTTGTTTAAGGTTTTCCTAGAAACATTAGTCATTGCTATAGTAAAAAAATGTAAACAATTCTTATCAATTGAGGTATATGAAATGTTGGCCCCTTAAATTCGCTCTGGTTTGTGAGGGGATAACCCAAATTAGAGGAATATTATATATGATAAGATTGAGGAAGAGTAATCTTGACACAAATATATTTTTGAAATATAACTTTTTTATAAATATTTCTATAAATATATATTCAATTGCACAACTTTAATAAGTTTAGAATTATGTTATTGAACTAAAATCATTTTTAAAATGAAAACAATCTGTTTAAATTAAAGATTCATTAATAAACAAGACAGAAAACTAGCTTTGGGATGCCGAAGCTTGATAATGCTTCCTGAAAATCTTTCATAACTAAGCCAAAAATTCATTAATTTCAATTCGGAAAGCAATTCTGTCTTAGTTTTTGTTAGTGCAACAAATCTGCAATGTCAGTTTACCAATTTAAAAAATTCAAATTTTTGTTAATTTTTCAAAATTTTGACGATGTAACCCCTTATAAAATTTTCAAAAAATTATCAAATTTGTTTTTCTTGCAGAAATGGCCTGTTAGATTCGCCTGTTGATGCTGATCAAGAATATATATGATTTATAGGGTCGGAAATGATTCCTTCACTGCGTTGCAAACTTCTGACTGAAATTATAATACCCTGCAAGGGTATAAAAAGGTTGATTTTAAATCAAATAAAACCCATTTGTTTTAAAATTAATATTTTAACAGTTTTAATTCTTTTAAAATTTAAAATTAGTATAAGAATTAGGACAAATTTAATTTTAGATCTAATAAGCTTATTTTCCAATTAATTAAATTTTTCAAAATTGATGAGTGTGACCGTACCTGGTTAGCTATATAGCTAAAAACCACTGGTTTGAGTATTGGCTCAGAATTATCACCAGGCGCGAAGCTGCCACTTAGTTTTTTCAAACACTGTGGCAGCCTTGAGGAATTTAAATTAGAATTCAAATACAGTTCCGTTAAAAGACAATTAAAATATAAACCATTTCTTGGCCTATTTTTGGTAAATTAGTGCACATTTGTGGTACAAATTTCTCTTTAGAGGGAGAATTAAGTTTGAAGCAGTTACAAATTGCAAACTTTGGCTTCCCAAAGTTAGTTTGAAATCTCGTTTCCATAAGTTTTAATGAATTTCAGATTTTAGAAAAATTAATGCTAGTTATTTATTTTGATTTATTATTATTATTTATTCAAAAGGCAGTGAATTTATATTAGTAATTTCTTATAAGCCCTAAAAATTCATAGAAAAATTCAACCAACCTTTTTTGGGGGCTCTTAAAATTTCAAATAAAATCTATAATTCAAATTATTCCCCAGAAACCCAGTAAACATTTCTCTGAAATAATAAATCAAAGCCATTCCCCCTTGGATCTTTGAATAAAAAAATTTATCTCCTTCTCGAAGATGCACACAGCGTCGTAATTTTTAAGACCCTTTTGCTTTGCCACCTAATTATGTAAAAATCCCCAAGCAAAGCAGTAAGTCAGCCTTTGTTGGGAGTTTCAAATATTTGTGCATTGCATTCATAAATCCGCAGAAACTTTCCATTTTAAAATCCGATAGCGAGCAGCAGCTGCAGTCTCAACCGCAGCCGCTAATCACGTCCGAGTGACGCGATGGAGGAGTCTCTTTAGCAGGTCATGATGTGAATTCTTAATTTCCGTATCTGTTCTGGACGAAGTCGACGAAGACGATGTCGTTTTATGTGATGTGTAGGGAGCATTTAAGCGATAGTTTGATTATTTAACGACGACAACGTGCCGAGAGCGCAATGGACACTTAAAAGATGGCAATTATACGAGCTGATCGAAAGCTGTTCAGAGTCCCTTGTTTGGCGTGACATTTTGTGACGGAATGGAAATGATATATAAAACCCTGAGTTGAAAATATATACATAGATTTGATCATAAAAGGCTAAGGCAGGCCCATTAGCGTATCAATTACACGCGCCATTGAAATCACTTAGAGTTGGTAAAGCGATTTCTCGCATTACACACTTGACATAAATTCGCTGGCGACTGGGAGACACTGGAGATAGAGTTCGAGATCTCAACCGGAAGGCAACCCAGAATGCGATATTTCAATGTTCATTCATTGTTTTACGACCTTTACAATTGCAGTGAAAGTGTTTTATGGTTGATTTTTTCGCTTGAAAGGTGGCATTATGTGGGCGTCTGAAATATTTGGGTCAGCAGATCAATTACGGCTGCCTGTCGCCGGCGCTAATAACTCTTTGAAACCGAAACGGAAAAGGGGTTAGTTTTAGGGCTCAAAAAGGGTAGAATATTCCTTTCCAGAGTATATATTTCTTACCTTTTGCATGTGCAATTTATGTACTTGTTTTAAATATTAAAAAATAGGGTAAACAAACCCCTCCTCTAACATAATATTTTTACCTGTCTGACGTCACAGGAAGGTGAACATGATTATGAACACCTGCATTGATTCACGGACGTGTGTTGGGCTTTATATATTTTCTACACTTCCTTTCGACTCTCGACACTCGTACATCCCCAAATAAGGCACCGCAGCTGCACCTCAAAGCTCACGTCGCCAGATCGGAACTTATCTATATATTAAAAATATATGTAATATGTCTGGTTTATTGTTATTGTGCTGCATGACTCCGCGCTGTAACTACTGTATGTAATCAGAATATTGCTGATAAAAGCCATCTCATTCACAATGCAGTTGTGACATGGAAGCGCTGGTAACTTCCGCCAAGTGTAACGACAGATTGTGACTGGAACCGATCCATTTCAAGGGCAGCTGCCCTATTTTCTTAATTTTCTTCTTATTTTCTGGGGAGCCTGGAAACTCCCACAACCGTTTTTACAGGGTTCAGAGCTGCTCACAGCTGGGATAGGGAAAATACACAAGAACACACAGAAAAAATAACAACGGGGGAAACTATCAAAAGAGAACTGAAAGTTTATGTTGGTATGTTTTATATTTTGTATATTTAAGAACCAAATTTTGTTAATTTATCATGTTAATTTCACATTTATTAAGGTTTATTTGACCTTAAAAATATATAAACCTTTTAAAATTAACCTTTTTTACATTACTTTGATACTCAATATAGTTTTAAAAACTAGCACATAAAATAAATAATCCACATGGTAACATATAAGCGTTCTTTCATCATTTGATATTAAAATGTTTTTCATATAAACTAAATTTTTCTCAGTTTGTTTTCCAGCGCCATAAATAGATTTACAAAGATGCCCCCAATAATGGGGCAAGCAACAATGGGGGGTCATGAACTTCAATTATGCGCCTCGTAAAAGGGCAGGCCCTTCTGCTGCAGCAGGTGCTGTGTGGCAGTAGCTACTGTGTTGCTGCTGCTGCTGCTGCTGTTTTCTTCCCTTGTTGCTGCAACACACAATTGCTGTCAAATCGCCTGGCGTGTACTTAATTGTGCATTTCAGTGGCGTCGCCAGGCCAGAGCACTTACCACAGGCGGCGTTGGAGAACCGAATTAGCTGCCCTTTTTTTGAAGTTGAAGTCTTAATGTTTACTTAGGGCTTTGTTTTGTTTCGGTTTTTAGAACTTTTTAACAAGAATTGTATTTATGAAACGAAATGGAAATCGAAATGGAAATGAAATTGAAAATGGAAGCATTCAACGACTTGTGAATTGACTTTTATGGGGTCTAATCTGCTGCTGCGGTCGAGCTTATCGGTCGATGCTATGCAGAGCCCACTTTTCCAGTCAACTTTTATTAGTTTTTATTGTTTTACATTGCCTTTGATAAACGAAATCAATTACGAGCTCCACACTCACGCATCTAAGCTAGAGTTTTCCCCGGCTTATCAGTTGGAGCTCGAGTACCCCTCGAGTGCTCCCCCAGATCTAATTGAACCCTGATCCCCTGCTGAACTGCTCTGAGCTCCTCGTGCCGGGTCACCCACTCGGTTAACTAGCGTGTCAACGGATCGTAAAGTACACTTATGTACTGGGGACTTAACCTACCACAATGTTGGTTGAGAGGTTTTTATATATATAATATATAATACTCAATTTCTAGACCCAGTCCCTGATAAGCGGCATAAACAAACCGCGATACAGTCAAGTTCAATGACAGTGAAGTAAAACCAACATTCGGTTGCTTGTAATCGCCTTCCTCCCTCCTCGAAAATCGTGATCGGCATCCTTCATAACCACCATATGGTGGCGGACTTTAATTTACTTTTATCTCCTACCCCAAAGAGTGATGGCTTACAGATAAAAAATAGAAAGATTAATTGGGTTTTTCATTAAGTTTTGTTAATTGAAAATTGGTTTAAATAGTAGACCTAGAAATTATAGTTAATTATACAAACGAAGAGGCTTATATACTTGAATATTTATAGGTCTTTCAATGACTTTCCTTGGCTCTATGGAGTTTTTATATTTCTATAGAAGATGGAAAGGTGTATATTCTTAATTCAAACTAAATAATTTAAACTTTTCTATACCTTAAGCTCAAATATTTTCCACTTAACGTAACTCCCAGCTTTCTTTTAAGTGCACAATCTTGGCGGGCCTGCATCAAGCCCATTGAAAATATTAATTATAACGAAATAAACGAGATGATGTGGAATAAATACGAGTTCCTTTAATAAGTGTATATATGCATAATAAAGGCCAGCTCCCTGTCCGCGGAACTCCATGGTGACAGGCGGCAAGAAGGCGACGCCGAGCCGCTTGCTTTTCGAAAAATTTGCTGTTTGCATGGAAAACACTGAGACACAAAACACGGACACAGCCCTCGCACTTGGGCGTGCACTTATTTATGTGCGTCTTATTTAGCAGCCAGTGTGTGTGTGTGAATGGTGTGTGTGTTCCTGGTGTGTGCCTCCGGAGGGTGAGAGTGAGGGTGAGTACGAGTGTGAGTGCAACTGCAAGTGGCGTTCGGAACAAGGAGAGACACCACACGAAAATGTCGAAATCAAAAGGAAGGAAGCTATCAAGGAAATTAAAAAAAGCGAAATATATTTTATATATTTATATATTATATATACATTTATATAATGATTATATAATTTATATTTTATATAATTAATAACTTTTAGATTAATTAATAAGTAGTTACAACTATATTATATTTTTAGTGACTAGCTCAGCAATGTAAATTAGAAATACTTAAGTTTTAGGAAGAAGAAAAATCAAAATAAATAAATAAATAAAAATGTTATACCGTAAACTTACGGGAATTATAATTCAGACAATTCAAGGACCTAGTATATATTATAATATGTTATATTGTACATTTTGTAGCACTTTTAGAGCTACATAAATCTTTCTTTAAACAGCTACTTTGTATGACATATAAAGGAACTTGGTACCTATATTCTAGACGATTTTAAGGTCTGGTTTTGCAGCTTATATGGCTGTCAATATATACATTCAATGTATATCTACATATTAAACAATTTTAATTGAGCTTAAATTAAGCCAACACCCACATTTAAATAGGTTTTCGTCCATCATCTCATGTTTATTTACCCTTCCAAATATATTTATATTCCAAGGTATCTCAAAATCTAAGAACCTTTCCGGCGACATACCTGTCGGGTGTACAATGACAGCGGCAGCGACGGCTTCGAGGGCTGTCCAAGTCGCCTGCAGCTCTTGAATTCATTCCATTTCGAATCGTCGGCGAGTGAAAACGTCCAAAGTTCGGTTGCACGCCTGATCTCTCGGCTCGCCTCGGTCTTGGTTTCGATTTATATGAGTGTTGCGGAAACATAGCTTTATAATATATATTATATATGCCATATATACACATGTATATATGCAGATAGTAGTATGGTCCAGTAGTTCCAGCAGCAAAGTGACAAAAAGCCAAACAAACTAGTTTCTACAGTGATTTTTCAGCAACGATCTCGGCGAAAGCCGGCCCGGCGCGGGCCTAATTGAATAAATATAATTCCAAGAGAACGCCGCGCCGATCTCGAGTGTGTGTGCGAGTGTGTGTTTGAGTGAGCTTCAATTAAATTCAATAAATCATAAATACATATACGAGGGAACGTATCCTGTGGCTCACAATTGTGATTTATTGCTTGAAATTACGAAATTACGCATGCAAAAATTTAATTTTTGATGAGTTTTAAATAAAAATTAAAGTTGAAAATGTGCCGCCTTGTGATCCTTGCCCTGCTCTTTCTGCAAAGCCAGATAGAAGCCTTTAATTTCTCGCCACGTGCGAGTTTGGTGATAAAGGCGCCGACTCATCTGAAGTTCCAGCAAAACCAAACAAGGAGCTCCTACTTTGGATACACGCTCGTCATCCGTCCAACCAGGTGAGTTGTCAAGGCGGAGTATTTGCATGCTTGAAGGGAGGGAGAGTGATATTCCCACCTTTATCTCTTGACAAGCAACGCCTTTCAGTTTCACAAGTTTCAGCTGGAACACCTCTGTCAATATTTTGAAACTTCTTTCTTACCTTTCGACACCCGGAAACGAATAGAGGGGCTTTTGCCAAAGAAGATCGATCGTAAGAAGTGGCAACTTGGCAAAATTAGACCATTTTTATTGACACTTAACACTCTCTCAGGCTTTTATTTGCTCGGTAATTAAAGACAGGCCGCAATTGTAAATGGTTTTCTCAGCCTGTTGAAGTAATAGACTCAAGTGGAGTTGACTCGACGGCAGCTGCACTAAATATGTTGCTGCAATCCCAGACTAATGACTTGTCCACCAAAAACCCGACTTGAAAAACACTCAAAAATCATACCACTTCAGACAGAAAATTTTCTAAAAATAACACAAAAACTGGCTACTTCAGTTTCAATTGCCACAGATCTGAGAGATCGCGACTTCGACTTGGAACAATTGACAAAAAAAAGGCAAGCTGGGGCGACCTACTTATCACTTGATATGTAGACCCAATGGCGGCTACTCTTGGTGTTTCGGAGCACCAGAAATGACATCACACACACCTCAGCCACAAATCACAGTTAATTGAATAAGAAGAAAGCTATTGTAAACGAAGTTTAGATGCTCTTCTTGGGAAGTCTGAGATGGAAATTATATTACAGAGATTTTTTGTGGGGAAAACTAAGCTAAAGATACAAAGATAATGCTGGAGATAGTATGTGAAAATTAAAGATATTGTTTTAGATGTTCATATATTTTAGATACTTTAATATTTTCTTAGTTTTCCGGATATTACTCTAAATCTTTTTGGGGAGTCTGAAATGGAAATTATATTACAGAGATTTTTTTTGGGGAAACCTAAGGAAAAGATACAAAGATACTAATTGAGATAGTATGTGAAAATCGAAGATATTGTTCTAGATAGTTATATTTTCTAGATACTTTACAATTTTCTTAGTCTTTCAGCTATTACTCTTGAGATTCTAGACTGAATTTTGGTTGTAACGCCCCAAAAAACCCTCTTAAAATACTCCCAAAATCATAATCCTTATAACTTCTCTGATTTAACTTATGTAAAGCTCTTTAGATACCACTTTTCCTACTCTTCCTAGAGTATCCAAATAATATATACATCCCCCCAGAAGCTCTTGCCAAATCCAGGCCACACCAGCTTCGAAATAGAAAACTTTTGTTTTGTTTACTTTGACCAGAGTGTACTTCCAGCCATATCTTGTTTTTTAATTCAGACGATCAGCAACCTCGTTAGAATGCAGTACGTGATCATAACGAGTGTTGTTGGCTGTGCTGACCGACCATATTTTATTACCATAAAACCTGGATGGGTAATTTGGAACTTCCTCTGCCTTGCCTCCTCTACTTTTTTTTTTTATTGCCAGCCAAAATACCCATGACTATGTGCTATTACCAAGTGCGCCTAATTATGTACGGAAATTGCGCGTAAAATCACGACAAGCTGTAATTTATTTCACATCAATTGAAGTTTGAAAAAACACAGACTGTGTAAGGCCTGTTTTATGGCTTCCTGGCTGCCATCTGATGAATATTCAGAACTTTGGAATTGTAACGAAATTTGTAGGAGAGTGTGCACTCAATCACTCTTTGCCCAATACATACCACTTGCATTCTGGCGAAATGACTCACAAAATGTGTCCAAACCGATTCCCCACTCCAAGTGGCGTCTCCAAAGAAAGAGCTCCCCCGCCCGCCAACACTGACACCACCACACACACAAATATTTTTAGCCGCTTTGCTCTCGGTCATTAAACCGAATTCCAAAAAAAAAAAGAAGTCTCCACAAAGGAAAACGGTGCAGTAACAGTTGTTCTTACCATTTGCTGACCGCAAGCTGCTGCATTTCTTTGTCTTTGTTTTTGTTTGGCTGGCAGAGATTGGGGGTGGAGGTTGGGATTTGGGGAGTGGAGATGGGTTGGAGGTGGAGCTGGTGCAGGGGGGAGATATGTGTGGTCCGCATCATGGCTTATTGTCCGCTCGCATAAACAGTAAACAGTTCCTTATTCGGCATTTCAACAAAGCGCCAGCGTCACAACGAACATCTTCGGCTGCAGCAGTGCACACACACACAGTGGAGGTCACAAAAATAGGTCAAAGAAATTATAAATAACTCTCTCAGAAAACTTTTCATTTAACATATCATCTTACTTAAGAGCAATTAATAATGTGTTCTCAATTAGAATTGAAATCATGTTTAATAATAATTTAATATTATAGGCCTTTATATATTGCAGTCTTTATATTTTTATTTTACACCAAAAGTTGCGCACTTCTTTTTACAAAACGCCGACAAAAAGTAGAGATCGCAGTCTCTCCATATACATATATCATTACAAACTATCGATAACCTACTTTATTTACAATCGACTTAATACATGGTGGTCCTAATATTGTTTCCACTTATACTACATGGTGGTCCTCATATTGTTTCCACTTATACTACATGGTGGTCCTCATATGTTCCTACAGCTCGGCCGTCCTGACTTTTAGGATCTCCCGATCCTTGCCGACATAGCTCTTGTTATTCTTTTAAATACAATCTTTTCTTCTTTATCTTCCTTATCATTTTTACAATTGTCTTTACATATATAATTATTCATATTGCTTCTTAAACTAGGTTTAATTCTGTAAATACATTTTTCCCTTGTTTTTTTTTTATTTCTTCATTGTCCCTATAATCTTTACATTTTTCACAATTTTCATTTACATTTAATTCATCATTCGTTACATCTAATTCATTATCTTCTATGTTTAATTCATCTTCTTCTATATCTAATTCATTTCCTTTACTATTATTTTTTCCTTCTGTATCAATCCAAGGCTTCAAATTGTGTACTGCCCATATCCCTTCATATGGTTTTTGCGTTTTCTGAAAATTTTCTACATCTCTTATTAAATATCTATCATTCCCTATATCCTTTGCGATTGCATAAGGTCCTTTAAACCTCGGAATAAGCTTACTAGACGCTCCACTTGTAGAATTAAAATTTTTCAACATAATATAATCCCCTACTTGATACTTGTGTGGTTCTCTGCGTTTGGCATCAACATATTTTTTATTATATTCTTGTGCTTTTATTTGTGCTACTCTAGCCTTTTCTCTAATTTCATCTAAATTGACCTTTTCTTTAATTTGTTCATTCTCAATTATATTTTCCTTCACGTTATCAATTACTTTCCCCTTTTGTCGTATCCCAAATAACATTTTACTCGGATATTCATTTATGCTTTTGTGAAATACGTTATTAATAGCAAATTCTACCTCAGACAGTACCTTATACCATTGTTCATTCTCTTCCGTATTTATTAGTTTGCTTATCATCGGTCCCAGTTCCCTATTTGTTCTTTCTACTTGGCCATTTGCCTGCGGTGACCCTGTCGCAACCTTTAAGTGTTCAATGTTGTTTTCCGAAACAAAACTCTCAAACTCTTGTGATGTGAAACATGTTCCTCTATCCGAAATAAGGATCTTTGGTCGACTATATGCTCTGAAGTAATCGTATAATGCATCTATTGCCTCTTTTGATTTCGTAGTTTTTGTTGGATACAATCTTACAAATTTGGTAAAACCATCTATTACTACCAGAATGTGTTTTTTTACGGCATTTTTGCTTTCAATCGGACCATAGTGATCTATGTGTAACACTTGAAAAGGCAACGTTCCTTTCGGTATAGAATGAAGAAAACCCTCCTGTCTCGTATTCTTAGCTGTAAATGCAATACATTTAAGACAGTTTTTAATGTGTTCCTCTATTTTACTTCTCATATTTGGAAACCAATAACTTTTACTTATTATATTTGCCACTTTTTCCGTTCCCCAATGTCCCATTTCATTATGGTATTTAAAAAGAATGTGAGTTTCCATTGATTCGGGTACATAAAACAATAAGTTATCCTTGTTTTTTCTATAAACTACTCCGTTCCTCATTTCAAAAAAACTATGCTCTCTCTCCTTTAACATCTCTTGTAGTCGAATTATTTGTTTGTCTTTACTTTGACAAATAAGAAGATTATCCTCAAACGTGTTATCTTCAATAACCATAATTGTATTACACCTACTTAATGCGTCAACATGTTGCATTCTTTTTCCTGACCTATGTTCCCATTCGCAATCATAATTTTCTAGTTCTAATGCCCACCTTGCTATTCTCGGGTTTAGTTCTTTCTTTTGTAAAGTCAACTTTAACGAATTACAGTCTGTTACAACCTTAAAAGGAATGCCTTGAAGATATATCCTAAAACGTTTCAACGCGTATATAACTGCCAAAGTTTCTAATTCAAAACTATGATATCTAGATTCTGTTTCCGTAGTTCGCTTTGACATGTAAAAAATTGGATGAAACTTTCCGTCGCCTTTTCTTTGTAATAATATCGCCCCAAATCCAATTGCACTCGCATCGCAATGCAGCTCTGTTTCATCTTCTGGATTATATATTGCTAAAATTGGTGTTTCTAATAATTTTCGTTTCAATGATTCAAACGCCTCCATTTCATTTAGTCCAAATTCGAATTTTTTGTCCTTTTTCGTCAAATCGTGGAGCGGTTTTGCAATAAATGAGAAGTCTTTGATAAACCTCCGGAAATAGGAACACATTCCTAAAAAGCTCTGAACTTCTTTGACCTTAGTAGGAATTGGAAAATCATTTATTGCCCGAATTCCTTCCTCATTTGCCTGTATACCCTTTTCTGAAATAACATATCCGAGATATGTTACTTCATTTTCTAAAAAACTGCACTTATCCATTCTCAATTCAAGTTTGTTTTCTACCAAAAGTTTAAAGACCTCTCCCAAAATTGCTATATGTTCTTCGTATTCTCGTGTAGCAATCATTATGTCGTCCAAATATACTACAACTTTTCCTTCTCTTATCATTTTCTCAAATACTTTGTT